AATAGATGAAATTTTTTGCAACTTGTTGAAGCCAGGAAACATAAGTATTAAAAAATTAAGATGGCTGCCTAGCATTCGAGTAAATTATTAAAGTAAAAAATATCTATCTAAGGACGGACATATATATCTATATTAATCTTTGTTTCAGAAATTTCCCTCTAAAATGATTCTGCAATCCAAAACAATCTTGTTACACCAGGAATCTTTATAACAAAGATAATAACAAAAATTCAAGGACTGCAATAATCCGTGCAAATCTTTAGAGGTATGTTGCAATGGATTGATTTTCGTTGACCTCTTTGATCAAGCATTAATTTCTCAACCTATTACGTCGTGTCGAATTTTTAAGCAAGAATTTAGGAATCTGTCTTCTGTCTTAAACTTATACCAGAGATGCAATGCTATGCTTAGTTGACAGGCTCACATTTACAACGATACAGTTGGGACTTTGGAGGGGAGGTTACAGCATATTTGAAAAAAATCACTCTAAAACAAGTATTTTTATTGCCATGTAGGGTGATTTGCCCTCTAATTGTCAACTGTCATTTGCTAATCCTGGGTCCCAAAATGTAAAAATTCTAAATTAAGAATGTCATCGGATATGACGAGAAGAACGTCCCACTGCAAGAATGAAGAATACTCCAATGCAATGACGAAGTATTTCTTGATCGAGAGCAATGGCACAAACATGTTGAGTAGCAATGGCACAAACACGGAGCACTGAGTACCAACAATTAATGCATCATCCAACAATGCTCATATGAAACCTTCCTTGAGAAAGCAAATGATGATAATAAATGCCAGGCTAGCGTCTGTCACCAATGTTAGATACAAGATAGCAGGCACATTCGACCTACAAACATTACATGCAGTGAAAACTAGCTGTAAAATTGACAGTACATTAGGATGTCTTTACACAGCATCCAAAGAAAAGGTTTTACATAAGTGCGACAAATCAGTCTATAGCGACACTTTTTAGGCCATGTTTACAACAAACACCATACAAATTTTCTCTCTAACTCAATATAGCTCCTTGAATGTAAGACGAACCTACAATTCAGATACAATATCGAAACATGGTGAGGATCATATCGCGAGAAAAAAGGTCTGCGGAACATCAAGTTTAGGGTAACTCCATTTTTCTCCGAGCTTGACGATATTAAATATTTTCTCTCGTTTGCGGCGGTTCAAACCTAGAAACTTTTTGTGGTTTAAAGCTACTTGACTTGGTCTTATAATGAAAGGTGCCATAGCTATACTGCAAAGGAAGAAAAGGAGGTTAGGCTTCAACAGGGATACAGAAACAGCGTTTGGTTTATTCTTATGTTATTTCCATGCCTTTTTAACCATTGTTGCAGAACAATATTTGAGCTTTTTATTTAACTCTGAAAGTTCCTTCATGACACGTTAAATAGGGCTGAACCCTGAATACAGAACAGTTGGCTGTAGCATTAATTTGGTTAAAATGATGATACCTGGTAATACAATGTCTTACAGGAAGAGCCCTTTCTTTTGTCAGTTAGCTTGGAGTAAGATGATACCTGGAAGTGAAATGAAAAGAGAGGCGACCCCCCGAAAGCGAGATAGCTGGCGATGGTACATTGCTGTGTTTCGGAGACAAAGTGGCCAATGGGACGGGTAATCTCGATACACATCTTCAACGACCTTGTTATAACACTGTGGTTTTACTGTTGTTTCTGCGAACCACAGGCGGCGCCATGTAGATACACATTCGTTGTAAATTTATTTGCTTCGAATAATATTGAACATTCTTGTACATTGTTATTGTATTCACGTTTTCTATAAGAAAAAAGTAATTTTGCTGACATTTCAACTAAGGTCTCAAACAAGTAAAGTAATACAGAACCCTTTTGCAAGTAAAATATGCACCGAACATGTCCACTTACGAGAAAACCACAACGCTTTTAGAGGAAAGGAGTTTCATTTCTGGACATCTAAAACTTCATCTTCTACCTTTTCAACGTATGATATCAGTCCTGAGGAGAGGGGGGGTCAGGGGGTCACTGATCTGGGGGTCCAAGACATTAAGGGCCCTTAAATAATAACTCAATTAGAATAGAATGGGCAATCTTGAATAATAACTCAATTAGAAGCTTGTAAGAAAGTTTTGTTTGAATTTAGAAATCGAGCATATTTCACTTTTAAAGATTTTTACATGGCAACCAGAGTAATTTTGTCACCCATCCTCTCAAAATTTTTTGCCAGACCCCCTGGATGAGCCTGCCTTCGAAGTGCCTTGCTATCTTTCTTTCGATTTGACACGGGGCCAATAAATCCTCTCCCGCTGCCCTGTACATTACTATGAATCAAAATAAAAACATTTTTGTTCAAAGTAACTCTGCTCCAAGTCCTCAAGCCTGGTTTCTCAAGTAAATTCGCACAAATCAAAGTTAGTAGAATTGGAACGTCAATTATTATCTCTCCGTAGAGTTTTCCCTTCTATTATCTATGCGCATGCCCAAGGCAAATTTTCTCGGAGAGTTTCTTATAGCCTGTAGTCTCATATGTAGAGTAGGGACAGTGACAGTGCTTTATTTAGAGCAGCACTTTTCGCAAAAAGATTTTGGCAAGGGCAGTTGCTTTCAAGCAAAGAGAGCTATGATGAAGCAGTCATTACTTTACAAGGGATAAAACCTCTTCAGTAGCTTAGTTTTTGAGAAAAGCAGCAATCAAGAAATTGGATCTTCATAAAGTATCTTTCAAATTGGATCTCTGAAACAAAGCATCTTCAAAATTTTGGAGGCACGAGCCCTCAAGAAACGTAGCCATTGCCCTGTACATTAGGACGATGATGTCTGGCGTTGTGATTTACCCGTATGCGCGATTCGCGAGCTGAACAGCTGCTATCAAAACTCGATTATCATTTAAACCTTTTAAGTCAAAAATCATAATAGTAAATACCAAACCTTATCTCACATGTAAAATCGTTTTTGCAGCTCAAATTGCATTTCTCTAATTAATAAATTTCTTACATGTCTTAATCAGTTTCTGTGGAAAACAGAGAAATGAACCAACGATTTCGTATAATGAGCAAAACAGCTGAAATAAAACTGATGCTGTATGAAAAACATTTTGTGCCATGTGCAGATTTATAATTTGCTAATTATAATTATTGCGAATAATTATTGAAATACATTTTTTACAGAAGGTTTTAGGCTTATCGGGAAAAGTACTAATATGTTTTAAGCAGAGGATTCACACAAACACATGGCAATTACTTGCGGTATGACCTTGGTCCTGTACGTGCAAATATAGAAGACGTTGAATTGAGAAGCAAAGGGCAAACCAAGTCAACTCACTATCTTTTCAACAGAAAGATCTACTGATGACAATCCTGATTGAGTCAAGCACGTGTCTAACAGGTTCAATAGACCTAGGCACGTGTTCTTTTCCATTTGAATAAAAAATCTACCAGCAAAACACCACTTTTCACAAAATTTACCGCAACTCTGCATCTCTGCGTGAAATGTGTGTTTGAGCGTGTGCTTACGTGCTTGTGCTTACTACGTGCTTGTGCTTACGTGCTTGTGCGACAAAAGAATGAGGGTTGTGCAGCCATCAAATTTTAGAGTAAGCAGCACATGGTCAAATTTTAATTTATCAGAGCAGAAACTTACAATAAAAAATATTTAATTCCCAACTCGAAAATATCAAGACACAGTGTAATTTACTAGTACTAAGGTTTGAACCCCAGTCGGAACATTTATCACGTGACCCTCTTGTTTTCCGTGTTTATGAATGCTCTACGAAGTTGCCTTCTTTCTAACTTTAGCTTTTCTTATTGAATTTCTAATGTATTAAAAGAAATTTGTTAATTCAAAGCGATTTAGCTTAATCAAATGTTTCTTGAAGTCACTTTTTTACTGACAGAACCGCTTGATGCCGGTTCCATATAGCCATCCCCAAGATTGGATGCGTTAGAAAATACATATCAGTTGCTTTATTCTTTAAGCGATCGACCATGCCTTTCTAAATTGCAATTACTATTATGCCAACATGTTTGGTGTTTTATTTTCAACTTTGATATCCTATTTATAAATCTAAAAATCTTTATTGGAGTTTCCCACCTCAAATCAACACATTTCATAAAATTTACGATTTATTAGAAAAGTTTTCTCAGAGTAGCTCGCAAAGTAAGGCTCTTCATTACTTCTGATTTGAAGCGTGTTCTTGCCAGAGTTCCGATATAAGCGCAACGGCTTTTGTCACTAGGTAAATTTTAACATAAAGGATATTAGTTTAGTCTAAAAAACGCCACACATTGGGGCCCAAAATTTTTTATTTAGGAAATGATCAAAACACGCCTAATAAAGCGGTTCAGCATACTTGCTAAGCTGCAGTGGTGTCCTTCCGTACGATTGTGTGTATTCAGTTTGTGTATAAAACGGTAACTGATCCAAAAGAAAACAGTACTTTTGCCATTCGTTATCTATTGGTTTCAAAATGATTAGAAAATGAAAACTTAATGTAAATAACAAAAACAAATGACTCAGTACAAACAACACATTATGGAAAACAGAAAATATTAAAAAGAATTACTGAATGAACAGCAAAACCAAACTTAAATCTATTTTTAATACTTTTTAAAACAAATAACAGTAGTAAACGTTTTTCAGTTTTAAATTTCATTCAGTTCGAATACTTCATATTGTTTAAAACAAACACATTAAAAGCACATCGCAAATTGACCAAAACATAAAATTTCCAGTTTACACCGTAAGTCTTGAAAATCACTAAAATTACTCTAAGACTTACGCAAGAAACGTGAGACTTAACAGGTGTGGTTTAGTTTAATACGACAAAGACTCGATTGATGCCTTTTCGTTATAGTAATACTGTGTAAAAGTATCCGCGTAACGCCAAAAACCTCTAATTGCTTCGAAAATATCAAGTCTGAATTTGGAACTGTTCGTCATGGTACAGCAACGCAAGCACGCAAGCTATGAATTTCAGGTGGTAGAAAAGGCAATCATTGACCCGCGAGTAAAGGTCAAGCCCAGATTTTTGTTGCTTTTTTAGCAGAGGTCGCAAAAAAGGCCTAAACTCCGTAGACAATTTCATATTTGCGAATTTAAACGAGCTAGGACTGCAAGCCATGTTAATTGTGGTATTTTTGGCAGCTATTTCTGCCCTTGAGGCAGCGTATATAACCGAACTGACTGATGACAATTTTTATGAGTACGTGAAAGACAAGAATGTAGTCTTGGTCGACTTTTATGCTCCCTGGTATGGATTTTTCAAGTCATTTCCACTTCATGTCGTTGTTCATGTCATTTCCACTTAATATACATTAGTGTTTTATTTTCAGAGAATGCAAACCCGCATATTTATCACGGCAAAGTGTTTTTCTGTGAAAATATCCTTTTTTGCTTAAAAACTTTGTTATTATGGTTTGATGAATCTTGTTCTGATTATGTTCAATACTGGATAAATTACTCAATAATTTTAGCAACTGAATGACTGACCTATTGAATTGATTTGATACTGTGAATACATTTCGTGACATTAGGTGCAGCGACTGCAAAAATTTGGACCCTGAGATAAACAAAGCAGCAGATACCCTGGAAACAAGAAGCGGTGACATCGCGAAGGTACCAATGACTTTTTTTGGTCTCATTAGTCAATGGCTATTGAATTCAAATGCTGATCGATAGATAGAAGTAAAAATGTGCCGTCTTTCCGTAGGTGGACTGTTTTGGAGCTGGCAAAGGACTGTGTGAAATGTACAGGGTGAAATCTTGGCCCCAGGTCAAACTTTTCAGGAAAGGCAATTACATCGGTGAATACACAGGGGCACAAACTGGAGGTAGATAAAATAATTGTGCTTCCATAATGACATTTTCGATTTACGGCCGCGTTTAGAAAATTACTTCAAACTTCTCCTTTTTTACTTCAGGTTTAGCTATGCAGCACTAAAAAATTAGGCAGTAGGGTTTTAGTCTACATGCAGGTTTTCTTGATTTCGTACTCATGATTTTGGATAAATGACGAGATAAAGTTAAAAACAAAAGGGGAATTGACAATGATCAGCGGTCAGGGGTGAAAAGTTCACCCAGAATGATTTTTTTCGGTAAGACACCCTTAATTTTCAAATTTTTCATCCTTGTCTTATCTACAAAAAAGGTGTGAGCAGCATGAAAAACTGTATCCAGGCTAAAATTACGGCGGTTAATTCTAAAATGGCTAAAAAATTCATATAATGAAGTTTGGAGTAATGTAAAAAACGAGGCCGTATTGGCGAATTGTCATATATATTCGTTGTGTAGATAATTTTACAGAGGCGAATTTAAGGAAAATACATCCAAATAGAAAAAACCCCCCTCTATTCATCTAGATTATCATCCTTCTCCTTATCTACAATTTATCGCTTCATATATGATCACTAAGTATAATGATGTCACGTGACTATTATCGACTTATTTATTCAGAGCACTCTACCACAATGAATACAAAAAATAACAATTTCAAATTTTCTTTAAAATCTTGACACTTTCAATATAAACACTGACAAACTATTTTCAAGTCACATGCCAACTGCAATTTCCCTTTTTGAATCTAGCTTGCCTAGTTTAATCACTGCCAAAATTACTTGGAACAGCCAATGCTTTGCGCTGTATTTTTCTATTTTTCATTTGTTTTCCCGAATGCTACTACTTCTGTCCTTCTTTCCTCCCAAAACAATGCTGAAAGTATAGAAAAATATCAAACAAGCCATAAGAAAAAACATACTGTATAACCCCTTTTTTCAATAATAAATCAACATTGTTCTTTGGCGGAGAGGGGGTTGGCTGAATTTGCCTTCGAAAACCTACGTTAGTGTTCCAAGACTTTTGGCAGTGATTGTTTGTAGCTTGCTCCCTCTCTTAAGCTAACTGCATCTATTTTCACAGACGCAATAGCATTGTACGTCGAGAGTCTCGCAAGTCAGTCCTATGAAAACCAAGTTGTTCCAGCAAACGTAGCGGCCGCTGGACAACAAATGCCCTACCAAGCACAGCCAGTGGTACCCGGACCAGGTCCCATGGCTGCAGTCCCTGCCTCGCAGCCACAAATGCAACAACCTCAAAAAGTTTCCACACCCGAAAACTCGGGACTCAAAGTCGAAGGTAACTTATTCTTCTCATTTGTCGGGGGCGGCGCCAAGAAATTCAAAGTGAAGGGGCTCGAGTTGATAACATTATTAGACTAAAAAACCACCTTTTGAAAAACGCATTGAACTGCTTCACGATATTTTATGCCTATGATTTTATGGGGTACTCGTTATGTGTAGCGGTACACCGGAAAGCCGGCGATAGGTTGTCGGGGGCCTTAGGTATATTCAAAGGGGAAGCTTCCTTGCGAGCGAAAGTTGTTTGCAACCACGCCCTCTAGACTAGCTTTAAATACATTTCAGAATATTCCTTGCGGTCCTATTCTGCAAAATTTTGCGATTTTCAAGGCATGGCTTTTTACGTTTGATTAATCCCCGTCTTAAAATGGAATTCGTTACTTTATGGGGCACCATAGACCCCGGCTTATTCCTTTGAAATGAAACAATACTGTAAAAGGAATTATCGCACTATTCTTTTCTTTTATTCCTATTTTTTTCTATTCTTTGTATTCACTCAAAAACACCAAAAACTTTTTATTCTCCCAGCCTCTCACCTGGTGCCGCCCATGTTTGTTTATTCATGAAGTAGCGTCAAAAAGTGACTCACGGTAGCTTTGTTTCTGTTCTGCATAAATCGAATTGAAAAGAACACATTGCATCTTGCCAGTCTAGCAAATAGTGGATAGGTGGTCAAAAATAAATTACTTAATGTTCTGTCCATATTAAAAATAACATAAGCACATGAATGTGACTGCTAGGTGACTTTTCGTCAATAAGATTTCTCATTATTGGTTCCCTAGAGTGCAAAAGACATAAACCAATCAAGCCAGGGCTTTCTTCGTTGCTTAAATACTTTAACAATCTGCTTTTGCAACTATTCATGCCAGTCTCTGTGGAGTGCCAACGAGAGTCAGGCCAAGTCACACGATTTTCGCGCTTGAACAACGGTTTTGCGGCACGAGGCAATTTCAAAGTAACAGTTTGGTCGAGGAAGTGGGCTAAATGTCATGCTTGAAACACCTGTTCATTCTGTTGGTTGACAAACCCATGGGAAAACGCCAGCTTCTTTCCTCGTCATCTGTAAAATTACAGTATCTTGAGCAAGACATTAAAGAAGCTTTTCTTTTGAATTTTAGCACATGCAAAAGCGACGATCCATAAGAATAAGGGATCGAAGAAAAGTTTGAGCGATCAGCTATCAAAAAATAAACTCAAGAAGATCGCAAAAGTAGCCAACCGAATTGCCAAGAAAATCACGAAAACTGCAAAGAATCTGAAGAAAGCGAAAGGCAAGGGCTCAGCCAAACAATAAGGGTAAAGGTAAAGCGATAGTTTGGTTGCTTTACAATTGAACATGACCACACTGCAAGATAATCGGACGCTAGTCTGATAAGGTAAAGGTACAGCAAATGCGATAACGAGGCTTATCCAACTGGACAGGAGCAGGAAAGCTGGCGAATGCCGTTTCTCGGGCATTTCCATAGAGTACTTTCGGTTTTTTAATAAATGAATTCAATATGAATAAATAAGGCTAATGGTTTATGGTTTTGTTCCATTCTTTGGTAATTTGGTTCTAAGATAAATTGTAAATACAAGTAAAGAATAATGAAGAATAATTCAGTTGTCCGTTCAAGCATTTATAGAACAGACTTTATTTCTATTTTGTTCGTATGTTTATACCTCTGCCCTGAAATATTTTATGCTTTATTGAAGAAACAATTTTTTAGGTAAAGAAACACGTCCTTACGATATTCCCGCAAGTCTCTTGCTCTCCATAGCATCGAAGCTATTTACTGCAAAAACAGAATCGTAAATCATTTCCTCTTCCCAATTGTGAAGTGAAAGTGAAGGGCCTATTTAAGAGAGAGGAAGGGGTATCTCAACCACACGAGATGCCTAATTCGGGAAAGATAGCTCAGTAACATATTAGGAGACAAAAGTATTTGTGTACTCGAATATTCTAAGTATTGGTGGTTTTCTATCTATGTTCTCACAAAAGCCTTCCCAACATAGCAAAGCTTAGCAAATGCATGTTTCGTTGCTTTAATGTGTGTTCAAAAACAAATCTTTTCACTTATGCACCAAGAAAGTAACAATCTTATACGTTGGTACAAAAAGATTTTTCCACAACTGTCAGCTTCGCGCCAGAACATGTTGGGTGTGCAACACTGCGCACTGGCAAAATATTTAGTAGATTATCCCAACATAGAGAGGCATTTTTTCGCTTGGGTTCAGACAAGCCAAGCGACTTGCAAGTGTAGCCTGGCTAGAAAGCACCACAAGCCAAACGAACACGGCAATGTTTTATCAAATTTGAACTGTTTAATTTACCATGCCAATTTTTCTATAAACCGCTGATTCTTCGACTGCAAAATTTGTAAATGAAGGCATTTAGTTTTTCATCTCTCAGTATAAGATGTTGTGACGCGTTGATCTCTCAATATTTCTCAAGTCTCAAGTCTCATGACTCGCGCTTCATTTAAATAAAATCCTACTTGACAACACTGTGCGACGATAATCACTGTGCTTTCCAAATCGCTGCTGCCTTCCATGCTGTTCAACTTAATTACACACTTTCTGCTGTAACAGAGCCAGCTGCATCGAGACATCCACATTTCACAGTCATTTAACGAAAAACTGGTTCTTTCTTCCATAGTTTTTGCAGAAATCGAACAGATAGCTATTAGCTATGACTGATGTTGCAGCGCTATAATATAGCTAGGAAAATACTGCAAAGAGCGGCTCAAGCGGTTCACCTCTCACTTCTTCGTAACAATCGTTGATAAAAACAGAAAAAGTTGTTGTTGTTAGGATTTTCTTGCTTTATTCGCTGTATGTTAGGCCATAGAACTTCCATCATCTCTGGCCTTACAATGTTTGTTTCAAACCAAGCAATACCACTGTGTTTATTTCACAACGGAGAGGTAAACTACTTGCCTTAAACTAACCTTCTACATATACCTTAAACTAACCTTCTACATATACCTTAAACTAACCTTCTACATATACCTTCAACTTTCATTGGCAGACAATTTGCTTTGCTCCTTGAAGGGCGCAAGACGAAGGCTAATGTTTTTCGTCCAACTGAAAATTGTCCCCCGTCCAATAAGCTGAACTTTACCGGCTATGCAGACTCACCTTGAAATTTCGAGGATCGAGTCTGCTCATAGGAGGATCAACGGATGATTTTCACACAGTTACTCGCATGTGAAGAGATTGGAAAAACCCGTTAAAAATGTACAGTGAAATGCTATTACACCTTAATTAACCACTAGCTGAAACTCCTTAGCAGAAGGCAAAGTTGAATTATATTGGCTGGTTGCTCTTCAAAAGAGCAATGATAAACATGGAAAAACATTAAAGACCCTGAAAAATTAACTGCTTCGTTACTTTTGCTATCACAGTTAAATTGACAAAAAAATGCCCGATATTTTCATATCAAGTTGTAAATTTGATCACATTACTAAACTAATCTAAATTGGTCGCAAACAAACAAGAGAGGAGGTCAGACGCAGTTAGTATAAAACCATGCTATCAAAAGACAGGATGAATCACATTCCGAGAAAAACTAATGTCAGAAGTCTTTTGTGCGAGCCAAATACAAATTTAAGATCGCTTGGTTTCGGCATCATTCAAGATGTTAATTTGCCTTTTATTTTTTCAACTACTGCCGTTTCCGGATGCCTTCGAGTATAAAAAAGTATGTAGGCCTTGCATCGTGCTACGGCTTCTTCGCTTACCAAACTAACACAGCTGTCGTTAAAATGATACCATGAGCCTGTCGTGTAAAGGGAAAATAGTTAATCTCAACAAAAATAGTCAGGGTTTACACATCGCAAGCATTAGATCTGAAAGAGGCTTGCTTTGTTACAATAAGTTTTAGAGCTGGCGGGAGAGAAGGGTGCATAAGAGGGCAGGTTAAGAGAGTGGACTTTTCATTTGAGGCAACGACAATATCAAAAGTTGTGAATACCAATAATAATAGAGCAAGGAGGAAATGCCATTTTTCAAGAATAAGAAGATTATGGCATTCTTATCGCTCCCACAACCGTTTTCTGAATATGCAAAGGGGAGGCGTGAAAATAGAAATAGTTGAGTATTGGGAAAAAGACCAGGGTTAGGCAAAATCGACAATAAGAAATAAGTGTTTGAGGATGATGACTGAAATTGATAAAGAATTTGAAATCTGAAAAAGAAGCATTTATAAGGTTACCTTCGTGCCAAGCGTAAGCTGTGTAATGACCCGACGTTAAGCTGAAATGAAAAACACAGGCCATACCTATATAAAGGCATAACGAAAAAGGCATTCAGGATAATAATACGAGTCATAATAAGAGAAAGCATATCATGATAAAGAACATAATAATATAAGGCATAATATAAGAACAGAAGCAAGAATAAATATTGAGTATAGGGAGCACAAAGGATAATACTATGAGCCATAATAAGAGAAAGCATATCATGATAAAGAACATAATAATATAGGGCATAATATAAGAACAGAAGGAAGAATAAATATTGAGTATAGGGAGCACAAAGGATAATACTAGGAGGCATAATAAGAGAAAGCATATCATGATAAAGAACATAATAATATAGGGCATAATATAAGAACAGAAGCAAGAATAAATATTGAGTATAGGGAGCACAAAGGATAATACTAGGAGGCATAATAAGAGAAAGCATATCATGATAAAGAACATAATAATATAGGGCATAATATAAGAACAGAAGCAAGAATAAATATTGAGTATAGGGAGCACAAAGGATAATACTAGGAGGCATAATAAGAGAAAGCATATCATGATAAAGAACATAATAATATAGGGCATAATATAAGAACAGAAGGAAGAATAAATATTGAGTATAGGGAGCACAAAGGATAATACTAGGAGGCATAATAAGAGAAAGCATATCATGATAAAGAACATAATAATATAGGGCATAATATAAGAACAGAAGGAAGAATAAAAATTGAGTATAGGGAGCACAAAGGATAATACTACGAGCCATAATAAGAGAAAGCATATCACGATAAAGAACATAATAATATAGGGCATAATATAAGAACAGAAGGAAGAATAAATATTGAGTATAGGGAGCACAAAGGATAATACTAGGAGGCATAATAAGAGAAAGCATATCATGATAAAGAACATAATAATATAAGGCATAATATAAGAACAGAAGCAAGAATAAATATTGAGTATAGGGAGCACAAAGGATAATACTACCAGCCATAATAGGAGAAGGCATATCACGATAAAGAACATAATAATATAAGGCATAATATAGGAACAGAAGCAAGAATAAAAATTGAGTATAGGGAGCACAAAGGATAATAATATGAGTCATAATAAGAGAAAGCATATCATGATAAAGAACATAATAATATAAGGCATAATATAAGAACAGAAGGAAGAATAAATATTGCAGCAATAAGACAGCAATAAAATCAATTTTTTAAAGCTCGGAAGGCCTGTGGAAGGACTGACAAACAACTGGCAAAAATATATGCACATAGAACTGGGAAAGGGATGCTTAGGGGAAAGGTTCCGCCGGTAGAAGAAAATACTTCAAAGGATATGCTAGAAAAGTTTATGAATTCTGGTCTAGCTGCTATCAAAAACAACGTGCTGTGTTTTTTGAATAAAAACATAAACTAGAAAGCATTTCATTTAGGCTCATTACGTCACATGCAGAACAAGACGATATTCAGGGCTTCAGAATTCTTACCCGCCTCCGTGGTGGACCACAACTGCGGCCAAGTCATAGATGTTGCTCTTGGCAGATGGTCGATTTTCTTTTTGTCGCTAAAACATGGAATTCAAAACTCGATCATTGTTTAGTTTTGAGTTAGGCTGCTACCATTGAGGATGCTATGGAGAGGGGCGGCTATTGCCAAAATTTACTAACGACTACTATTAGTCCTTGAAACACAATCTAATCAACGAACTACCACATAAGCCCAGGGTCTATTCCAAGGAACAGGGAAAGAAAGGGTAGAAAGGGAACGTCTGTAATACTGCTGTAATACAGTATAATCGGGTAAAGCGTACTTTAAGGGACCGGTGGATTAATAATCCGGTTATAACGTACTTTAAGGGACTGGCGGATTAGGTACGTTAGATCCCAAGTGTATAAATACCCTGAATAAAAAAGTTTAAAATGAAAATGAAATGGAATGACTGCTGAGTGTCGGCATCAGACAAATGCGAAAATTCGAAAATCGTTGTATGACTTAGATGGTCACAGCACTTGAAACGACCAAGGAAACAATAAAACAATATCAAATAATCGCAAAGGACTTTGTAAAATTTGCATTGACAAGTCTTTCCCTTAACAACTGACGTCTCGATCTTTTCATGCTCAGTGCCTAAAGAAGCTGTTTGCTTTTCACATTCGTACTGTAAATTTCTAATTTGAAAATGGCTTTGAAAAAAAAAATACTAACTTGAAGCCTTTTTTATCTGACAATCCTCAGAGTATAAAACATCAGAAAAAGGTGCCGAAAGAACAAGATGGAAAACATATACCCACTGGTGGATCGAAATAGTACAATCAGAAAAAGGCGAGCCATGATCAGTATAATTATCAAATCAGTACTGCTCACCACTGCAGTCCAAGAGAAAAGCGAACTCCTTTTATGTTTGTATGTAGATCGATTCCAAAACTGCTAGATTAAAAGACAAGCGGGCTCTGCCAGTTGTCTGAAACATAATGTCACTATAGCGTCTTGCAGGGGTTATTCTAACGTGGTTTTGTTACCGTTTTGTGGTGTTGCAAATTTGATTTGTGGTGTTGTGATTTTAATTTTGTGGTGGTATAAAAAAATTGACTCACTGGGAAATTTGTTTTCAAAAAATAAGGAATCGTTTGGTAAAACTAAAAATTTCAAATCAAAACAAAACTTAACGCAACAGACGAATTATAGTAAATAGTCAGCAAGGACCGATAAGAGCAACAATGATTGGATGTTAGACTCTAATTGGATTTCTGTACACACCCTTCAGGTCACTGGTAAATGAAAGATTCGCCCATTTTTAAAATTCGGTTTTTACCTTTAAGGTTAAGTAGATAAAAAACAGGGGCGTAGCCAAAATAGGGACGGTTAGATGGGCAACGAGGAGAAAATGTTTGCTGACCACAACCTTAAGAATTTGGAAAAACACCCTGTTTTGAAAATGCGTTCGGAAAAGCTATGGCTTTTTTACGTGGCAATGGTTGGCTAATCAAACAGTCATATGTATCCTTGTGTCACTGACCCCTACAATTGTCTGTTTCTTTCACAAATCCCCTAATCTTGGTGCCAGAAAGAGTCAAAGGATGAAAAATGGGGGAAAGGCATTGCGCCGGAGAATAGAAATGAGGCTATGGCACCCAATTTGCAATTCCTCTTACGCTTATATTCTGAATTGCGTAAGGCGAGGCGAGTAGAAAAGTTTTGAGTGTAAAACTGATTTTCCAAAGTAAAACTGAGTGTAAAACTGATTTTCCAAAGTAAAACTGAGTGTAAAACTGATTTTCCAAAGTAAAACTGAGTGTAAAACTGATTTTCCAAAGTAGCCAAAAAACAATAAACAGTATTCAAAAGTTGCAAACTAAGTCTGTTCACCATGGAGCATAAGTTGCAAAATCTCCGACAGCATTTCAGAATCCAGGTTTTTTAAGGATTGAAGCGCTTTAGCATTTTAGGTTCTATTTTATGTCTATAGAACGTGGAGGAATTTTCTATAGAGACCCTAAAACTAGAGGAAATTGTAAAACACTCTGTGAAAGTACGCCGCTGATAATGAAATAATTAAAGTAAAATCTTGGCGTTACTCGGGGATGTTCTTGCCAATAGCGTCGCATTCGGCTGAAAATTCTGGGAAAGGGTTATTCTGGGAAATGCTCATCGAAGATAGATGCTCATCGAAGATACTTTTCCCAGAACAGGTCAGATTTGTCATTAAAATCAAAGCCTTGTCACTTCTATAGCTTTCTCACTTAATGCTCAAATTTGAAATTAATGCTCTTATTCCAGGATACGTCTCATGTTTACAGAAATGTTTTCCCAGGACAGGATCAACAAATTATTGCGGAAGGCACATCCCTGTGGTTTTTCTCAAAGGTAAACCCCACCGGGGATAAGGGTTCCACATTTCGAGTACTGGCAAATTAGAATGCACATGTAAGTACAGATTTCATGTGGTACATATAATGATATAGTGATGATTCTACTTCACGTGAATGGTTTCAAAACATTGCATGCTCTCATTCCCCTCTTAAAATCACACGAGTGTGGCTCTGCATCTAGCATCCTAGCCAATGCTTGCATAAGATACGGATATACATACTTAGTGATGTTGATAGGCCTAACCAAATATGCCAGTTTCATATTTTTCATTGCGGCATTCGTAGAATTGAACACATCTTGATGCTGTAATACCAGTTCCGTAACGTCCAGTTCAAGCATATTCTATTGCGCACTTTGCAAAGGGTGCTTCGGATGTATGTTTATTTGTCTAACAGGGTTTTAAGGTTTCTCAATTTTCTACCATTCATGTGCATAGAACTTAGGAGACTGTGCCCTCTTATTCGGGCCGAGATCTACTGCTTTTTGAGTATTTAATTTCTTATTAGGTAAAACTATACCATCCTCCACATCCCCTCAAAATTTACAGTCTACAGCGCCAATGGTTACACTGAAGTAAAAAAGAATTATTTTTTATGTCAGTGGATTTTTTACTACCGTTGTTTTTGGTTTTTTCTCAACAGTAAAGTTAAAAAGTTTAACGAAAAAATATCCGTGATTGAATTTGTGGTTTTCTTAAAATTTTTCTTAGAATAACCCCTGGCATTTTGCACGATTTAGGTTGTCTAAACGTTGTTGTACGATGGCAGAATCACTTGGTTTAACGGTATTTCTAGGCCTACAAGATCGAGGAGGCTGTTCTCTTTGAGTGGCATTCTGATGTTTTATAATCTGTGGACGAAAAAGCTTTCAGTATGAAGCTCAAAGCCTTTTCAAAATGTGCACTTGAAAAAATTTACGCCAAAAAATGTGTCAGCAAAGCTCACCTGCGATTGCCGTAACGCATATGGGTTCATATTAAGGTCTTGCAAGGGGAATTTCACATAAGTGTCGACTTTACTTCGTCCGAACTGAGAATATCTAAAGCGCTTTAGATGCAAACAGAGGACCTGTCGAGAGAACAGAAGAGTCACCAGTGGATCAGTAGAAAAATAAACAAACGAATGAATAAATGAATAAAGAAATTATTCAGGTGAAAATAACGTACATTGGATAGACTTGTCAACCAGAATTTCTTGGTTGAGGGCTGCCGTTTATTGCATTTCGGACACATGTACCGTTCGGTGTCTCCCAATTCTTCCACGTCGACAAATCGTTGTAAACAATCTGGAAAACAAACAAAAAGATTGGTTGAAGCTGTTCTCTTAAAAAGGCCACGAGAAACTAGGTATTTAAAGAACCGATACAAGTGTTACTAAGTTGATATGTTTTGAGCGCTTTAAAGCAGGACGATCGGAAAAACAATATCCTAAGAAATCATCGCAATCCTTCTCTGTCATTGCAATCCTTCTCTGTCATTGCAATCCTTATCTGTCATTGCAATCCTTTCCTTCTGTCACTGCAATCCTTCTCTGTCATTGCAATCCTTCTCTGTAAATTCAATCCTACGCTGCCATGTAGCATCCAAAAACTTGAGTTTTGTTTCATATTTTCATTTCATTTCCGAATATCACTACATTTCACCCTTTTACCCCTAAGGCAATGTTGATAATCAGGATAAATTAAAATGACAAAAAATTCTTCAAAACAAAAAATATTTTTTCAAAAAGGAGAGGGGGAAGTTGACCTGAATCCGACCATGAAAAATGATGTTAGTGTTTCAAGACTTTTGACTGTCATTGTAGACAGGGCATCATTTAGCTTTGTGATAAAAACTACTTTTGTGAAAAGAAACTTAAGTAGGGACCACGTTTAACAGTAGGACTAGGAGGGCAAGCATGTTTGGTACAGGAAAACAGACGCTATAAAGACCCTGGTGGTGCGGATGGTAGTGGCTGGATTTGTGAAGCATTTTTATTTGACGGTGGATCATTTGGTGCAAACTAATGTAGTAAATCATAGTCATCACGAGTAAATATACTTGGACGTGCAGGAAAACATCTGTTGCCAAGCCAACGCTGAGCACCAAGCGAGTAGTATTCTGATTCTTTCAGATATAATGGCTCCCGCCAGACTTCGTTGGCGTTGATCTTTTCATCGCCTTCACTGAACTGTTTCTTTGAATTTAGGACAAAGCGGACAGTGAATTGCATCTATTTGCTTGAAAGAATTAGGAGATGCACAGGAGAATGATCGTGTTGAGGTGACAAGAAAGACGCCTGGGAATCGATGCTTTTGTTGTTGCAACAACGCGAGTAGCAACATTGAGAAGCAAAATAAAGGGATTATATTTAAATTTGAAAACAACATTTGAAATAGCAACACATTATTTGTTTAGATTTGGAAATGGGTTGAAGACGATCGAAAGAGAATTTGGCTTCTAAATGATCGTCAGGTGAACGAAATATCTTACAATGGAGTGAAGAATATTTTTAAAACAACTTAACGAATGGGGGAGAAACGTGTACATGCTTTCAACGACGATAGCTATACGGGCTCTCAAAGTCGCAGGGCAACAAATCACTTGAAACCGCTCAACCGGACGTCTAATATAAGAAGCAAAGCAATGACGACAAGCGGCTCGGACATCTTCAACAAATACAGACCACTACCGTCATTAGTAGGCAAAGACGAAATGCAGCGCTTCGCTGAGGAACGCGCGGACAAAAAATTGGCATTCGAGGCACTGGATAATGCGAGAAATCTGATGCAGGCTATGAAAAACAGGCGCGATATCATGCCGTTTACGCATACCTACCCTAAAAAACTTGCAACTGAAGACTTTAAGACATATCATGGAAAGGAGAAGGGTGACATTATGAAAAGTAATAAACATCACCAATTATTCCACAAAAACAAGTCCAGCAAGGAGGATATGAAATGGAACGGTACAAAGCAGGAATCGCAAAATGGTTCGCTGAAGTAGATAAAGGGCATGGAGGGGACACAGTTGCCTGCGTGAGTGACTCAATGTCTCTGTTCAGGCCCCATTTGGACAAGGTATATCTAATTGAGAATGGTACACTAAGTCCACCTCCTCGTTAATGACGCAACAGTTACTAGAAAAAGTTACAATTTGACTCTTCGAAGACAAAAAATCGAAAAGAATTCTTGATTTTCTCTGCGGTAAAATAACGCTTTCATGTGGTTGCAACTCTTCGGCAGCAGTAAGGATTTCATTAAAAAATATGGCTAGGGAAGAAGACCTGCGTACCAGTAATTCATGATGTATGTAAACGTGAAATTCAATTTTGACAAAGCGCTAATTTTTTTCTGTATGATTATAAAACTATGACCAGCTGACACGCGATTCCTGCAGAATGTTTATATGTAAAGTAGAAGATATTTCAAGGCCATGGTTTGCTGTATTTAGTGTATGAGACGGCATATTAAAACTAGTTTGATATCAACGGTAATTCTTTGATTATTCCAAAGGTCTTTGATGCATTGCTACATTACCCGACCCTATTTAAAGCACTAGTCTAAAGTCCTACACGAAACAATAAAAATTCATAACTTTATTTCAATAAATCATTGAACACTGCATACTTCTAATCGTAACAATAATCGTGTATCGTCAAACAGGTATTGTGGATGAAACCACACAAAATGAAAAACCCAGCTACAAGAGTTTTTTAAAAAGAGTCAAGCGAACGAACCTGTGAGGTAGCATGGTTTCGAATGCTTGGATTTGTGGCTGTGTCCGTGACTGTGCGTGTGATAGCGATATGGGATATCCAACGACATGTCTACAAAAGAATAGAAAATTACATGAAAGCATCAAATTATAAAGACAAGAACAGAAAGCATTTAAAGGGCCTCTCCAGCCGAATTTTGCACTTGCATTTTATTGGCTAATCTAAAGGAGTTTAACCTGCTGATCACGAATTCGTTATTTGTTTTTCGATATTTTTTCAGTATATGAGATATAAGCTCTTGCATTTCGATAATTGAATTGAATTAACCGACAAAAATTTTTCGGTTTGCTGACACTGTGACGCAATTTTGACGTCACTGTACGTTTCGTTAGTCTCGCCTTAAACCGAATCGAACGACGGTGATTCGCAAATTGAACACTGCAAGTGATGATACTCTCAGTTCTGTTTCACCGGCTTTTAGTTTGAGCATTTCAGACAACAATTCTGAAGCCTTTAGTTGTTCATCGTTTCTGGAGAGCAACTGAAGTGGCAATTTCGATTAATTATACGCGAGGGAAGAGCTGGAACAGGAATCCATAGCTTTGTGGGCCTACACAGGTGATCAAAACAAAGTCATGACACAGCATGGACACATTCCGACCCGCAGACTTAGAACGATTGTAAACATTTAATATTTTTCGATCCTAAAAAGCTCCTGCTGTAGATTTAGATGCAGTAATCAACGCGTGACCATGACTCCTTTTACACTTTGGTGGAAGATATACTAAATTAATGGCAAACGAGAGCCGCACATTGTGACGTCAGAATGTCACCAAACTGATTCGGTTTTTGTCGTTTTTTTCTCGGAAAGGTGCAACTTTAAAGCCTTATAACTTCTAAACTAATTGGAATTTTGCAAAAACAACGACTTTGCCATAATACACGCACAAGATGCTAACTTTTTAGTCAATAAAAATTTTTTTTTTGGCTGGAGAGGCCCTTTAACTAGCAGCAGCTGCACAATGAAATTGGTAGAATTCACCGTACAGATAAGGCGAATGCTCAAAATGGTGTTTAATGCACATACTAGGCTTTAGCAAAAATCCCATATTAGGTTTTAGCAATGTTGACGAAATTCAATCTTATACTTGATCAAGACATGACGTCTTCATTCGCTTTATCTACAGAGCAATATGTTCAACAGCTTTGCTTGGAATCGGCATATCATTCATCATGCAATCCTATTGGCATTTTAAACGGCAGGTAGCATGAATACATTTCAATATCCTAAACTAAGGGTGTCATACAAAAAGATAAGGGGAAAACTGGAAGGAGTCCCAGGTGACATCTGGGACGCCTATGAGGGAAACTAGAACATTTATGGGGGAATCAAGGAAAACTGTGAGGGAAACGCGGGATATCTAAAAGGGGGACGAGAGGTTTCTATGAAAAGAATCTGGGAGGACTACAAGGAAAATTATGAACTTCTATGTGGGGAATCTGGAACAACTATTGGGGGAACCTGGGAGAGATATGATGGGATTTGGGTTGAACTGTGACGGTGGTAAGGCAAAACGCGTTTCATAAATACACACCTAGGTATACTTCTTGTTTCCTGGACAAATGTTTGCACTGCAGACACGTGACCTATACAAGGAATAAATGGAAAAAATAGTTTCAACAAGGAAATGTCGAGAAAAAAGTGCAGGTGGAATGAAACAACGAAGTAGTCTATAACTATGCTAAAAGGGCCGTGATAACGGCATGACGTAAAAGCACGCTAAAAAAGGCATGCAAAAAGGCATGTAAAAAGGCATGCAAAAAGGCATGCTAAATCGACTTGAATGGACCTGAATGCAATGGCAATTCTTTGCAAGCGTGGCTAGGCATAGTGCTGAAAATATCTTTCTTTGCAAACACTTGGGTTCTCAGTTCCGACTGATCATTATTGAGGATTTATGTGGGAAGCAATTAAACAGAAACGAACCTCGCTTTGCAGATTGCCACCAAAAATGCTCGTAACGATCGTGTCTTTGCCGTTACTGAATTTGTTACTTTGTAGAAGCTCTGTATGGACACGGTCCAGCAAATAATGCATGAATTCATGTGCATCGTGCTGTTGATAACCTCTGCAAATAAGAGTATACTGTTTAAGGACCAACTTTCAAAACACCCATGTCATATTTTTTGATCCAAGCAAGACACCAATACAACATATTTTAAGAACAAAATAAGTGGAAGAGTAAGGGAGTGGAAAAGCATGATTTCCCTACCGTGGCATCTACCACAAATCAAAACAAACATTCATATGGTATGGTGGATTCTACACCTGAAGAAATTTTTGGAGAAAGAAAGCTCCTCTCTGGGGTCATTTAATCAGAGGAAGGGGGCGAAAAACTCAGGCAAAATTCTGGTAAAGCAAGAAAAAGAAAACGGCCTATAAAATTGCTTTTCAAAACAACTTCAGAGATGAACTCACCGAAAACGGGGAACTACTTTCCAAACAACTGCAAACAGTTCGTCCGGAGAAATTGTTGCTGACGAGCCTTGCCAAAGAGCACATAAGATCTTTCGAAGTTCTTCAACTAAAGATCTGTCATGAAAGGTTACAGAATCATGTACATATAAATAAACTTGATAGAATCATAAAAGATATGTCGTTACAAAAGATAAGAGAAAAGCTAAACTAGTTTCAATTCAAAACATATAAAAACCGATAAAGGATACATCGAAAAAACAAACAGAATATCGAAAATACAAAGAGTAGGTAGAGGCACTTACACGTCCTCAGGTTTATAGCTTCTCGTGTAGTATTTCTTAGCAACCATTTCATCTTGCTTTTCACTCAGCTCGATGGCTGGAATCTCCTTGAAGTAGCAACTAAAGTGCTTCAGATTGCTTTAAGGGAAGAGAAAGAGCAGCAGCAAATTAACCAGAAGTAGAGCTTGGAACAGAAAAAGTCGATGTTGAAAAACAACGAACGGTAGTGAAAAGCACTGATAAGAATGGTACCTCAAAAAAAAACAAAAAAAAAAGAAAACAAAAATGGTACCTCAAAGACTGCAGCACTGCGTTCATAAAACAGGTATTGCCAAGATTCCGCAAGCCGGGTGTATATCTTGAAGGCATTCGACCATTTAAGTAGCCATTTTCCTTTCGAAGAAATTTGCTCTATTACTCAAAGTAGCATTCACTCACTATCAAGAATATTTTTGCTTAGCTTGTCGTTGCACGGCGCTGCGCAGGCCAGAAATAATTTAATCCTTTATGCGACCAAGATTTTCTACAAGGTTTATTTTGTTACCCGGCCACGCTAGGTAAACCCAAGCAGCAAACGGTTTAATGCCAGCAAAAAACATGCTCATTTTGGATACTAAATGCATTCGACTGTTGAAGAAAAACAGATCAGAAGAGGTACTAACGTCATTTTTGTTTTTCTTTGGCGGATCTTCAGGATCAATTGACATCTTCCTTTTCTTCTTCCCTTTTGAACTACGAAAAGAGAAACAGGATAAAGTGGCTCACTTTGTAAACAAATTCCAAAGGAAATCGAAGGAAATTTCTTAGATAATTTACTAACATGGTATTCCTTTTCAAGACAGGTTTGAGCCTAACTTCATTAAGCAAATTATACTAATTACTTAAGAAAAAGAAAAAAATTAGTTTTTTTGATATTCATTGCCAATCAATTGCAGTCAAGTCACATTCACTACATTTTCCATTGAAGGTTTTGGTAAGGGCTATGGAGCAACCAGTTTTCTGAATGGATTAGGTTATACCTTAATGCAGGTAACAACACAAAACATATTAGCAGACTTGATAAATGTCCGTTAACAGAAGCCAAATGTCTTGTATTCAGCACTGTTGTTAATTGATAAGAATATATCATTGTCAAATTCCCCCTGAATGAAATAGATACACTGTATCAAAATGTATTATTCAATCAAGTGTAGGCTCCATCAGGCCTGGTAATATGAGGCACGTGACAGCTCACACACATACACCCATGCGCCCCTGAAAAGGCCCAGATGCTTTCTATTGTACAGGCAAATAATTCTGTCATGTCAGATAATAGTAAATTGTTTTAAAAGATTGCAATAAATGACTGTAACAAAATTTCTTAAATTTAATTCAAGCCAAGCAAATCCAAATTTACACATTATGATCCTTAAGAATGATTTAAGAATTAAGGCTCAAAATAAGAGCTTGTGCTATTCACACACTGTTAAGGATGTATTTCAGTTACAACAAATGATCAGTAAAGCATCAGTAAATCCATCAAATAAGTCGTGTTGATTGGGTTAAAAGAGACGGAAGAGATTTTTAAATCACTAGAATCTAGGTGTAACTAGATGTATCTCAAAATACTGAGATACATCTAGTTTGATTTGTGAGTAGCTTGTCAAGGATTCTTCCTATGAGAACGGAGCATTAGTTTAAAGTATTGTTTATAACTTTGAAAAATCTTGCCTTACACAATTCAGAAAATAAAACGTGAGAGAAGTTGTGAAGGTAATAGCAAGCTACATATGACTGTCATTGTGCTAGATCAACCAATCATTGCAAAATACAAACAACATAGCTAATTTAAAAACATATTTACAGAATGGGGTGTTTCCCTAAATCTGAAGGGTGTGGTCTGCAAAAATTTCCCTGGGTAAACTCCTGATCCTCTTTCTATGGGCTGATCTTTTGCCCTTCCAATCTTTTCACCCTGGGGACACCACTGGCTTCATGTTGAAAGTTTATTTTGGGGAAATCAGATTTGAGTGCAAGATTAGCAAGCGGAAAAACAAATCGTTCTTGCTTAATTTATTAAGGACTTCTGTTCTTCAAATGATTTTGCTCAAAAGTCTTTGATACCATAGTTGATAATGGAATGTTATATCTAAAAACTAATGCTTAAATGTTTCCCAAACATAAAATGTCATAATAGCTACAGAAAGAAAGCCACAGCATGTCTAAATAACTTAAGGTGTGAGAATTTTTGCACAGTACTAAGTTGTGTATCACAGCCTGAGGTCCATTTACAACACTCTTTGATGCACTGAAAAAATTATTAAATGACCAACTTAACAAACACTTGAAAAACCAAATCCTTGATCAGATCCAAGAAGCCTATTTAATACATTTCGGTAAATATTTTTCAAGCATTGCATTTTTTAGTAAGCACCTAGTTTAACTTTTTTTAGAAAAAGCTCCTTCAGTGAAAAAGGGGATGGGCCTAAGGCAAATAAGATGAGGAAAGCTTGGTTTATAAGGAATAACATTGTTTTTAATGTTTCAAGTTAAAAGCCAATTGTCCTCCTCAGTAATGAGGGCCACTGCTCCCTATCTCTGAAATAATTGCCTCAAATAGAAAAATGAATTTACCACTGTGCTGCAGCCTCCTCGAGTGTATCTCTTACCAATTGTACATCACCGGTCTTTGTGTCATTAATTACAAACTCATCACATTTATAGCTAAAAGATAAATTAGTCAGCAAATTAGTCAGATTAGTAAGATAAATTAGGAAATTATATCAGGTAAATTGTCCTCTGCTTGCAAAGGTTTAAAACGCATCTTAACAAGAAGTCTCTTGCCCTAAGAACCCAACCTCATCGCTAAGCAACTAATATTTGTGAAGAAAGGGTTTTTCATTTTACAAACAAGATCAATTTCTGGCAACTTAACTTACCTGGTTTTTTTGGAGGTTATGTTTTGTTAAATTTTTTGTAAAAATCGCTTTTTCAGTTGTTTGAGACCTATGCAAAGTTGAAGCCAGAACAAGAATGATAGAGTGTGATAGAGTGTGGAAGTGGCATGTTCCAAAAGATTTGACAAAACAAAGATCACATGGCATTGATTAAATCACTGCTCTACATTAACTTTTCCAAAGAACCTTAATCTAAAATGAATTTTTCAACCTTGTCAGGCTTTTAGGAATCCTTTTGTAATTTATCAACGACAGGTATCTAGCACTAATAGTAAACATCAATGTTAAATTGTGGACTTCAAGTGGAAAAAGAAAAAACAATGGCAAGATATTATGAAGCAGCCAAACATCAGGCTAATAAACTAAATCATCCAAGTCTTGCAAAGGAACAGCATAAATTTTTTTTTGGGGTAGAGACCGACTGATAACTTAACATGTGAAAACTTAACATTAAATAATGATATATGTAAAGAACTACATTGAACTTATGCAGTTGTCAAGATTTTATTACAACAGTTTTCTTAAACTTGAGAACCACATACCAAAACACCATCAAGGAAGCATCCATGCATACAAAGTGTCCATCACTGCCTTCCGAGTGTGTTTTGGCATGTGCATTTATGTACCTGAGAATTTAATAATTTTCTATTAAATTCAAAAACTGGCAAAGTGAAGATCTAAAAAATGGGAAAGATGATGACATTTAAAGGATTTTTGTCATTTGTAGCTTTTGTCTAAAGGAAAAAAAGAAACTTGGATGTAGTTCAGATGCAATCCAAAAAACAGCAGAAAATTTGACAAAGTCAACAAGCCACCATAATTCTCCAAGAGTAACAGAAAATATCATCTGAAGATGATTAGAGATAAAATAACTTATTCAATTTCCTCAGTTCAATTTTGGAAAATCAGTCGTAGTTCTAGATTAATGTCAGTTCAATGCCTATAAAGTTAGTTTTATTTCAACACACACTTCTGTCATCTGGCAAAAATGATCAAGGCATACCTTCCACAATTAACAACACCACACTTCAAACAAATCCAAGGACTTCTGTTTGTTCTACAAACTGAAACAAGATGCTGGTTGATTAGATATACTGATTAAGCTAGGAGGGCAAGCGAAGGCAAGCAAGGGCACAGTTGTAGGGGTGGACCTTGGAGAAGCAAGTTTGCATACTTAGCTCCTGAATGACCATAAAAGATATAGTTAGTTAGTGGACAGATTCACAAATTTTTGCTGATAAAAAACAAATGCCAATCCATTTTACTGGTCTATTGGTGCATTTTAGTGGTCCAGTGAGTTAGTTTTGTCTGAATAACTATAACCTGTCAACCTACAATAATACCCACTAATACCTAATGTATTTTGAGTTTGACCCACATTACTGACCTAAACTCTATTTGAGCCAAAAATATGTCTGCTGATCAAAATGCTTTTTTGCCATGAGTATTTTCATTTGTTAATGAGGGAAACAATGACAAACTACATTGAGAAATATTTCACATCCGGCCCTTAATTATCCTGCAAAAATAATGTCCAGTTTAAAAATTCAAACTACAAAACTGATAATAAACAGCATTATAAGTCTCTAGCAGATATATTCTAATGTTCCGCATGAAATAGTGGAGGAAACATTGCAAACTGAATCATTTTCATATAACACTCTTCAGAGTATAAACATGGAATAATAACTAAAAGTACGGCTACAGAAAATTTATCCCAAGATGTGGATCGAATTTTGTCGAAAGCATTTTTCTTCTCTCTTCTTTTTCGGAAGTTTTATTTTTATTTTTGTAAAAATCACAACTTGTCACCGAACCCGATGAATGAATGAATTGTGAGTGAAAGGAAAATTCTACTGATTGGTTCTTTGTTTTTTAAGTTTTAAGTGAAATTCTTTTTACAACACATTTTGGCATGTTGGTACTTATTTTATTCTATCAATCAATTGCTGACTGTACTGAAGCTGTACTGAAGTACTAAAGTAATGGGCTTCACAATTCATGGCTAGCAAAATGTATCTTTAAGTGGAGGGGCCAAAACATCTAAAATGTGGAAGCATTTAGTAGAGGCAAATTTACTTAGACTTAGAAAAAACTTAGAAATATGGTATTTCAAGGATGACCAGAAAAAAATCTAAGAAATAAATTTAGATCCAAGAAAAATTCAAGGCAATATTTTCAAGCTTCTTTTCATCAAGATGCCCCATAGTTTTATCTGGTTTATTGTAGACAATAAGAAATTTTTGCATTAAATAAGAAGCCAAAAAAACAGAGAAGAGAAATAAATGAAACACAGATCAACAAAAAGACATAAAGATACATATATTAACAAAATGACTACTTCAACTTAAAATAACAGATAAGTCATTTTAAAGAGTTGGGGTGTAATTTCCCTTGACCAAAAAAATATTCATTTATAGTTTAGAATTAACACTTTTTTCTTTTTCTTTGCAGTACAAGGTCATTGTTAAAATCAGACTTTTATGCTTTTTTGTGGAGGCTTTCAAAGACAAAAATCTGCCATCACTTTCTCAAATTGTATTCTAAAAATTCTTCCTAGCAGTTTCTTTTCTTTCAACAGCTGACATTCATCCTTTCTGTAACTTTTTTAACAGTTTGTCCATAGCAAAGACCTTGTGAAGCAGGTATTCCATAATTCTTAATATCTTAATGGTTAAGAAATAGCTAAGAGCACATTTAATAAAACATTGGGCAACAGTTTTCTACCTTTTTCTTTAAATTTTAGTTGGCTTTGCAGAAATATTTTATTCTACCACTGCCTTGGTTTGGTACTTCCATCAAATGCAAATGAGCAGTACAGTGCAAATTGATTTTGGCCCTGTCCATGTAGTTTTATTCTCAATAAATTTGGCTTGACATGATAAAAGTCGTATAGGAGCCAGGGAGAGGGGGCATAGGGGGCATGTGACCTTTTATGGATGTTAATGCATGGCTTTTTATGGATGTCTATCTATCTTCAAAAAGGGAGAAGAATGGAATAGGGAAAATTATCGACCAAATTCTTTACTTTGCATTCCAAAAAAGCTTATGGAGGGTGAAATATGTCATCAATGGATAGTAAAATGGATAGTAATGGGGGTTCAAGCAGGGCTGTGCCCTCGTCTATTCTTGATTCTTGTCAATGATCTCTCAGATGCTGTATTGGCGGGACACCTCTTTATGTATGCTGATGACACCACAATGTACTGTGTTTCCAAATCCATTGAGGATGTAATTGTGAAATTAAATGATCCAGAGACTAACGTATTTACCTATCAAGATTCAAGAGGACATATATTTCAAAACTGTGGTTAGTTCTATGACATACTGTATTTCTGTTTGGGGCACAAGTTCTAATGTCCTCATGGATGCTATGGATTATCAACATAGCAGGGCTGCATGACTCCTACACAAGATCAAAGATAGAACCCTTACAAATGAAAAGATAACAAACAAAGTAAAATGGCAGCCAAACAGTTATATCTATAAAAAAAGGCTGCTAACCTTAATGCACACAATCTATTATGGAAACTGCCCTGCTCTAGGGCCTTTTGAAACTCAGAATGTATGTATGTATGTAACTAAGAGAAGTTTGCATTGGAAAACAGGTTTCTTAAGCTGTCAGTTGTTGCATGCAAAATGATTTCACACTTAACTGGACATGAAGCCTCTCTACCTCATGTCTAACTGCAATTTAGACATAGCATGTAACAACATCCTTTTCATACATTTCAGTGAGATTGTTTTCTTCTTGAAATCATATAAAAAAGGGAAATGGCAAATACTTAGAGCTTCCTTTCTGCCTGGTAGCAGCAGATCTTTGCCGTTTAAAATATTCTTTTACAAAATATGTGCATATTTTGATATTTACTCAAATTCACTTCATTGTAGAGAAATAAAAGCTGGATACAAGAAATACACTCACCTCACGAAAGTATCCGGACAGTTTCAAATAAAGTTGTGAATCTGTTGTTAGAGAAATTTGTTTACAAATTTCAAAGTCAGTTTTAATGAAAACGTTGTTATCAATTTCCTCGAATTTTTTCTTGAAGTTTTTTGGGCCTTCAATCCATTTATTGGTAATCTTATTGATATGTAAGCAAACTCTGTAAGGCTTTTTCCTCAAGATGGTAGCGACCGAAACAAAATAATTGACTTTTTTGAGCAGTGTCTAGAAATAATGTTTTATCACAATGATGAGATGAAGCTATCATTTAATTGCTAGTATCATTGTATGCACAAAGCCTGCCGCTTTCGAGATATGCAAAAAAATTTGAAAAACAAGAAGTCTAAAATATTTTTCACAGTCAAAAAGAGCAAGAGCTTTCACGACACCAAGGTCTGAGCATTTCGCCCTAACCAAATTTGCATCAAAACTGGCTTGCATCATTATGCAAAATAGCATTAAATGTTCATAAGCAATTAAACTGTTAAAAGCTGTCAATAAATATCGCAAGGAACATAATAGAGAATTGTGAATGTACCCTCGTACCAACCGATTTCAGCAAGACTTGCAGCGGTAAAGAAGTAACAAGGCTTTATGGCCTTGCACTGAATGATTTGTCTGCTTTGCAAGAAAGTTTTTGATCTGGTAAAATGTTACCAAATGTCATCCATGTTTAATTATTGATCGGTGGCATCTCCATGCAAATATTTTTCCTAACTGGAAGTAAACACATTGTATTTCTCTTTATTCGAAAGTATTTGTGTCTCAAGAACCAGGTTTTATTGGCCCATTTTAATTGAGTCCAAGTCACCTGACTTTGCTGTTCTCTGCTTATTTGACATCAGTTGAATGCGTAAGGTATGTAGCGCAAAAGTTTCTCATTATAACAAAAAATGATAATGGATAAAAAGCGCAGAAGTTTTGCAGCATTTTAATGTTCTGGTTTATTTTGGAAGGGTTTCTCAAAAAATCATTATAACTAAGTTAAAAAGTCGTTTTCGCCAGCCTAAATTTGTTTCTTCGAAAGCTCAATGGATCTTCAAACTCTCCGGGTACTTTGTGAGGGGAGTGTAATAGATGCATAGAACAAGGTAGCAAAAGCACTGACACTGGAGCAACTAATCGTTAAACTAGCCATGCCCGACAAAAGAACCATTATAAATTTGTAAAATATTAAATTTATATAGACAAAATGATACCATGAAATTGCAAGACAATCAAGAAGGCAAAATTAAGGAGATTAGGCTGAACTTTGAAAACAAACAGTGCACAAAATTAGGGAATAATTCTATGTTCCAACACTTGAATCTGGAAAGGGGTAAAAGGCATCATTTCAAAATCTCTGCTTTAATGAACTGTTCCATCAAAAACAAAATTTGCAGCTATTTTGTGAAAACTTTCATCCAAAAGAAATTTTTACTTCATGCTAAACAAAAGCTTGGCAAGGAAATAGTTTCACCAAAGTCTATCTTAACAATATAGAGCACACCTTTGTGATAAAAATTCAAAATTTTAAAATATATAGATTTTATGGCATCATGACTTTGCCAATCTTTTCCATTGCCTAAGAGTTGATATTTTTCTTAAAGCATCCAAAGAGCGTCTAACTGCTGATTTTCCAAACAAATGGTACTTTTGTGTCTAGGGTATTAAAACCCGAAGAAATGAGATTCTAAAAAAATAGACAGACACTCATCAAAATACAGAACCCTGTTTAACAGTCAAGCAATGAAGTTATCATTTAAAAAATGAGAGGTCTCTTGCCACAAATGACAAAAATCTAAGAAATCAACTATGATCTACAATAAGGAGTCATTCATGATAAAAAGAGTTTATTCATATTTGAAAAAGTCAGTTCAATGAAGTATAAAAAGATGTTTTTTACTCATTTTCTGCAAAAAAAACACCCAATTTTTAGGTCAAATATCCATGCTTTTATGGCCCAAAAAGACAATGTGTTAATTTTGGGGCTGGGAGGTATGACTTGATGCAATATGTTCAATATGTTCCAGTCATTTCGGGAGTTGAAAGCACGTTTGATAGATCCCTTTATACCAATTTACCAGACCCTCTCAGAGAAAAGTGTCACTTATGAAAATTTTGGAATTTCCATACGATAAAAACTGGAGGTGACTTCGATCTTTCTTTTGTCCGAGTACATGCTCGAAACGTCGTATTTTTTTACAATCAAACTATTATATTTTCATTCTGGTACTAAATTTATTTGCCAATTATATTATCATTTTGATTGACTTTGGAAACATTCATGCAAACGTGAATCATGTGACGCGAATGCGCTAGTCCAGTGTCAACCCCAAATTATCTACAAAAACGCACGAGTTAATACATTTGAAATGGAAAATCGACTCTGTATGAAAATTTTTTCTCGGGACTTATTTCTGGGACATTAATCACTTAGTTGGAAGAAAACAAACTGTATACATAAGACAGCACGATGTTGGCGGTTTGTTGTTGTTGGCGTTTGAATGTACATGCCAAAATTACGTCATGGTTTTGTATGTCATGGATTTCGACGAGCTTACAGACCATGACTTTGGCCTGTTCAGTGACTTAGAGGTATTTAACTTTGAAGATTATCTTGAAATTGCTAATTATGATGAAGATTTGGGAAGAAAATAAAAATGCTTTCCTGCTAAAGAGAAATTCACGATATCAACCTCCTCCACGTAGATGCCATTATTATAGGCCAACACGACTATCAACAAGTAGCAAGCAAACTAGTTTTACCTGAGCAAGTCCAAGACGTTTTGTTTTCCGAAGTAAGTTTTCTTACAAAAGCTGGTGACACATCAACAGAAGCTTCTAAATGTGAGCATTCCATGGTGGAAAGTTTGAGGAAATGATCGCCTGGCTCCTTTTGTGTGGCCTACCGCCCTCTCTTGAGTGAAGCAACGCAAAACGCATAATTTATGCAAATTTAAAATAACAACAAACACGCGATAAATTATTTGCGCATAATTATGCGAAATAGCGCGAAAACCGTGTAGACGGAACAAATTTAAATTTCGATTTTGCGACAAAAATGTAAAATAGTTGCTATTTTTTCATAGATTCTGCCATAACGTACTTACATTAGAACAGAAAACGGTAATTAGGGATCTCTTTATGCCATTTTTCTGTTTTAGCGCAAGCAAACGTGCTTTTAGCAGACATGGACATCAGAGAGGCCACTTTCCCAGCTGATAGGTACCGGGGCACTGCACAGGCCAACAAATTATTCAAAATGACAACATCTAAAAGTAAATATCTGATAAATCACATCCTCATAACTCTGGATTATAATTGGTCAGAAAAGCTTCTAATGCGTTACTCAAAAAACCGTTTTCATTGCACACGTCCGTTCTTCCTCATAATCAGTGGTAGAGAATTTTCAATATACCCTTGTTCTACATTTATATGGAATTCCTACTTAGTCATTTTGGCATCAGTCTTCACGCAAAATCTAAAATACAAAAAATTTCAAATTTTTCTAAATGACCAGTGAAACTTACGAACCCTTATCATAAGGAAAAGGGAATTCAAATGAGAATTTCTAAAAAAACCAAAATTTACTTTTGAAACGCATTGAAAGATTGACCATGATTATAAAAATATCTGACTAAAATGATTATATGCAATCAAAATATCTTAAAAGATGTAGAACGACATTTCAGTTTCACTTTGAATTTTTTATTATTTCTTATAAAGCTCTGATACGTCCAACATATCACATTCCGTACGTTCTACACGCACCCAAAGTTGATATCTGTGTGCTGTTTGTTATGGTCTCTTGTGAAGTTCTCCTTCATTTTTTACGTGTACGGTAGCCAATCTCCAAGAAAATGCTCAATGCAGTAGAGTCTTTTGTCCATCTGTGGTTTTGAGGTTGAAGTTGCAGAGCTTTAAAGCATTTTTACTCCCTTGGTTGATGTAGGATGGTTTTTTCTGTACAGTTGGTGAAAACATAGACCAAAACTGTTCCTAACTCTCTCCTATCTAGGAACTTTGATAGTACTAACAACAATGTCAAGTTTAAGTTTAGGATTATAGAATTTCAGGAAATTAGGAATGGGATTTTCAAAACTAGGTCTTCAAAGAGCTTTGGGAATGACAATAACTCCTGCTATTTCCCAAAACTGGCCTTACCACTCATTGAGAACGCTTTGGCCTGTTTCTTCAATACATGACTTAAAACTAACATTTTTCCAGACCCATGGAAATTGGTCAGAGTTACCCAAATTTTAAAAGAAGGAGACAAAACTGACTATCATCCAACAATCACCGTATATCAATTTTACCTGTCATCTAAAGGCTTTTTGAAAGACTTATGACCAACCAATTGTACCAGCACACAAATTATAATGGATGTTTCTCCCCAGAGCAGTCTGGTTTTCTTAAACTTCATTTTAAAGCAACATGTTTGCTTAAAAACACTGATGACTGGTATAAAGGACTGGCTTTCGAGTAGCTAGTGGGATATGTTATTATTGACATTGGGAAGTCAGTTTTCATATCTTTATTCACATCATATCTTTATTCATTTTCATATCATTTCATTCAAATCATATCTTTACAACCGGAAGCAATATTTTAGGGGAAACGGTGTTGGTTCACCAATTATGGAAATTAATGTTGGTGTACCCTAAGGCTCATTTCTTGTACCCCTTCTATTCCTCATTTTCACTATTGCTTGGTGAAGCCTTATTGCAAGAGTGCTGTTCGCTTTTTGCCATTCCACCCACCCTCATTTTGCTTCCTTTTACGAAAATGTTCTTTTCGACATTACCTCAACAATATTAGTCTTTTTTCCAGCATCATGAAAACATATCATACCTTTAGTAATCTTTTACATTTTTGACGTTTTGGTGCTTTCTTATATTGGGCCATATTGGGCAAAAGGTACTATACTTGTCCATTTCCTTCAGATATGATTTATGTTTTGGTTTTTACGCAACTTCTCTTGGTAACCGATGCACCAACGGCCAAACTCGTTCTCGTTAATGAGGGAACGAAGACTCACGACTGACCTTCTGAAATCTATTGCATGTTTTTCCGAGAGAGCATTTGACCTTACAACTTGCATCATGACTTCTGTCCCGAGTTAGCAAATTAGTGATATAATACAAAATCAATCATTAGAAAAAGCGGTGATGTTGACTTTACTATTCTTGCTGGTTTATTCAAACATTTAAAACATAACTGTTCAGTTTTGAGAGACATTTGGAGAAAAAAAGATGAATCATTTTGCAAATAAACAATGTACCATTTATATTTACATTACAACACACGTATAATGGCTTCATAAAATAACTTTTTCCTGACATATTACGAATCTATGGCAAATTAGTCCAAATTAATTATGCTTAAATAATGATTAATCCGTGACCGAATATTTTCAGATTTGACCTTCAACAAGCCTTTTCATCTACTAGATTGTAATCATTTTTATTTTGAGAAAACTCATGATTGCAAACTTGAGCTTAAAACTCAAATTAAAGCTCAAAACGACTTTGAGAAAACAAAACCTTGTTGATAAAACACATTTAACTGGCTTAGTCTCTAATGAAACTGGTCTAGCCAAAATTAGTCAGAGATGCTTTGTTCTAGGCAGTTGGTTAGGTAGATGATGATACTGTAGTTATGAATCATTTTGTTTCGATGTCAAGTGGATTGAATCTTTTTTAAACAGGGATACCTTTTGATATGTCCTACTATCATATTGAATTTGTTAATGCAGTTTAAACGGCTGTTCTACGTCGATAAAATTATGTTATCAACGTGTTAAAACAGCAATATTATACAATTACTCTATTAAGGTGTTAGGCAGATCTTTTGATCTAGTTGCAGAGCTGCAATGAAACTCTTTGGTTGAAAATTATCGCAATCTTTTCGACCTTTGCAATGTTCGGCTTTTAACTGCTTGTGTCCATCCCTCGTTTCCTTTTCGTTTCAATCGAACGAGTCTGTTGTTTAAGAAATGTTTTCTTTTCTTGACGATGTCATCATCTGATAACATGTTGCCGTTTGATCTGGGAATTGTACTTCTTGAAACAATCTCCGAGTCTTCTACTTGGTTGCTTGGTGGAATGCCAGAATTCGTTTTAACCCAATTTTCTGAATCGATTGGTGCTGTTTCTTTGAGGAACTGTGTTAATATTCTGGATGATTCTTTAATCTTCTCCTTATCTTCAACAGTGTTTAAAGGCACCAAAGTTGACCTCGTTTGAGCCTTCTCTGTTAAAAATATCGGACCGCTATTAACTGTATTCCCTGTTTGTTTGCTAACTATACTCATTGGATACACACCCACAACTGCCTCCTTCTGTGCCTGCCCACTTTTTCCAGATTCCTTTTCATACTTTCCATTTTTGTTTTTAGATACCTCAGTATCAAGCTTTTCCTTTACTTTGGGGCTCTTTGGTGCTATTTTAGGCAATCCATGAATCAGGCGATCAATCAGGGGCGGTCCCCTACCCAGCTGGCTCCCCGGAGTATATGCCCTAGGAAGGTTGGCTGAAATTTTGTTTTTGGGAAGTGTTCCAGAGTATAATTTGAATTTTTCATAGTCTCTGAAATTAATTGGTGCCTGATTTACCGGGTTTAAAACTGTTTGTAAAGTTTTTCGTTCTCGACTGTTTTGCAATTCTCGTAGCATCTGAATTTGACTTGCATAATTCAATACTTTTTTCTTCTGCGATGGAGCCTGGAGTGAGATCAGAGGAAATCGTCTTTCTACATTCATATTTCCTTTTTGCTGTTGGGTAATGATTGCTGTATCAGATTTCAGCTTTGTTGATTTGCTGTCGTCTCCTATAGATATTACGGGCACTAGTTTCAGTTTTGGTCCAATCGAAATCGGATTCTTCAAATAGTGGTACGGTACTTTCATCTGACCAAATTTTATGATATCAGATCGATCCCTGTAGATCGGCAGTCCTACACGATGGCCAAGTTCTTTAGCAACCTGCTGATGTGAAAACTGCCTGGTCATTTGTCGCTGAAGAAGACTAGGTGGCCGTTGCTGATATAGCAGAACATTAGAAAGTGATGTCAGTGGAGAAACCATCTTCTGATAGGGAACAACTTGCGGCACATGCTTTTTCCGCTGAATTTGTGCTTTCAAAAGTTGTTCAAATCCAGGCGTTGCTTTCCAGGTGTTATGTCTTTTACTTGCAACAGGGCTACCTTTGGCATCTGTTAATTTGGTACCTGTAATAGGCCTGTTTATTTCAAGTTGAGCAAAGTAGCTTTGTTTGGTAGCTTTTCCTTGCATAGTGCCTTGGTTGTTGTTTGAGGTAAATTTTTTTGCAAATTTCTTTATATCGAATCCAGAACCAGGGTACAACCTGACTTTTATTGATTCTGGGAAATCACTGTCTTTTTTCGCTGTGTCTTTTTTGGGATAAGAATTTCGGTATTGTATGCTATTGATTGCTTGATTTGGTTTTGGCAATTTGATTTGATTTCTATTCGTGACGTTCTTCAGCTTTTCGTAGACTCTTTTCCAATCAAATCTGCTAAGAGGCTGATTATTCCCTTTACTTGGTATTTGATATAGATTGTCCCTAGTCATCATGCTACTTTTGACTTTGTACTGCATAGCAGGGTTATTCTTTGCTTTCATAAACGAAATGCTTTTTGCATAGCCTCGTGCACTTTCGAGAGCCTTTAACTTTTCAAAGTTTGAGCCTACATTTCCGCGTTGATTAAAAGGTGTTCCATCCTTTTTAGCACCATTAAACGGCTTTAAATTCGAAACCTGCTGGCTCAGAGATGGCAATCCCAGGATATTTTTCTGCATCCTGAAGAATGATTTTATTGATTGTTGAGGTGTTTGTCCTCGAAACATCGCAGTCCCTCTGTTTCCAAAATTAGGATACGTTTTCTGACTCGGCCACTTGGCTGCAGATGAACTCACAGCATTGTTTCTAATCTCTTTCCCTATTTCTTCTTTCATTACTTCAGATGGTTTTTTATTCAAGTAATTAGCAAACATGTTCTCATATATGTTTTTCAAGACAGTGGCAAGGGAAACGTTGAATGGCAGTTTCATTGAAACAACTTTGTCCTTTGTTTGACCAATGGCAGCAGTGCTTAATTTTTCTTCATTATTTGGGAATGAAGTGGTTAGCTCAATAAACTTTTGGTGATTTCTTGGAACTTTCAGATAGACAATCGGATTATTCGCTTGCTCCGTTTTTGCTTGAAACTGGTAGTTTCTGTTGATTGGTGTTATATATTTTGCATTCATATTGCCTGCTACCACCTGGTGTATGCTGCTCTTTGGAAGTCCTTTAGAGCGCCCTTCTGCGGCGCTGTCTTTGGATGCTGACCCAGCAAGGCTGTCAAGGGGTCCTTTTATGCGCATTATATAGTTGCCGCCATCGGGAGGTATGACCTTAATCTTAAGAGCAAATGGCCATGGGTGCACACGCGAATCTTGTTTCTTTGTATTCCCTGAAAATGGAGAAATCTTAATTGCAGGGAAATGGTCATAGGCAACAGGATTTTTTGTGTTGAATCCTTTAACTGAACTGGCTTGCTTTGACAACGGGTCGGCCTGTTGAATCGCGGGTTTTCTATTAAGCATCTCATTTTGCAGAAGCTGTTTTTCCAGAGCACGCTCTTGGTACATCCTCAGCAATTCCATATTGTAATTGAATGGCTTTGGAGTAGGCCATGCTCGAATTGGCTTTCCTGTTGTCTTGACGTCTTCTCGCATATCGAGGCTCTTTTGACTTGGAACTGATGGCGCGAACTGACGATTCCTCCAATCAGACTGATACGTTTGAGTAGGGCTCCAGTAGAATCCTGGATATGGGGCTCCTGTTGGGTTGTCTCCAGTTGAACCACTTCTCATGCCTTGATAATCTTGCTGGTTCTCTGTGACTTTATTATTATTCTGTACGGTTTCTCTAGCATCACTGTTAAAACTATTGAACTGGTTCGGCTGGAGTGCTTTAGGAACATTGTCTTGCAAAATAGTGGTTTGCGGGGTGCCATTTTGCCTGGTGTCCTCCTGAATTCCTGTCGTGTCCTGCTGATATGGAAACACTGGGTTTGTCTGATACTGATAGTTACTCCAGGAATTTGGGGCATTAGTAGATGTCTGAAGTTTTGTGAAATTAGCCAAGAATTGCTCAACAGGCTTGAACGTTTCACTGATTTGTGGGTACTGATTAAATAAGTTCTGAATCTTTGGATCGCTTGTTTCTTGTAGTCTAGAACCGAATGACATTTGCTGCGGAGGCTCCATAGCAGCAGTATTGTCCCGTTGCTGCAGCTCCTCCCTGGGTACACTGGTGATAGATGAAGTTGTTGTTCTTTGTTTGTCCAGCAGCGACTCTAGCATACTAACCCAACTTTGCATGTCTTTGCCCAGCTCAGAAATGCTGCCGTTTAAATTCTGATGCCGACCTGCGTGGAAGTTTGAAAGAATTTTATCGACAAAAGGAGCGAGCCTAGGCCTTCAGTCTGACTGGCTGCACATTGAGCGATCGTTAGGCGATTCAATATAAGTTCTTAAGGCCAATAGTTGTGAAAAATGAACAATTTTTCAACGTCGTTGTCTTTAACTGCAAAAAGCTCTGTAGCCTTAATATCAAGTCTAGATTCCTTGTTACCTCGACTTCCAAGTTTAGTGCCCCGGCACTTCTATACGCGATTTTCCTCTTATAGCCCAGTTAGCCCAACAAGATTGGACTTGCCTTATAAGATAAAATGATTTTAACGTTGGCCATGAAATCAACGAGTAAAGCTGATGTAAAATTTACAAAATTTGTTGCTGTGATGCGTTTTACCGTTTTTAAATTTAAGTTGTTTTTAAATGCATTCTTGGTAAAATCTCCAGCTTTATCGATAAGATCGTTGAAAGCAAAGGTTACTATTCTGTAAAAAGATTACTTATCTGTTTTTAAAAAGCAATTTTGTTTGGAAAATAAAGAAAACTACAAATGCCGAGACAAATGTAGGGTAGGGTGCATGGAGAGTCAAACACCTAACCGCCCGTTAATTTTTTAAGTGTGTCACTAATAATAAAAATATCACCGTTGAAATGAAAGGGGCGCAGCGCTTGTGTGTGAGGTTGTATCTGTGGTTGATTACGATTGCAGGAATCGTCGGTGGTTAATTTCACTTTTCCAGTTCATATCAAAACCTAATTTACCATCAATCACCATGAAGGTTATTTGAACAATAATGGAATATTTTAAAAGTTGTTTCAAAAGTTGTTTAATTTAATGTCTAGGATTCTCCCTGCAGAAAGCGATTTGCCAATCTAAGTTCCTCTTGTACTTTCAAAGAATGTGTCACTTTCGAAATTCCTTTGCCCGTTCGTTATCCTTTGACTCTCTGAGGCTCTGGCACCCAGGGAAGTCCGGCAATCATCATTGTACAAACGCTGGATACTTTAAATTTACGTCTTTTCATGAAAGCTGGCTATTGGGTAACCGACTCAAATGAGTAAACAAGGGAAACTGACCCTTAACCGGTTTTCACTTAACCATTCGAACGTCGGGTGGCAGTCAATGTCTGTTTTTAGGATAGACTATTTCTAAAAAGGATATGTCATGCTTCTACATTTATGCTCTCTAAACGGCACTGAACAAAATGAGAACGATTTCTAAATTTGTATATAATGTATTTCAATCGTGTTTTCTTTCTAAAAAGCGCTTGAAAGCACTCTAAGCTTTTTGGTTACTTGCCCCTTTTCGAATTTCTTGATCATGCGGAGGACAAATTTTGAGCATATGAGGTTCTTTGACTATCTTCAAAACAAATGTCAAATAATACTTTTAGTTTTTAGTCTTCTATGCTGATTTTAAATACAAAAGGTAGTCTGGTATTTGGCGTGCTCGCAACATAACACAGCCAAGCTTAGGCTGAATTAACAGAGTGCTTCTGTTTGTAAGCTCACCATAAGTGACACATTTGAAATACCTATATTAGTTAAATCACTTTGCAAATATCATTTTGAATACTACCATGAGTTTAAATTTACTAATTCTATTGTTGTATGATGCATTTATTAATATCTTACTTATTTGTCCTTCTGTCTTTGCAAAGCAATGCTTTTAGCATCAGAAAAAACCAGCGACTTTTGCAAAGTGTTAGTGTTTTGCTGGTATTTACTGCCTTTATTGACAGAAACAGAAGTAGATTCGTTGAGTTAGTTCCCTTCTTTGCACCGATTACTAAATTCTAAACATTCCCCTCAATATCCACTTAATGTCCATTATCAATATAAAAACAGGTTCACGCTTGAAGAGAACTGTTCGAAACAGCGCCAAAAACATCTGTAGTGTATACACCAATTCTATTGACAATAATAATAGCATTTGTGATACCATTTATAAGATTCTGTAATGTTCCGGATCTACTTGAACATAAAATAAAAAGGAGGCAACTGAAAGTTATGTTGATTTGTGTACATTTAGTTGTTTCATTTGCCTCTCTGAAATATTTGTAAAGCGACTTCATATGCCTTATCTCTCTTATCAATTTTTTATCTGCCACACAGTTCTACTGCCGAAAGATCGACAAAATCCTCAACTTTGCATTAATACAAATTAAATGTGCTTGTTTGATCCATAACAAGGTATATAAATTTCCTAGCTTTGAATTGTCGATCACTATTTTGATGTTGTGTGCTGTAAAAAGCCTTTTCGTGTTAACTTTACAACATAATTTTTTACCATTTCGTGATGATCTAAAGAACCTTTCCAAAAACATGGATTTGTCGTTATATGACGACATATTCAGCAGTTGTTAGACAAAAACAGATGCATTGAATCTAAATGCTCCGTTCATTAACAATTCATCTCAACTAGACTGTCGAGATGATAGGTAGCTGATCAAAATAGCCAATGAAGTGAGTACGAGTCAATAAATCGCCAAGTTAAAGGCGTACTTGCTGCAATTCGTAGTTTCCTGCGAGCAACAAACTACCAGAGACCAAAGTAGAATATAAATAGAAGCTGTGATGACAAGCCAATATTCCTCTTTGCAAGATCGCCTTTTTCAATGTTTCAGTTCGCCTTTGGAATACCTACGTACTACAGCAAGTCAGCCTGAACAGCGCATTGAATTAACTATAAATTCAAAACATGTTTTCTTTTATTATACTATTTGTATATCAACAGTAATATAATCGTATTAAAGCTATTTACAGTCGGTCTTCAATCTTGTTGCAAGTCACTTGCTTTGCAATATTTCATTGATTTCAAAGTTCAATGCAACCTTTTCACGTTTTCATGCAATAAAATCACTCTGTGGACTTTGAAATGCAATATGCAATATATGGCTTTCAACTTGCTTGTCTCTGTCAACACGTGTCTACTCTTTGTGTCGTGTTATCGAAGTACTCGATCGCTTAATTTGCTGAACAAAGATGCTAAAGAAGCAACATAGTTATGTATGTTGTTGGCACTGACTAGGTACACAAAATAAGTTGTCATTTTCAAGAAATTGAAGATGTCAAAGATATCGATTGATTGTTGGTTGTTCTCTAGACTGAAGCCAAACCCACTCTGAGATTACATACTCCTTAGCGGGTCGATTTGACGTGTGCAGACAACGAGCAAAACCTAACCGACCCAACATTTGGAACAGGGAGCAGTACACTCAAGATCCATCAAATTTCTTTCAACTATCTGAAACGCTGTAAGCCACAGTGAGCGCTACTTTCCCTTGTGCATACATGCAATGCATTTTGTGATAATATCATCAGCTGTTATGACCATTCATTTTGTGACAATATCATTCACTGTCAAATGTTGCTTCAAAAATGTAAATGTACTAGTACAGATAATGCTAACTATACATGACCTTCTTCTACCCTCTTCTAATTACACTCTTTCGCATAATCTTCTTCACCCAAATGCTGTTAGGACAGTTTTATTTCATTGCTTTTTGCCAGAGCGCTTTTTTCTAAGCGTCCCCCAATTTCCGGAGCTGCTTGGCCTGTGCGGAATAGTGTTCTTTTTGCTAATAAAAAACGAGCGAATTCGACTTCTTTTATCCCAAAGCTCCGCAGGAATTATTTTATTCGCGTTCTTATTAATCGTCTGACCTCTATTAACAAAATTATTCGCACCCACATTTGATGGCCTTGGTTGTGAAAAATTTTGAAGATTTTTCTTCAGATTCTCTTTTTGCTGGTCACTCTTTCGTAAATCGTTAAGTTTTTGAAAATTTCTCACACGGACAATTGGAGAACCCACAGCTACACCCGGCTGGTTTCTAGCATTTGGCATCAGTTTTGGCTCATTGACCACGGTAAATCGTGGCCTGACTCGTCCCAAGTCTACCTGTGGCAATTTTCCGTTGATTGTGCCTTTCTTGTTATAGAAATTATATATTCGTCTCCAAATATCATATGTCGGTGGCCGACCCATTGCCTGTTTCTTGTTTGCAGTACCAAGGACAGCAGGCGCTTTTGAGCGACCAGTTGTCTTGATTGTGTACTTGACAAGAGCCGGGCCAATTTTCGGCCTGTACCATGTTGGTAGTCTTCTGTACGCACTTTGCGGAATGTACACAATTTTTGCGGGAGGCAATATAGGTAGTGCACTTTTTGGTGCCAAATTGCCTCTTAGACTAGTCGGACGAATGATTTTAGCTCGAATGAGGGCCCTGTCTGTCTGGGGAAGATTCACAAGCGAATGAAATGAATTCATTTTCATTTGCTGGCTTCTCCTGGGCACCACTGGCGTTGATACACGTTGTTCTGAAAGCTGAGAACGGCCTGACAAGATACTCGAGAGGAATCCTGGGATAGCAGCTGCTTTGTATTTAATTGCCTCTAAGGCATGTGAGCCTGGGTTTCCCTTGATACTTACTGCATATTTTCTTCCAGGGCTCAAAAGACTTGGAGGTTGAATCCCGGATGGTGCTTGCTGTTTCTTAGCAACCCAAACCGGCGGGTTTCCTATAACATTCAGCTCATTTCTATTTCTAGAATATGCTAAACTTGGTTTTGGATTGTAAGTTTCTCGTGCTTTAACATAATTAGAATACATTTGCATATAATTAGGTCTGGTAACATGGAACCTCTGAGCTCCAGCTGTTGGCTGCTTTTTATTGGCTGAAAGTGGTGCTTTGTGTTTATTAGTGACAGGGTTTGGACTTAAAATTCTGTTGACTTGGCGAGAAAAAGGGGAAGCAATGGGTGTCTGTGAAGATTGCCATTTTCGAGGGTTTTCGATTTTTTGTCGCGCTGGTGCTCTTGGAGCATTGTATCTTACTAAGGCTTGCCGAACAACGTGTGGTATAGCTTCTCCTCTCATGAAAACTGGGCCGAATCTTGGGAATGGTTGGAAACGACCAATGTTTAAACTTCCAGGTGTGAAAACATTGCTATATCTGTTAATTACACGCCTGATTGCGTATGGCTTGCCATCTATTACAATGAAAGAAGTGCCTAGACCATTGTTTGAAGAATCGAGAAGACCCTGGTATGTGCCAGCAACAGGAGTGGCAGGTACAGCAATGCTTGAAGATGGAGGGTTTTGTAAGCCTAATTGATAAGCTGATGTTTGTGCTTGAAATGGGGCGTTACTGTTACTTTGATACTGAATTGTAGCGCTGGCTGTCCTGGTTTGCATTGGTTCTGGGCGGGGACGTTGCTGAACAGTTTCAAAGCCAGGTAAAGTTGGTTTACTTGAAATTGCACTTTGAAACAGCGACGGTGCTGGTGGTTTGTAACGATTTGGATTCCATAAAGAATTGAAAATATTCCATAGATTATTACCATTAGCTGGTGGCATTGCAGGTGGGCCAGGTGGTGCTTGCGGTTCTGCCCTCATGGCGACAGGCGCCCACTGGTTGGCGACCGGTGTTGCAAATGGTCTGACTGGGGCGGCGGCTTCAAACGGTCTTGCTGCTTGTAAAGTAGGGTTCATAGGCGGAGTTGTCATTGGGTACGCATACTGAAAGCTCGCTCCTGTCTGCCAAGGGTCATTGCCTGGTGCCCAACCACCATCTAAAACATCAAATTAGCATAATTATTTTCACGTTTTTAGGAGAGACTGTGAAGCGAATGCAAAAAGATAATCTGTATACCATGGACGAATAATGACACAACGCTGCTTGTCTATCATCATTTTGATGTTTGGCACATTAATGTCAACAATTTCATGGGGGTGTTGGAGGTGCCAGGGGGTACCTAGCCTGTTCCCACAAGAGTCAAAGAGGTCAAGGGATCTGATTTTCCAGTATGCCAATAACATATCATTGATTACTGTGATGAAACAGTTTGTTTGTAAGTAGCTATAGTTCATTTGACATACATACAGACCTAAGAGGCGTTAAAAGCATTGGGTCATTATAAAAGGATAGGGTATACCCAAACGTAACCAAATCCGCTGAGTCATGATGTTCGTGCTGCGATGCTATTGGTTGACCTGGAGCTGGTCACATGACTTCACCTCATACTGATTAACAAAACAATTCCCATCAATAGTAAGTTATCAACAACGGGTGCCAATATCGCATGAAACTGCAGGATAACGCCAAAACCAAGTGACCCTCATAGAAGGCTATTTACCATAACTCAATGCCTTTAACAGGGTCATTGAGGTCAAAGGCGGGGACATAGAGGTCACAATGCCTTCCAGTATGCCATGTTGCATACCATTAAAAATTGCCGAATTAACAAAATACATACCAGGCTGAGGAGCAGCTACTTGTGATTGTGCTTGTTGTAAGTATTTGATTATTGCATCTGAAAGACAAAGAAAAGCAAATTGCTAGTCGAACAAATTGATTTGGGAAAGCAAGTTGGAGAACAGAATGATGCAAGCATGCTGACGTCGTTAGGTTACAAGTTTCAAGGGGTGATTTGAAACCTGAGAGCACGTTTCATAGTAGCCCAAACATTGGTTATGCGCAGTGGCGGACTAGCCCACGGGCCCATCGGCCCGTAGCCGCAGTGCCTCCTTTAAAATCCGGCAAAAGGGCCCTATCTTTGCAGACAAAGTGCCTCATTTTAGGAATATGGCTCCCTTCAGTTCTTTGCGGCCGGTTAAAAATTCTGAGCCAGTCCGCCACTGGTTATGCGCATTCATAAAGTTGAAAGAAATGTTGCGAGCGAGCGCTGTTCTCGAATGAAAGCTTTTGAATGAAAGCTCTGCAACTCATTTTTACTAACCTGCATTTCTGTCCCCATTGTAATCCTCCTGAAAGACGCCATGACGAAATAGCTTTATTGACGGATACATTTGAACGCCAAAGCGATCGCAGAGATCTTTTCCATTGCCAATGCAATCAGCCTAGAAATACAATTCACTATGTGATAGATACGTCATCGGAAAGTATGAAAAAGTTACCACAACTTTACTTTAGCTGGTGCATTCTTAAAATTACATTTAGACAATTAATGCAATGATTTGCTAGCCAGTGGCTAACAGAATACGGCGAAATTGAGTTACCAAGACTTGCAGACAAAGCCTTTGACTTGCTCTGGTTTTCTGAAAAGTATTTTTCATAGATTCATTAGAAATTTATTTCAATATTAAGGGGAATCATTGGTCTGAAACAGTGCCTTTCGTTCATTTAAACCAGTTAAGAGAAATCAGCCACATACCCTTCCTAAAATGAATTCTCTGTTGACTGCCAAAGCCGATGCTGCTTTTTCCCATTCTGGCTGGAGCTCTTGACAATGATGGCACCTTTGAGAAAATTGTACATCATTTAGAGGGCTTTGGCACAAAACTCAAGTTCCACTTGCAGTGCAATGAATTAAGTCGATCAATACAATTCATACAGCGATGCCTCTATGAACTAACTTTCCCCAGTTCTAATCACTTCTAAACTACGGGTTAATTATTGTCTTGAGCTTTTTTTCCAGTGGTCAAAACCTTGCAGGAGACTCCAGTGGTCGAATCTCTACATGCATCAGATGAACTAAATAATTTCACGTTTCAGGGCCGGTGAAACGTGTTTTAAAGTTCAGGGACAGGGGCCAAAATATCAAAGTTCTGAAAGGAAACAGGAAAGGCCAGGAAAAATTAAAAAAAGGGGAACTTAGGGATGGCCAAAAACTGTATCTAAAATGGTTTTTGACTTAAGGAAAATCCGAAGCAATATTTTCAACTTTTGTTTTATCAATATGTCCTATAGTTTCGTCTATATCAATGTTGACATGAAAAAGGAAAGGGCTTGCAAAGTTTTAGAATTTCCCTTTTAATGTAGCTCGAAATGAAACCTTTTTTAGACTTAAAAAGTAACCAAAAATTAGATGAAGCAGAAAACAATTATTGAAACACGGTTTAACAACAGCATTAACATTAAAATGAAAGATTAGGTAATTTTGTACAGCTGGGTATTATGTTGTAAAATCGTATCTTTAATTTTTTGGGAATAGAGTGGTTTTACCAAAAAGACCCTGGATTTGAAAGACTTTTAAACTGTGCTGGTCAAAACTAGTTTTAATAGAATTTACAATCACAACTAGATTTTTTTGATGCTACTTTCAAGTATTTTGATGATACTTTTAAAGAACAAATCTGCCGATTATTTATTGCTAATATCCTAAAAAATGTTCTTTTCAGCCGTTTCTTTTCTTTTAACAGCTGATTTCTCTCTCTTTGTAAAGGACCTTGTGAGTCAAGTTAAGGCCAAAGAAAAAACGCAACTTCATTACTTTGTGCTGTGAACTCTAGGCACAGCTACCTACAGAATTATAAACTACATTTCTTTCCACTTTTGCCTACGCACAACAGATAACAATCCATCATCTACGCACAATAGACGCAAATTATGCAATACTGTGGATTGAACTTGGCCTTCAATGACAAGCAACGTACAGTTATCTACTTAGCTAAGTATCAACAAGAATGCGATTTCATATCAGAGAGGTTTTCATATCTCCTTTTTTCTCTCTTATCTTTCATCAGTATCGAGTGTATAGGCAACTAGACCAGGCGGCTCGCGAGCATGCGTGTTTCAGCTAAGCATGTCGACATCATTGCATAAATCTAATGTTTTTGGTAGAGAAAAGCACACTGCATAGGTAAATATGGGTTGGGACTGAGAACCTGGCATAGCCCTCTGTGTATAAGACTACGATAAAAAATTATATAACCTTTTGGATTGGCTACCAGGCGCTGCCCCACCTGAACCCCATCATCAAAACCACAAATTTACATTATATAAGGTTTTTCTGTATCATTAAAGCTCTGAACCCTTAAGCAATTTTAATCTGATGTCGTGTTTTTTAAAGCTGCTGTTGCAAAACTTTGCTGTACACCAACCCGGCAATAAGTGAATTTATCATCTTGCTTTTTTAAAAAATATAAGAGAATCAGTTTCGTTGTCATTGGATACAAGAAAAAGAGCGCCTGATATTGAAAGGAAAAAAGGTTCATTTCTTCTACTTTACGTAAATGTTTTCACAAGCAATACTGAACATTAAGCTTTTTTCAAATGGTTCTCTGACAATTTGAAACTCAAAAAACCTTGCGTCATAGAAAAACCAATCCAGATTTCTTCACATCCCAAACAGGTAAGGAAAGTTTCAGCCTTGATCAGCAGCTTGATTAAGAAGGTAGCTGGTAGGAATGGAGCTCTAGCAGATCAACTCTGCTCCCATTGGACACTGTACAACGATTAAAATTGCTTGATTGTTACTTGCATCTTGTCCACGAGAAATGTTAAAACTGTTGATAATATACAATAAACTTTTTTTGCCATGGGGTAACCCCTGCTGTCTATTTTAGCAAAGCACCAATGTTATTATAAAGCAATAGCATAAAGGGAAATGATCGCGCTATTATTGAAACATTAAGAAACAAAAATAAAACAAAATTCGTTGCATTTGCGTTGTCTTGCAAAAGTGTTCCTTACCAGGGTGCGAAAAAATCCACCATCATAACATCTTTGTCCTTTGTAAACTGGTCAAAGTTTTGCAGATTGAGCTCGAACACTTGGGCATCCGCTAACTGTTTGAAAATTGGTGATAAAAGTACTGAAAAAACCAAGTGGAGGAAAATGCAAATTTGCCTCTTCATTGCAATAAAATTGTTAGTCAATTGAATTTCCTTCTTTGCATGTCATAACTGAATCCAAGTTTGCAATCTAGAATCTAGCTCTAAAACTATTGCTCAAATCCATAATATTTTGTCATGGCTTCGAAACAAAGAAGACTGCTTAGAAGTTGGTAAATTCCATTGAGCTTCGATAAGCAGTAACCAAATTAGTGAAGCAAGACAGGTAACTGCGCTGCATATAGGCGCCTGTCAAACTCATTGAGTGTCTATTGAATCGCCCGGCTATTTGTCAGCTCGTTGATTTGTTTGCTTCCCCACCTGCAAATCACTGATCAGGCAGTCGAATAGAGGTTAATTCCAATTCATTTCTTCAATTGCTTTTTCTTCGCAAGACTTTCCTTTTCTTCGTAATAGATAAGAAACATAGGCTACGGGACTGGGCTTGACTACCCGTTGACCAGCGCTTCGATTTCAATATAAATAATAAGCTAATGATTCGAAAATGAAAGTAGGAAAGAATGGTGTAGCTGTCTAAATAAACAGCTAGGTAATTGCACGCTTGATCAAGAAAACCAGCTCAAATTCAACCTTGCATATTAAGACAAAGCTAAATTATCAGGTTAATCATGCAGTTAGGCTGCAAAACCAACCAATTTACACAAATTACGTTCTCTTTCATATGTCATAATGTAACTACAGGACTGTTATGCCACATAACTTTTATGCCAAAAGATATCTCATGCGTTCACTTTGTACTGGAGGAGCAGCTGCGCAAAGGGGTCGTTGGGCAAGGGGGCAGTAGGGCAAGGGGCAGTTGAGCAGGGGGCCGTTTGGCAGGGGGGCAGTAGAGCAAGGGGGCAATTGGGCTATAAGACAGTAAGAAATTTCCTGCAAAAATTATGAAATTTCATGGGCGTTAAATTACTTTCCTGAGAGCTGAGTTGCACAACCACAGCAACCATAGAAGTTCAGCTAACTATTTTCTGTATTAGAAGTTACATTACATTAAAACAGTGACATAACCGACTCTATATCTGGCAATTAAGGACAAGATATGTACAGAGAAGAACAGAAACTTATAAACAGTATGTCGACGACCAAATAAATATTACTCCAAAAATTATGTGTTTTTTAAAGACGTTCCTGAGAGAATGATGCTGTTAAAATATAATATATAAAATATATATAAAATTTATTATAAAACTGAACTGAACTTAACTGAACTGTTACTTAGAGGGGTCGCATACCTTGTTGAAACATTTTTAAACTTTTTAGCTGGAATCAAGATAGAAAGGTTTTTAGTTTGTCGTCGACTTACTGAAGTTCTTCTCTGACTTACTAGAATTTCCTCCATAAAAAGAACCTCTATTGCGTGCTCTTTTTTAATACATAAATAAATTATTCGCAAATAAACTACTATGCAAGAACCTAATGAAATGATTACTTCTAACAGATTTTCGTTGGCTTATTAGCAGTGATATCCAAGACGCATTCTGAATTGAACTCAGAAAAAGCTAGAACTTCTTTCCAATGGTCACAAGCAGGCCTTTTGGCAGTGGCACCAATGTGCACGAAGCCAAGTGTATTCTTCTGCACGGTCGAGTGGTTTCTCACCTCGATCAAGATCCCCGTTTCTACCAGCCTCTCTAAAGGTACATCAAAATCAAACGTTTTATTGAATTGCGGGTTGGTTGTCCTTTTAACAACATCTGACACCTGCCTGTATACTCGCTCTTCCGCCATGTAAACACCAATCTTGACAGAAGTGCCTGCAATAAGAACCCGGGCATTGCTTAGAGTTCACATGTCAACCTTGAACATGAAAAGATGGCATAAAGTCAAATGGCTTCCTAGCTAATGTAGGTATTTTATGAGGGAACTCATTCCATTATACATTATATATCAGTGGAAGAAGCTCTAATTAGATTTGAAGAATTATAGGACTTTAGAATGCTAAGATAATGATTTTTGAATAAGATACAAATCTTTATGTCAGCAATTTCTAGTTGATGCTTGGCCCGATAATAGGGGAGCAAAATAACGGTCTGATAAAATATGAGCTTCATGTGCAAGGTACGTTCGCCACGAAGATTTTGTACATAACAACTTATTAATTCTGGCCAATTATAGCGGAGCAAAGAAGATCAGAAAAGGTGAATTATGCATCCAGCAATGCATATTTTTGTGCATAAATTTTTATCCATATCTAAAGTATTAAATTTCGAAACTGTTTGAGTAGTGGGAGGTTGTTAAATTTTTGAAATTGAAGAGACCACAATCCACGATAAAAAGTCGCGAAGTCCGTAAGCAGAGATCGTATAGGATCCAATTAATCAGATTATAGTTTATCAAGTAAAAATGCATGAATGAACGTTATAGGTTGACGTTTGAATAAAGCCCAGTGAAACTACAAGGCAGCCTCAAGAAAATTCTTACTTGGTTGCTGAATGCCAAATTTGGTGGTGTAAGATGCATCCACAATGCGAACGGTAAGCAAATGACGCAAAAGCTGGTAGCGTACGGAGACTGTCATTTGACCACTTCCAATCTGGTCATCTGCAGACGACTAAAATGATAAAAAAACAAGGGACAATGTTCAAGAAACTATTTGCTATCCTGTCCCATATTTTAGTGGGCTCCCGTATAAAGGTAGGCTATGGGCATAGGGCCATCTTTTTGGATGTCAATTTTTCTTAACAAGTCAACTTTATGAATAATTGCAGCATTCAGAATGCTGTCTTTGGTGGCTGAGAAAGTTGAAGCAGCGAATAATCGGTACCTTCGTATAATGCGAGGCAAAACTATTGAGCGCCAACAGTCATGAAGGATGCTAACGAATACGTAACTCCTGTGAAAAACATATCGGTAGGGACATTTTTGATGTTCACATTTTTAAAAACATCGATTTGAAAAGACAACCTTGCATAGCCAGAGATTGAGATATTGTTGTTACTACACAGTTTTCTATAAGAAGCTAAAATACTCAGCTATGAAGGTTTCTAATGTTTTCATAAAATCAGTTGAAACACAGGAAATTGCTTTAATTATCCAATTTCCATTTCAATGATAATAACAGTTCAATGTTCTTTTGCTGCATAAAGATTGTCTAAAGAGGAGAGGCACATTTCTCTTATAAACAAATTAGAACAAATTCAACATTAATCTGTATCATAAAAACAAAATGCTAGATATTCTGCAATTTCTGTCTGTTACAAAAAGATAGCAGCATTTTATCCTTAAAATTGAATTTGGTCGGCTCGCTATGTTTTGAGAGTGGCTCTATCCAGCTTTCCTTCCTTTAAATACCCTAGATGATAAACAACTCTAGGTCCTAAAGCATAAACATGATAACAATTCTACCTCCAGTTCTTTTTCTTCCATTGGATGCTTCAAGTGCTGTCTATACGTGTTCAGGGTGTCTTGTCTGCAATCCCGAGCGGGTAAGACGGTTTCTCCAATGATAACTGGCATTTGAGGCAGCCGGCCATATCTCAACACAACTTGGAATCGAAGCAGCAACTTCAAAAACTGGTTATAACTTCGGCAATGAATCGTGAATGTCTCATTGAAGGTTGGGTTCTGCAATCCGAACTGATAGTCCGTGGTGCCGACATGCTCCTTTCTTGGGTATTTCATTACCTCTACTGCCAAGCCAAGTTGGCTCAGATCGCTGAACGTGAGCATTCCATTTTTCTGCCGTACCAAGTATGGATGGTCACCTGGTTTCTCTGCATCATCGTCCACTACATCACATCGATCAGCAAAAAGTTCTGGCATGATTTCAGAAACATCAAACACTTGGGTGATCTTAATAACAAGCAGATTTTTGTCACTGTGATAAAATGTCGTGAACTCAAGCTCTCCGCCAACTTCAGAGACAACACGCAGCGTGGATTGAGAGGTAACTCTTCTTGGCCTAACTCTAACTTCTAACTCACTCTTAGCTCGTCGTGATTTTTGCTCCTTCTTATTATCGACATGGTTTTGGAAAATAGAAATGTCAGACTCAGAGTGAACCCTTCTGTTGCGTCTATATTGCCATTCTTTTTCTAACGGGCAACTATCCTCTTGCGCTATTCCATACTTCCGTCTTCTTTCCTTCAACTTTCCCGTATTCTTCTCCTCTGCAGTTCCTATAATATGCTTGTTGCTGAGTGATTCTTTGCTGCTGAGTTGAAGAAAAACCGGTGCGGTGGGAAAATTGATCGAAAACTTTGGGGATGCAACTTTGCTCTGAGATATCTTTCTGGAATATTTGTCAGAGATAAGATTATATTTGAATCGCTCTCTTCGAATTCGCCAATACTCCCAAACTTTGTAGATAAGATGACCCACTAATGCGATGAACAAAATCAGAGCAAGACAGCCAAGAATGATAACTGAAAAGCAATCAAATTAAGTCATAGTAGCAGTGTATTGTATTAAATCGCTTTGTATTGTATTTTATTTCATTGTATGTTGAATTTTACTGTTACAAAAGTGGAGAAAACCAATTCAGACTAAAATGAAGCAACTTCATGGATTGCATAAGGCAGTTCGTTTGCTGCCGAAGAAGGTGTGCATTTATATTCACGAAACCAAGCTTTTATCAGGTTTAGAGTCTTTAGAATTTTTGCTTTATCAGTCTTATCAGGAGACTGAGTGATCTGACCACAATTTATAGTTCGAACTAGGGAGAAATATTATCAGAATAATAATGGTGCTGCAGAAACAAAAGCAAAAGTAGAAATTGGCTCAAAGGGGCTCAGCCCCCCTGAGTCCCCCCCGCACTATATCTCTGGTGCACTCTTACCGCTTTTTTGAATACCCTTTCTTCTTTATATAAGTTGCTGATGACTTGGAGATGGTAATTAAGGTAGCAAAGCATTTCGTTGCTTTTTGCTTGCAAAATCCTCAAATTGGTCACCCTTCTATAAAGTGGACAAATCTTTCAAAAAGAGCTTTTCGTGTCCCAAATAATGTCCCAAATAAAGATTTCACTAAGATCACTTAGATTTCACTAAGATAAGGGTGTGTTGTAAACAATTACATCCTATTGACTGCACAATGATTTTTTTGCAGGTTTTCACGGCTTGAGACCGCTATATTTGCATGCGTGCTGGAAGGGGCGGATTTAGAGAAGTGTTGGGGTGTGCATTTCCTGCTCAAAGTAAATATAGTCAGGGGTGAAGCCAAAAATATTTGGGGGGGAGGGCAAAGAAGCGCTTTTTGTCGACAAAAAGGGTGTGGCTCTCTATTAAAAGGTGTTGTCAAAATATAGGTATTCTTATAGGCTGCTTTAATGCATTTCTGTTTCAAAGTCGCTGTGAAATTTTTCGCCTTGGAAATAAACCAATCAGAACAGCATTTGAAGACACCTGACTTTTTTTGGTTTCAGATGGCCTACGTCTTTCAGCATTCTTTTTATCAAATAATCTCGCCTATAAAACGTCAATAAAATAGGTTGGTAATTATTCATTTCCTGTTACTTGTACAGAATCCATGTAAGTTGATTTATATCAGATTATTATTCAAACATTTGAATTTCAAATTGACAAAAACTGGCTTGAAAGTTTCATTGTTCTCCCAATGTCATGTCAGAATTAAAAAAATTGGCAAGAATTTCTTCAAATTACTGATTGTCGGCTGCTTTTTGGCCTGCTCAACAGCAACAGTTTTAGGCAGATGCACTAACAGGATCTCGCATGCTTGTGCAAGCTTCGATAGCGACCTTTGGAAGTATTTGAACTGAAGTTATACTGGCCTTATAAATGTAAACGTAAACCTCTCTTACCGAAAGATGGAATTCCCCCTTCTAAAAACGTTCTGAATAAATTTTCTAATCCAGTATCGCTTTTTGCTGTTTTGCTCGCTTTTTTGATACATTTAAAATTTTAAGCTTTCTGATAAGAGCACTCTTCGGACAGTCGCTATATTATTTTGTAATATTCGCAGCAAATTCGCATAAAAATTTCTGCCAGTGTAAATTTTTTTATCGACTTTTCGCCGCAAGAACTCCTTGGAGAGCGTCGAGCAGCCTGCTACAGTGGCCTTTTCTTCATTCACACATAAATTGGTTCTGCCAGTTGTAAAATTGGCAGCTAAAAAATTCGTGGCGAGAAATTATCTTCGCGCGAAAGATTCGTCTCGTGTAAATCAGTCTTTAGTTAGAAAACGCTGATTCATGTTACTTTAAACCTGAGGAGAGAAACTAGCCAATTATTACCACCATTAGATTTTATGATGCAATTGTAATGGCAGAATAAGTAGCCGTTGTTGATGCTCCCACGCCAAAGGAGTATTGTAACGAGCAATTTATGATAAACGCACACGCGGGCCATTTCATGATCTTGTGTAGCCTGGGAAACCAATGTTTTCTATTTCAAAGTATGTTCAATTGTCATTGTTTCAGTAATATGAGCGGCTCTCTATATTCAATGTTTTTATTTCCGCGAAAGTAGGTCAACTGGCCAACTTTTAGAGTTTTACAATGTTTATACAGGTTAAGTATCATGTAATGCGTTATATAAATGGGCCAGAAAATATATTAGTATGTTTTATTTACAATTTGATTTAATACTGAGTTATAAACAAGCGAGAAAAGTGGAATTGAAGCTGCACTGCTTTTAGGGAGGATGCAAATTAGGCCTCTCTTTCTAGAAGTCTTCCGTATTTGGACCTGACAAGGTCTTCGAATTCTTTTCTATATTCTGACCTCACAGCTTTGTGGTTACAATGTCGATAAATTTCCAAATTTGATTTGGCAACAAAGATAATCTATGATAAGAGAACCCATTTAAGGAATGCAGTCCAGAAGCATGTTCAATTATAAAATGCAATGATTTCTGGCAATAAAAATTTATAACGACAAAATTGGAATTTTATTTTGATATAATGGCGATTATGAATGCCAATATCCTGGTAAGGACAAATGCGAATATCATCATACACTCCACTGATTCGCCTGGCATGGCTACACTTTTTTTAAAAATAAACTTAGTGTAAAATTAACTTTCAAAAATAAATAAATTTTCTGAATTTGACATCCAAATTATGGAGTTTCGGCACTTTAAGGTTTTTAGTCACGAAAACCTCTGCAAATCAAAATTCTAAGTATGCTACCTTTTCAAAAAAAAGAAGAAAAAATTAGACATTTTTTAAAAAAAAGGAAATTTTCCAGTTTCTTAAGTTTTCTTGAACTTAGTAATAAAGTTTTCTTAAACATTTGGATACTCCAAGTCTCACTTTAACATGCTTTAAAATAATTAATTTTGAGGCGTTGATACCCTATTCTGCTCTCAACCACCTCCTTTACAAATTTGTTCTTACATTTCCGCAATGTACCTTCTTTTGGCTGTGTTAAATTCTACATAAGTTCCTTTGTCAACTTCATCAACCTGCATGCTTAACTTGTCAATCATTTTTAATACGCATAAGTTGTATTCATAGAGTCTCAGAACGCAGTCTCATAAGATCCATGCAACACCCAAAGGCCAAACAAAACCAAAGTAACCATTAAATATTTTTCTGACAAAATCAACAAAACGTTTTCTTAAGCATTTCGTATCATGAGGATTAAGCACCATCGAACTAAGATTAATCTAAATACTACGTACTTGCTGTTCTTGGGATCTCCATTGCTCAATTATATTGCTTTTGAAGCTTCAACATGATTGTTGAAGCAACTGATCTTGAGTCTGTTTTTATTCTGCTTTCAAAATCCTCTCGTAGTTTTCTCTTCTACGAATAAGGAAGCACAAATAAAGTTTTCTTTCGCTTTCCTTTATTCACACAGCTTCAGATCAAAGCCTTCTTTTTACAAACCTAATGACCAATTCTGTGGTCACATGACATCCATATCAGGAAGAGCTTCCTGTTTCTTCGAAAAGGATATCCTCGTTCTAACACCACAGGGCAATGATATAGAAGCGCCGAAGGCGCTGGATGTCTAACTCACAGGTACGCTGTGAGGCAAATTTGTTTACTTCCGCCATTTTGAATAGTGGGAAAAAGGAACTTTCTCCTTACTGAGCCCGTATAAATTTGCAGTGGCGTAGCGTGAGCGCAGAACTAAGGCATGCGGTAACATAAAATATACGGCCATGTTGAATGAATGTAATCTTAATTTCAGCTTCTTAAAAATACAAACGGTAATTAATGATAATCGTGATAATAAATTTTCAACAAAAAAGAAGAAAAGTCTGGTGTTGCAGAACATTTCTGCAGCTCAGCACACACCATCCACGACCTTGCCATCACACCACTACTTAGACTTAAAGACAAACGAGAGAGTGTTCGTCGAGCTAAGGAGCAATATCTCATTGGCCTGGCGAACACCCTCACCCCCAACGGCATGAACAGAACTACCGACCGTTTACTTTACAAAACAACTTATCACCGCCCTCACAACCCACACCATATTTTCCCTACCATTATAATCATCATCACCACCATTACTATCATCAACATTCCATTATTCTCAGTTCCATCACAATTATTATTATTATTATTATTATTTTTCATGTTTATAGTCATCATTATCATCTCATTGCATCAATCTCCATAGCACCACCCACATCCCCTTACATCACCCACCACCCTTCCCTCCCCCTCTTCCATCATCCCATTTTTTCTCCACTGCGCTGCATTCACACCATTCAACATCCACCAATCCGGCACCACCATCTCACATTTCAAATCCATTCACTCGTTCGTTTCATTTACTCTGTATGCCAGGGCGAAATATTAGTATATTCTTTAAATTTAATTTATTTTGAAAATTTTATTTCGTGACATTGGATTCTCGTCGTCGTATTGCTTTGTTCCTGTATATCTTTCATAGCAACACTCATCATTGCAAGATTCACAGAATCCGGCGGACAGCCTATCCTGCGGTTCTTCCTTCTCACACATAATAAATTTTGATTTTGAAAGTAACAAATCGTTTGTACTCTTATTCTGATCAATCAAGGTGTCTATTCTTTGCATCACAGGCTCCGACACAGGTTGGAAAGTGAAGGGGGGCCAAGGGAAAAATTATCACCCATGCGAAAAGTTTTTGAAAAAAGCTCAATTGTATGAGCTGTGAGAGTTGTTAGAATTGAAGATGCTTACATGTGTAATGGTTTTGGAAAGTTGTTCCTTGCAAATCATCAACTATTTGGCAAAGCTTGCGCTCAGGTCTACCGCATGCCCTGGTCCGTAAATTCTGACTATACTGGCAAGCCTTTTGACTTGAATTACGGAATGCAGATCATGACAAATAGACTTTGACCCCACTTGGACGAAGCTTTTTCTCTTTTTAACAGTCACAAAGTAGAGAATGGAAAATAAATAGATTTGAAATGATGCATCACGCAAAGAATATTCGCAAAAAGCAGCTTATAGGCAGAAAAATGTTGCGAATTATCAAATATTTGAGAATGCTTGCGCCAAGGCGGACCGAAAGCTCAAGTCCGGAAAATTCTCACTGGTCTCAGAAGCTTCTCTCGAGCTTCTCTCGAGCTGCACTGAAGCATTTCACGTTTCTCTTATTTTCGACAGGCAAAAAGAGTGATGTCGAGGGGCTTCAGTTTTTTAGATTTTTCAAATTTCACAATTTTTGGCCATCTGTTTACTTGGAAAAATAGCCAATTGGCATGTTGGCGCTGGAGTTCACTGCATGCTGCTCATGACCAGTAAAAGAAGCCGTTTATTGCGGAAAATGTTATGCATTGGCTTTAACACTACAACGTATTTATTACCGTTAGAAGTGTTGCAAGAGTTTTAGAATTTGTCTAGATTTGTTTACGCTTGAGCCGCAAGCGTAGCATACACAGACGCTACGCCACTGTAAATTCGAATATCGATGTGAAATTTGGCGAGTGGCCTTATATTGCACTTAAATTGATGAATTGATGTTAATATGATTTTGTCCAGACAATGTATAGAAGCGTCGAAGGTTCCGCCATTTTGAATAGTGGCAGAAAGGAACTTGCACCATACTGAGCCCTTAAAATTTTGGTAAAGGTAAATATTGATTTCGTCCACTTCTCTTTCGAATATCGGTGTGAAGTTTTGTGAGGGATCTTATATTGCACTTAAATTTACAAATTGATGTTAATATTGGAAACATAAGTCGTCATTCGCAAATTTCAAGCATTTACAGTTGCGTTGCTTGCTGGGGTGTTCTCTGTATCAACGAAACTCCACAAAATAATGATTGTTCTATTTTAAAATGGATCCAGCTACAATTTCTAGACACTCCAAGCATTATTTTCTTGCTCTTCATGATTTACTCTAATGATGCCCTGTATGCCAGGGCAAAATATGATAAGTGAAATGTTGAGAGCGTTTTAACTGGGTTTTAATAGTCAAAAGCTGATTAGCATTAACAACCCGAGTTCGATTATTTACCTTCTGCAATTAATTTCAAGGAGAACATAAACAATATTCCCGACGAATCTGCAACAATCCGTGATGTTATTTGCATTTTACAATTTTTAGGTACACTCAGAGAAAAGCTGTGTTAGAGACGTTTAAGATGTAAGTTAAAAATATCTAAAATACAATGCCGATAAAAGTGTAAATACTAATAAAGATGAAAAGAGGATGAGTAACAGGACACATCCCTGAGTTAGCAGTCAGCTGCCTGTGTGCATCTCATTTCACCATAACCATCTGCACGAGGGACGCAGCGGCATGCTTTGCACCGTGACTTGTCATTCTTCACCTGCTTCAGAATCATCCTTTTGAAACTTATTGGAAAAGCCTTCATCCATTTGTCATTGAGTGACGTCAAGCTCTTCAATGCCATGATGCCACCACGCGATTCTTTCACCAATGGCACGTAATCATCGTTTGTGTCAATACTGAGCATGCGCAAGATTTCTCCATTAGGAATCTTCAAGTGGTAGCGGGTGTTGAATGAGTCCTTCCCAATTACATCTGAATTGAAAAAAAATTAAACATCTTTAATTTTTTGAAAATTATCAAAAGCAAGAACATTATGAAATCTTACATCGAAGAGCGAGAAAATCACAGAAAAGTTGTCAATCAACACAACTTGTTACTCACGTTTCCTGAATCTATAATTGTTTATAGAATTTACAATGATGCCTTTCTCCCTCAGCATATTATTTGTTGCTATTAGCTCCTTCAGGGCTCCCGAGTAAACAGCCATTGAATCAAGGACGACAACAATTTTTGTTGACGATGCCCTGAAAGCCAGATTAGCCGCGAATTGCAAAGCTTTGAGCCCGCTTGAAGATCTCATGTGGTTCTTGCACTCAAGATTATCCAAGGCAGCGACAAAATTGCTAATATGCCCTGACGCTTCCCCTCGGCCTGTCTGGATGAACGGCTTGGTACGATGGTGTAGACCATTAAATCCAACAACAACATACCTGAAATGAAGATTATACCCCTACCATATCGATTCAAAAGAAGTAAATAAGTGTGTATATATTCATAATAATGAAAACGCCTAATAACAGCACAATTTGATCGCCGGGTGTGCCTAAGGCTCAAAAGTGCTGCTTTATTGTAACCAACTAGAGAGAATTCTGATGCGATTTCGAATAGTTCTTTACAATATCAGGTTTAGTTCCTCAGTTCGGTTGTTATGTCCTTGATTCTCAAAATAAACGCGTAAATCTGTTTCTTGACCTTACAAATATTAAAGTTCACCTAGCAAAAATAAGCCCGTAGATCTGACGAAATACAAACCATTCAAACATGAATGACCTTGAACATAGAAGAGGTAAATACCTTGGGTCGATTCTACTTTGACGAAGATGGCTGTCCAACTGCACCATTACAGATTTCAAATTTTTCAAAGCCTTTTTTGTATGTGACGTGTCTCTTATGATGAATACAAAGTCGACAGAATGCCGAGGTTTGTGTAGGTGCGAGCGAGTGTTGATGTCTTGGCATGTGACTGAAAAAAGCGTTACATCAAAAATAAGTTACCGGAAATGAACGTCCATTGCGCGATAAGGCGCTGAAAAATTAAATGGGCAGCTGTTTGTGACTTTAGGCCCTTGCTGCCCAAGTAATGATTCTGATCCACCATCGTTGCATACAAATAATACTTTTGCAATATTTTGAATGAAGAAATTAAATGAAAATGGAAAGTCTCGATGACACTATCACTTGAATGTTAAGCTATTTGCTAGTCTCTGTTTTATGCCTCACTTGTTTTGCTTCTTTAAATAGCTTAACATCCAAGTGTGTATACGAACAGTATGATACGAATAACATAATAAGATAGAACTTGTGGAAGATATGCTGCAAAAAGTACAAACCACATTCTTTAGGGAACTCTAACTTTATCCCAAGTTGCAAAGCTTTCTTCGTATAAATCGAAGCGAAAGGACAATGAAACGGCACACCGTTTCTTGCTTTTTTGACACACATTGATGCCTCTTGTCGACAAGCCATGAAGTAGGGTTGTGGCCGTAACACATTGAACGCGCTATTATTTAGACAAAAATTGTACCATTTTACTCTACATTTCAATAGAATCAATGAAGCAAAGGCGGCTTAAATTCTTTATAAACCCCATTATGAGATAGTGGCAAGTAAAAATTTCATTTTGGACATACCCCTGTCAGGAGGGTCAAGTTACATCACTTACAGTGGTTCTAGAGAACTTACAAAGGGATATTAGAAGATCTTTATACAACAGATACAACAGAACTGTTATTAGAAGATCTTGATACAACAGAACTGTTATTAGAAGATCTTGATACAACAGAACTGTTATTAGAAGATCTTGATACAACAGAACTGTTATTAGAAGATCTTGATACAACAGAACTGTTATTAGAAGATCTTGATACAACAGAACTGTTATTAGAAGATCTTGATACAACAGAACTGTTATTAGAAGATCTTGATACAACAGAACTGTTATTAGAAGATCTTGATACAACAGAACTGTTATTAGAAGATCTTGATACAACAGAACTGTTATTAGAAGATCTTGATACAACAGAACTGTTATTAGAAGATCTTGATACAACAGAACTGTTATTAGAAGATCTTGATACAACAGAACTGTTATTAGAAGATCTTGATACAACATAACTGTTATTAGAAGATCTTGATACAACAGAACTGTTATTAGAAGATCTTGATACAACAGAACTGTTATTAGAAGATCTTGATACAACATAACTGTTATTAGAAGATCTTGATACAACAGAACTGTTATTAGAAGATCTTGATACAACAGAACTGTTATTAGAAGATCTTGATACAACAGAACTGTTTCTTTTTTTTGATAGACCGATGGCTCTCAAGCCTGAAAATTCCAGTTGTCTATTAAGTATTCTGTATAATTGTCTAATTTTAAAAATCGCCAAATACTTCCATTGAAAAACAGCATCTGTTACGACACACGAAGGATACTGCTACCATGAGTGTTATTATAGTTACCTTGACAACGACGTTGACCTGTTATTGAATAAACGCCTACAAACTTGCGTTGGTTGTGCTATACACTTGGGCAACAGATCAGCTCTTTCAAGAGCTTGACACTGAGGGCATCCAGAAACCTCCCATGAATTTACAAAGGACACAACATCAATCGAGATTTTGCCATTTGGTAGTCTTAAGTCGTCAGCATATTCGACGTTATTTGTGCCAAACAAACCTGGAATTAAAAATTAAAAAAAACTTTGTCATTAACCATAAATATGCAGGAAAAGTCCTTTCTGGAGAGAAAACGTTCTGATTTTCTGGCCGCCAATGATGCTACAAAACATATTAACTTCACAAAGAGAATGCATGACGAAATATAGAAATGGCTTAAAACATTTAGCCACAATGCCAATTGGTTGGTCCCATCGCTAACTTGACTGTTCCATGATACTCCCGTCCTTCACACCGCCGAAGCAAATGAAAGAAAACAAATAGCTGGCCTATGGTACAGCATGTAAAGCGCAGAGTCTTCAATACAGACGTTAAATATATGTGTAAATCTAAACCTTTTCGGAAGACACATTGTAAAGCTTATAATTTTGGTGCTGTTATACACACCAAGGGTTTTGTTGTGGTACATGCCAGATATTGTGAAACTACACATGAAATGATCTTTGTTGCAACTGATCTGCAACCCAAGCCGGCTTGTAACTCTGAAGGTAGTACCATGGCTTTCAACGAAAACGTCAGTTGTAGCCATTGGAAGGTCGCTTGTGGATACCACTCTTCCATCATGCAATGAACTTATTACAACCTGTACAAAAGAATACCACGACAGTGAATTCAGCTGGAGGGAGGGGGTGTGGAACAAACTTTACTTATATTAAAATAATACGATAGGTCATTATATAAGAAATAGAAATATCATCAGCCCTCTCTACAGCTAGTACGTGGAAAAAGACTCTGGAATTTACGAATTTAACCTACAAATAAACCTGGCTTTCTACCAATCGGTAGAACAACAGAAAATTTTAAAAATCTAACTTTCTTACATTCCGAAAGTGTCATATAACGATTACCTTTCCAAATCTTGAAAATGTTATTGTTGTCTGACCAATATACATCAACAATTGGTCCCTTTTATAAAGGATTGTGAAGGCTCCTCCGCGAAAGTCCCTTGCCAACAGATACATGCACCGGCCATTCCCTCGAACCCGTGGCAAGTACAGGTAGCCTCCGTCAAATGTAAACACATGGTTGTCATAGAACGTCGCACTTTCTAAAAATGTAAGAAATATATTAAGCCTGAATTCGCTCGAAGCAAAGTACTTAAAAAGCCTCAAAGAACCTTTTCGGAAAACCGTTCATATTTGTTCCATAGCTATTTTTACACAATAGAAATTTGATGCCCTTTATCACCATTGTTCAACGAACCTTGCAGCGGTGCTAAGACCCTCTTTGCATCGACCAACATATTTTCCGTCTTGAAGAACGATTGCAGTTTTTCACCTGGTACTGGTATAGTTGCCACTTTTGATAACCACCTTAACGGTTGCATCAACGTTGTGTTGTATGTCTGCTTGGCAAGCAGGTCAAAGCGAGAATCGATGCTGTTAGTGAATGCCTGATAGGCCGTCACTGCGTTGTCAAGACCTTCTCTACCATTGTCAAAGGCTTGTCGAAGCATCGCAAGAGACATCTCCACAACTCTTCCTAACTGCTGATTCACTGCAAGAAGAGGTATCTTCCCAGCCGTTGTTTTATCTGAGGGTAAATGCACTGAAGCTGATGGCAGACCGCTCACCGTTGGTTGTGGCATTAAAAGCCGATGCCGATTCACGTGCGAATGTGCTCCCTGAGCACCACGAGCAGAGTTCTAGAATAGCAAAGAAAGTAATAAATAGCTCACTGCATAAATAGCTAACAAAAAGAATAATTCAACCGACCACCAGCATGAAGAGCAATAAGACAATTATTTTCTAAAAGAAGAGAGTTTTCTCAAAAAAGCAGGGCTCACCTTGACCTTTATCTTTATCAGTCGACCAATAATCTCTTCAAACCTTTGAATTTCAGGAACAACAAACAAAACAGAGTCACTCGAACTTTTCACTCGAACATGTTGATTGAAGAAAGTTGCCATAGATTCTAAGACTTTAGAAATGTCTTTGATCGTTTCATTTGCTTTTAGCAATAAAAACTCTCCCTTTGCACTAGTAATTGTTTGTTTTATCTTCTCAGAGACATTTCTGGCAAGTTCTTTTGCCAAATGAATTGAAGAAGTAATGTTCTTAATCATCTCTTTTTCAAAATTGAAATAATTTCCCTCTCCTTCAGCGATTCTCAGCAGCAATGCTTTGATATTAACCCAACCCTTTTCAGCAAGCAGCTCTTGTTTCTGCAACAGACATGAGATTCTAAACTTCTGTAACTGATGACAATCTCTAGATGCTGCCGACCTGTTTCCAAAGCTGCTGTGCTTTGTGAGCACATCAATCATTTTTTTTAGCGAGTTCATGCTTGCCTTATATGTTTTGCCATCTCCCCTGTTTTGCTTTTCAATAACATCTAAAGCCGACATGTAATGCCAAAGCTTGTTGAGTTTCAAAATGGTGTCCTTAACGTCAGATCGCAACCTGTACGACATGGACCCTCTACCAAAGATGCTCTCTTTCGTCATCCTTTCTGCATCAGAAATCCATTTGTAAATAACTGGTTGTACTGCTGATATGCTCTCTTGCAGCTTTAAAAATACATTTTTTGGTAGTCTGTAAAGAAAACCAGCTGGATCTTTCAAAAATGGTATGCGCACAACCGCTTTTCTTCCTTTTTCCAGCAACGTCAGAATTTTAATAACTCCATTGGTTAAAGCAATACTTCCATTTTGTACCAGTCCTGGAATAGCAGTTTGCGCCCATTGCTTTGTAGCATGAGGATGCAAGTAGCTGAGAGCTCTTCCCACAACATGCGAAGTATTTCTAAGAACAGAGTCAAGTTTCTTTAGAATAACTTTGACTTCATTAAAAGTTTTCACTTCAGCCTGCAAGTTCTTGTAGAAAGATGAATTATACAGCGTGCCGTTCAGGAAGTTGTAAATGTGTTTGGTCGATTTGTGGACAAACTTGTGCAACGGGTAGCCAGCCTTGGCTGTGAGGAACCTACTCGCCTTTTTCAACAAACTTTGCAGCTAAAATAAGAAAAAGACAATAATAATAGCTCCTAATAAAAATAGAACTAGCAAAAAAATACAGCTAGAAAAGTAGAGAACAAAGCAAATGAAAGAATTTGAATGAAAACTTTAATGTAGAAAGGGTAAGTGAGTAAGGAAACAGTACGACTGAAGCCATGTCTGATGGATGCAAAGCTGAATATGAAGTCCATTTGGAGGAAATTAAAGAAAATTATTAAAGAAATGTTATTAAAGAAAATGCCTTCTCAAAGGTCCGTTTCAAAAAAAACTTTTCATTCTAAATTCATCATACACAATATATCTAGGAACCAGGGCCGCGGAAAGGATTGATGGGCCCAGATCAAGACGAAAAATGCATACCTTAGGCAGAAGCTTCTGGGGGATAGAGGAATGCTTCCCAGGAATTTTTGAAATGATGGTTGCTAAAATTGTTCTGGTTGCTATGTTGGTTGCTAAAATTGCTCTGGTGGCTATTTTAGTTGCTAAGATTGCTAAGGTGGCAAAACTGTTCTAGTGGCAGTGGCGTAGATAGAGGGGGTCAGAGGGGGCAAACCCTCCCCCTGTATAGCTAAACCTCTATTATGTCGGAAAACCTCTGGTCTTGTCGGAAATTTAACACGGTTGTCTATGTTTACCTAATTTGAACAATTTTTTTGCGGTACAGAATTTGAAAATGGCTTTGTAAAAAGCAAACATTTTACAACATACTAAAAGCTTTTTCGTCTGACACTCCTCGGAGCATAAAACGTCAGAATCAGGGTCCGAAAGAACACGATGAAAAATATATACCCAGTTGTGGATCGAAATAGGCCAATCAGAAAAACGCAAGCACAAGACCAATATAGTTGACAAATCAGTGCCGTGAGCCTAAAGAAAAATTACCACTGGAGTCCAAAAGAGAAAACGAACTTCTTCTGTCTACACAATGGCGGCTTTTTCGTTTGTATGTAGATCGACTCCAAAACTGCTAGATGGAAGGACGACCGGGCTCTGCTAATTATCCGAAACATGTCGTCATTATAGAGTTTGGCACAACCTGGGTTATCTAAAAGATGTTGACCGATGGCAGAATCACTTGTTTTAACAGTGTTTCTAGACCTACAAGATCGAGGAGGCTGTTCTCTTTGAGGGGCAGTTTTGTTTCTTATGTTGGAAGGAACATGCTGTTTCATTCTATCCCCAGATCTTTGGGTTATGCGTCTTACGTAGCCAGAATAACACTGGCACGTAAATTCGTAAATGACGGAACTTTTTTGGTTGGTAGGAACGCAATCCTTTTGAATGGATGGAAGGGCTCTCCTAGTGCTGTAAACAATCTGAGGATTGACAGCAAAGAAACATTTGGTTATGGCTTGCCTAATCTGACTCTCGAATCGCAAGGAAGTGTTACCAATCCATGGTAGTTTCAAATAAACTGGGCACTTTTGCGGACCAAACTTTTGAACAGCCGAAAAACTTGCGATCTTCTCCTTAGTATAAGATAAATGACGTCTTCTGGATAGCCGTTGTCCAGAAAGATCGTTTTAAGTTTTAAGTTTAGTTTACCTAATTGCTTTGTTTTGATCTGAAAGAATTTAAAGTTAAATAAACATAAGAATATATGAATATATTAAAACATTTATTTTTTCAGTTCCGATGTCGTTATATTATGTTGATATTTAGGGAATAGTATAAATGCTTTTTAGATTTTGTCAAAAAATCTAAGTTTCTCATCCCTTCTGTGAATTTTCCTATCTACGCCATTGTCTGATGGCTATTACTTCTGTTTGCTGTTTGATAAGCTTTTCAACTTCTTTAGCCCAAGCCCACAAAGATGAGAAAATACCTTTAGCATCGAGGCAATCAAAGACTCGAACTGCTTCTACCTTATTCATTGCTTTCTGAACTTGATAAAGGTACGAAGTTACTTAAACATTCGTATTACATTCTGGATTAATCAAATCTTGAAAATATTGTCTTGAAGACGTTGAAAAGGTCCCATTTCTCTTTCTGAGAGGCTACCCAAATAAACACTGCAAATTGCATGTGACATTCTATAACTGCACGATAATCATTGCTTTGCCGGGCCTGTGGGAATAGGTTTTTAGACTTTTTAAAGTTGTAGAACCTCCCCTTTGACAGTTTTGGACAGTTTCTTTCGAGTAATTATTATAAGAAGCGTGCTGTTGTAAAATTAATAATTAGAATGAGAATGATTGAAGAAATTGAAACATTCGTCGAAAATTATTACCTCTGATTGCGCCTCGTGCACCGTCTCTTTATAAACTTGTAGCTGTTTTAACACATAATTTTCAATTTCATCAAAAACGGCTGCACCTTTCTTCAACAATGTTTGGAATGATTGTTCAATTGGCGTACCAGAAGCGCTTTCAATCACTTTCACAAGCTCGGCTGTAAAATCCACACGGTCAAATCGCATCCACAAAGTATTCAAATTAGCAAAACTTGTTCCATGCACAGACGACGTGTGCTTCTTAAAAGCAACGCCCAGCATATTTCTTGTTGTGCCAATGACAGGAACCAACAAATCTGAGAGAAAGTTCAGCAGTTTTGGCCAGTTGGAGAATCCATATTTCATTTTTGCTGCAGTGTTACTAAGAACCTCGTGTAACATCAGTTTGAGCCTTTTTACTTCGTTTGTGCTATTGTCTAAAAGAATTTCAATTTTCTTTGCAATATATTCCGTTTTTTGAACCAAGTGCGGTAAAATGTCCTTGAAATCAAGAATCATGGGTTGAAGCCGTTTGTTTACAGTTTGGTTTCCAATTTGCAAACGACCCATTGTTTTCAAAATCTCTTTCCAGTTATCAAGAAGATCAGGTAGGGACCAATTTGAATATTTCATCCCCTTCATTTTATCAAAACTCTTTGACGCTGAATTTAAGCTTGTCAAATTTAGGCCATTCACGAATTTTAAAAGGTTCAGAACTGCAGTGCCACTTGAAAATCCATTAGTTGCATTCTGGACTTCCATCAAAATTTTCCTGGTCAATTTTTCAATTGCCGCTTTCGTTCGATTCAAATAACTTGGCTCTGTTAAATTTGTCGCTAAAAAATCTTGGTACAGCTTTGCGGAGAAATTGCCATCCTTTAAGTATGTCCTTTCGAACTGTGAAACAAGGTCAGGGAACACTTGTGCAGCCACTCTCAACACGAAGCGAAGTCTGGCTCGCAGTTGTTCTGATATTCTGTAAAATGGTTAGTAACTGCTTTTATATGTTACCCAGTTATAAATGCATTTATCTTGATAATACCCTTAAAAGTGAATAAATCCCAGACAAAACTTTCAGAATATTTGTTACTAGCTGTGCAAATTGTTAGCAAAATTGCGATTAGCTAAGGTTTATAGCAAACTAGCACGTAAGTTTAGAAAAATGTTGAAGCTAATGAAGCTAAATGTTGATTAGCTTCATCGTCAATTAAAGAAAAACGAACGCCCACAAACCAACAAAGTGCTTTGAGATTGCAAAAACCAAATACTAGCGAATTAAGAAATGGTGTCTGTTTTGTAGAATACGAAGTTAGATGGGAATACAATTACACACCTCTTTGCAGCTTCTGACATTGAAATATTTCCAAATGATATTCTTGGCGCCAAAACGTGGAAAGCAGCTTCAAGATCTTTTGCAACGTCAGTTGTGAGGTTTTGGGTTACGTATTTGAAAACAGGTTGCCACAGACTTTCTCCAATATCAAAGAGAACTTTAGTGGTATTGTGAATTAAGTCTTCCTCTTTAATTTCTTTGACTGCATTAACAACTCCACCTAAAATAGGCTGGAATCTGGACTGCCACGGATAAGGAATCTGTAACGCAGTGGAATACAAAAGTTTCAAAAAGGATGATTTTGCAAGAGCGAAAGCATTTTGTTTGCGGTTCCCATTAACAGAATTGTTTTTGAAAAGTTGAAATTGCTTTACGATTTCTTTTAAAGCTCGTGGTATATTTCCATCTTTCTCCAATCTGTTTATAAACTTGCGGATGACAGCTGAACTTTTTAGCTCTTTTAACACCTCTTTGAAAACGGTGTCGAAATAATTCGTTGAACTAACATCTTTCAAAGTATGCACCCAGTCACGTGTCGTATTTTGCGTTTTGTGTGCCAAACGGAGAATAGAGTGAAGTAGGCTCACATTTCCTGGTTGGAAAGCCAAGTCTGCAAATAAAACGTTCAATACAGCAGAAATCTCTGTTGAAAAGGCTTCAGCCGAGCCTTTTGAATTAGTGTTAGTTCTGTTTCTAGGATCTAGTAAATTTAAAAGACCTTCAAACGTCTCAACTTGAAAGCCTTCCCTTGATAAACTTACATTCAGAAGATCTTTCACTAATTCTGACCTGTTAATAAACTTGAGATATTTTGCAAACTTCTTTCGCACTACTTCATGAACTTCCATATCATTGAAAATCTGAGCGCCAATCACAAGCAGGCTGCGTGTGTCATTTGTCATAATCTGCTGCGCAAGGTCAGGGTATTTCCTTGTCAAGTTCAATGTATCTGACACGTAGATCAGCACATTGCTGTAAAGTTCATTGAATCCAAATTTCTTTGTAAATTGTAAAATCGCCCTCTCCATAGGCTTTGGAAGTTTTAATATTCTCATTTCTTCTTTTACTATGTCAATAACCAACTGATGGATCAAATTTTGTAATTCCTGCAATTGTTTAATCGTATCGGTGATCGTCAGTGTACCTTTGGTTTTCTGAAGCTCAAGAATTCTTTCAGTATCTTTCAGTCTCTGCAAAACTTCCGTCTGTATTTTCGGTGGAAATGTTTCTTTTAATTTCGATCTTAAATATTTCAAGGTGAAGGCAGCTTTTTCTTTAATTATCGCATTTATCAAAACATTCGATATGTTACGGTACAAGATGAAAGTATTCACTGGGGATTTCGCATTTGAATCTTTTGCGTGCTTCAACCTTGAGCGAACCATTCCCTGTACTTCTTTAGAAAAATTGAGCATAACCAAAGCTTTTTCGATGCCCTTAAAAATGCTTGCTTGGACTTCTGTGCTTTCAACAAGCTTCTTTAAAGAATTTTGAAACATTTTCACTGCTTGGTTACCTGCTTGAACAGCAGGGAGCACATTCAACGACGACAAGTGTCTAAAAACATCAGCATTACCTCGGACTAAATTCATAATGACGTTATCCAAGTCTTTCTTAAGCTGAGAAACTTCTAGTTCAGTCCAAGAACTTCTACTTGCAAGGCCACGAACTGCCTGCAATGTAATCTGATCCCAAATAACCCCCATAAATCTCTTCCACTTCAGCGGCAAAGCATCTATACTCTTGCTGGCATTGTTGCTAAGTAACAGGCTCCTTGTCAAATCGGCTATGTGTACCAGCAGCTTTGATTTAGATTTCACTGACAATTGTAGGTTTTCTGATTCATTAGTAAACGCAGCCAGCAGCTTGGCCTCGTAGTCTTGGTATCCCGATCGGTAGACAGACTTCAGTGTTCTGATGATGTGCTTAATTTTTGGGTAGGAGACTTCAACTTCCCACGAGTTATTGATGTCACTTTTTGTCACAACAGCCAGCAATTGCTCCATCGCCAAAGAACTGTTCATATATCTTAAAGCAATGACATACCTTTCACGACTTTTGAAAAGCACCTCAAGAGACATGGCAAAGTGAGGAAATGTTGAGTTTAACTTTGCAAAACCTTTCTCCAAATCAATTCTACAAAAAACACGATTCTTGAACGCAGCGACCTCCAACTCACTAGGGTAAAAGAAGTCGTTGGCAATTCCAGATGTTTTCTTTACTTCTCCAAACACACGGACACTTGGTTTTACACTTTTAAATTCTCTTCTTACACCATTTATCAGTAGTTCTCCGAGTTCTTGAGAAGTTGTATTTCCAGACTTGTACTTTGTTTCCCACTTTATTTTTTTTCCATCCTTGTGACCAAATGTCAATTCACCTAAAAAACACGTCAGTGAATTTTGTCTTAAATAACTTTTGCAAATATTGTTAGAAATATTTATCCAAAATTATACCTTTTCATTGAACATATTCACAACTCTCATTTTTTTGAATGAAAATTTTGTTCTAAATGAATCTCTTTTTATACAATTTAAAAAAGGAGAACATTTTTGGTAACGCAAAATTTGAAGATGGCACGGAATAGCGGAGACATAGCATACTGAAGTATTCTCGTCCGACACTCTTCAAAGTTTAAACGCTGGAAAATGATCGAAAGTAAGCAGAAAATTTATATCATAAGGTGAGGATCGAAAACAACCTGAGAGGGAGAGAGCGGTTGATTGTTTCTTTTGCTTTTCACCAATCAGCGACTGCTAACCTCTTACATAGTTGACCAATTGCCTAGTTCACCTACACATGTTGACCAATTGCCAAATTACCTTTTTTTTGGGCATTTTTTATTTTGCAAATAGGCCACGGCTGTTCACTTATCGGAACCATATTTTGTTATTGAAAGCTAAATTCCATAAAGAATTACATCAAAGAATTACTTAATACACAACTAGCAAAACTACTTTGCTACACCTTTTGGAAGTTATGACAGGGAGCACAAGAATGCGTATACCGTGTAGCCATGACCTGAAAAATCATAACAGTTCATGGAACTGACAACAAAAATGAAGATACAACAAATGTTTGTTAACGATGGACGTAAAAGCTGAGTGGATTGCAATGGAATGATATATTTTTTGATCAAGCTGAGCAAGCTATAAGAAACATATCTTTACTTGGGTATTCTCAAAGGTTTTATTGCTATTCAATAATATCGTCATCAAGTTTTTGTGGCAGTTGCATATCCATTCTGTCGCAATTAAACAAGCGCTCCAGCGAGAAGGTACCTTCGTGCTGGTTGTAAGGTCCAAAGCTATACCTAGCACACTCGGAAAAATGGACTTCAGTTAGTTTTATCAAGTAAAGAATTTTACAAATAAGACCCTGGGGCATCACAATGGCACAGAGTATCACATTAACAAAATCACAAGAATGTTTGTTACCTTCCACAAGACGCACAGTTTTTCCCCAAACTGATAAAAATTCTCTTTTCACTTGAATTAACTCGCCGTTGCCATTGCGTACAACTCTCTCGAGATATGCCAAAATACCCGTGTCCTTTTCGTTGTGCCTGATGAACTTTGCTTCCGAGAAAATGTCCGAAGTATTTAGGGTTGCATTCCAAATGTGTCTCTGTAAGGAATTTAAACTGAAAATTGGAAAAAACCAGGAAATCCAGTTCAAGGAAATTTTAAAGAAAGTTTTTAATATGTGCTTGAGTGCTTGCTATTTTTCATAGTAGTAACAAAATTGCCATCATAGAAATCATAAAATTGTCATACTATATCAAATTTAGCCAGGTTTGTTCCTTGCGAGGTTTTTTGACTTAGCTTCAGCCATCCAGATGACGTCACCTCTCTTCTGAAGATATCGGAACTCGGCACTTTAAGATCCAGTGCATAACTGTTGCGCACTAGTGATACATTGACTCTGGACAGCCGCTCTTGCTTCGTTTTTAGATCAGATTCTAGAACAATCTTCGAGTCAAAGATTGATTCGTCATTTATCTTTGCTTTTAAAGTGAAAATGTTCAAGTTCTGTTTACTTCCAATCAGCTGTGTTTTTCTTGTATTCGAAAGCACTGCCATGAATCGTGATTCACTGTTTTTTCCAGATATTTCAATAAAACGAGTGGGTCCTAGAAGATAATTCAAGGCATCATCTTCTGGTAAAGTACAATTTTAAGTTGACGTCAACGTAGAAACTAAACTCATTTTCGTGATACCGGCACTAACAAAATAAAGACATGCAGAACAATGATCCACGTGGAGCAAAAAAACGCTGTCATCGCACAAGAGGCCAAACTACTGGCAAGCTTTCTTATGCAAATCCTGCAGCCAGATACAATCAGGAGGCACATTTTCATGGATGCATGTTTTTTAACAAATTTTTTTTTCATGTCATTAAATTGGTTTCGATTGTGTCCAACCTTATATAGAACTATTCAACTTAAAATATTCTTTTTTTTGCTAACATTTTTCAGCAACAAATGCGACATACAAGAATGAAAGAAAACCTTTCTCAACAGCGGAATATATAAAAAAACCTAAAATCAAACATCCAGCTGTTTCTTTTACGAATCTAAAAAAGAAAGAAAAACTAACAATCAAGCAATAATTTTTACATAGAATTTACATCTCACTTCGTTAACAATCTATAAATCATTTCGTGAAACCTATCCCAGTTTCATTTTATCCTTTTTGCTCACCTGCTTCTACAAAGCGCAAGCAAGAGAAAGAGAACTGATTTCCAACATTTGTCTCAGCGCATACTTCACGGTGACCATTAGTATTAAAGTATACCAGGAAGTGGCCTGAGCGACCTCCAATGTTCCAGGTGAGGTTGAGCCCTTTTTTATGAAAGGTCTGCACAGCACCAATGTGACAATACGCTTGCATTCCATCGACAGTGATGACGATTTCCCTTCTTCTCAATTGACTCGTTATGCCGTACTTTTTACCTTTAAAAATCACTTGGCTTTGAACTATTTTATTTGAATTTTCATAATCAAGTTTTGTCAGCCATGTATACACATCTAGTCCGCTGCGCATGCTCAGCTACAAGGAAAATAAACATCAAATCAACTACCGCATTACACATTGTAAAATTGAAGATCCATATTCAGTCTTGGGAGACCTGGACCAAGACAAAGTCTAAAGCAAAATAGAGTGCGAGAAAGGCTCTTTGAAGATAAAGATGATTAATATGAATTTCATCTGAGAAGAAAATGCAATGTGAACGGCTTGACAGAATCCGCAACCTACCAATAGTTCGTTGTAACCTTGGTATCTATTCAAAGATGCCATGGCTCCAAAAGAATATGTTGTTGTGTTTGCGACGATTTCTAGTCTTCCTTTGTTAACGTCACCTTTCAAAGTTAAGTTAGCGTATTTAGGTTGCCAGTTGACCAGCAAATCGATAGAAAATATTGGAAAAGATGGAACAAGTTGCAAAGCAAACTTCTTGTCACCATAATTCCAGCTCATGAAAATCGTCTGTGGGTTGTAGGCAACTTTGAGTTCTGCATCCATGCGTGCTTTTTGGTGTTCAAATAGCCACTTAAAGCCCCAATAGCTGTATGTATCTGTAAAATGTAAAAAGGTCTTCGTTACAGAATTTCCAGACACCAGCTGTATTTCTATCCCCATCTTGATGTCGAGCGTGAGCGGGTTCGTTTCGTTGAAGTAGCGTGTTGCTAAAACCACAGGACTTTTGGTGATGTTTGAAGTTAGCTCTGCTTCCAGCCCACGAGATATGTTGTCATATCTACGAAAAAAAATGCTATTAGACATAAAGTCTTCAATTGTTCAGAGAAATAAATAGAAGAACATGTTTTTATTTTCTTGTGTTTATTGGATGAGACTGAGAAATATGAAAACGGTTTTTGACAAGCTCATTTGTTATAAAAATGACATGCCAGTTTTTGAAAATGTATACAAAAACTTACCTTCGTGTAGTTGACATGGAATATTCATTTGATAATTTTGGTTCAAAAGACCTGGTGCAAGCAATACATGAATTGGGGCTAATGTTCCAACTCAATTTCAGTCTAAAATAGTGTAATGACGACTAACACGAGCTAAAAACTTGTCAAAAAAAGATTCTCGCGCAGATGAGCTTAAAAATCAAATTCCATCTTTTTAAATCATGGAAAGCTATATATCACAAAAGAGGAAATGATATTTACCGATACTTTAATAAAAGTCCACGATTCGTATTTCCGAATGTTGCGCCAACAATACCCTTGTTACCACTAGGCATTATTGCAAGATTCATTTTGTTCATACGTGGATTCTTTGCTCCAGGGGTACCGAAAATTGCCTGCAAAAAATCTTTTTTACTGGCTATCTTGAAATGAAAGAAGCTTAGCGATTTGTCCCTTTTATGAAGTGTAAATCCGACATTTGCAGGGCCAGTAAGTGGGTAATAGGGTGCACTAAGGCTTTGATATGCCACAGGAAAACTGAATTCTGAACACACATCGACACCAAAATACTCAGAGCTGTTGTAGACTTCATCGGCGCAAAGATTCAGCTGTTGAAAGAAATGGAGAAATTATCTCTTTGATGCTTCTATTCACATTCAAGCTAGGACAAATAAAACTTGATACGAAAGCATACTTATTGCGGGGAGCGACAACCTTTCAACATAGAATGCTGACTCAATCTTAAAACATCGATCGACATCGAAGTAAAGCAGAGCAAAAATCGACATCAAACAAAAAACATCTTTCCGCGATGAGAAGTTATACGATGCCTTTGAGAACAAAAATCGTTTAAAAATACCTCAAAGATGGTTAACAAACACAAAAAATTACATAGTGATTGAAAAAAGTCGAGAAAACAACACTTACATTGGTCCTTCGTTGCAATCCAGTAAATCTTATTTCCTTCTGACCAAGGACATGAAAAATCTCGTGCCTTCGTTGAAAAATTACAATTGCATCATTGTGAGTTACTTTAATGATATAGGATTAAATAGTGGAACCGGATACTTAACTGCAGAATCTGGTTCCTTTTTCTTAAAATGAATATGTCATTATATTCAAAGTACAACTAAGCTGGGATTTGCCTAAATCATAGCACGCTCGCCTAGAAAATGGTGCACTCTTTCAATTCTTGGCTTTCTTAAAAAAGGTTCAAGTATTCTACTTTCTTAATGAACTAATTATTCTTCAAGACGTAAAATGAAAAACATACTTATATTTGAATAAGTCAACCTTGTCACTGGGTGCATCGATCTTTGCCTCAAAGATCTTTCCTTCCTTGTAGTCAACCTCACCCCCAATCTTGGCGGTTGTATGTGTATTAGAATGCAGCCTCAAACCGACTTTTGAGAAGAACCCATCAACAGTTACTTTTCCTGATATAGCCAGGGATACACTGGGATAAAAGCAAACATTGAAATTTAAGTATCACTCTCTACAGACTGACTAGATGAGTATAGTACAAAGCGGCAAAATGGGCGTGTCACGAAGTGGCAAGGTGGGCGGGACAAGATGGGCGTAGAAAGTGGGCGTGGCAAGATGAGCGTGACATGAAGTAGCAAGATGGGCGTGGCATGAAAAAGTGAGGTGGCTATAAGAGCCACCTCACTTTAGCAGCTGCAGTGCTACGGTTCTCCAATTCATATTCAACAAATATTATAATAGTTTCATAGTGCTTTTCTTCAAGGAACAGTTTTCCACAGATCGATGATAATATTTACAAGATAAAATGCGATCCGCGATTATAACATACCTAGGCAACACCGAGCCTTTCATATTCATGTTCTTTGGACCCAGGACGAGATTGTTTACGCCGACTTTTCCATCTAGGTGTAATGACATTATAGCTGAGCCGTTCACTCCGAAGTTCAGGGGCAAACCAAGAGCCGTTGGCACAACGTAGCTTCCTTCTAGAAAAACAAAGCTCCTTCGCAGTGTCATTTTCTTACCCTTGGTTAAGGAGTACAAAGCTCTCACGACGTTAAAATCTTCCAATTCACCGTTCAGAAGGTGGATATCTTTCAGTTTCAAAATTCGGACATCACTTCCAAAAATACTAAACGTCAAATCCAACTGCGGCGCACTTTCTTTCATATTCACCTGAAACCCAAGAGAAACTAGAAAATTAATTTTCTCGAAAATATCACTGCCAAACAAAAACTTTTGATAATTATGATACAAAAGCTAAGCTAAGACAGAGACGAACACAAAATTAACCTGTTTTTCTAGCGTCTTTAGTATGTTCCAAAACGATTCTCGACCAACGTTCCGTTTCTTGCGAGAACCAGTTTTCTTCTTTTGTGCCAGGTCCATTGGTATATCAAAAAACGTCTTCAAATGCTGTTTTGAAAAATACCCAGTGTCTCCAACTATCTTTTCAACATAACGCTCTAAACCTTCCATTCTCACAGTTACACTAAACGCATCAACAGAATGCCCCAGAACCTGCGCTCCTAGACCAAACCTAGCGGATCGTGGGATGAAGCTCTCCGGGTGAAATATCGTGTAACCATGAACACCACCACCAACATCAGCTTGACCTGCAGAAAGATCAATCATTTACAATTTTGTTTTACGTCCTCGTTCTGGACCCAGGTTTTCGTTTTACGACCTCCTTTTCAAATAACACGCTAGAGCTGAATAGAGTTCTCAAGTGTGACGTCACAAAAACTTCTATTAGAATTTTCAAATTTTAATCAAATAACATAAAAGAATACTATAAAATACTCCCATATATGCAAAATCAGTTAAATTTGTCAAAAATCGGCTGAGCTAAGGCAAAAAGAAAATTTGAAGTTTGCTAACGGATTACTGTTATCAAAGACTTTGCTGTTATTTTGGCTCAGCTCATAAAGTTATGAACTGAAACCAAATTACAGGGTTTTGATGGGGCCAGAGCTTGTGCTCATCTGGCCATATCTCTGCCAATTCGTAATACCTTTAACTGATTTTGCAGATTTAGAGATATTTCATGATGCTCTTTCATGTTATGGGAGAAAATTTCAAAAACTCCAAAAATAGATTATTGTGACGTCATTGCACTTGGCTTTAGATCACAGTGAGTCTGGATTTCATGGAGAAGGAAATTTCCCCATAAAGGATTTCTGACAGAGTCATATTTATGGATAGAATATAACAAGAACAAAGGCAAAACCATATTGCACAGTGTTCCTTTTATCATTTGCTTTTTGATGACAGGAGGATAATGAAAAAAAATTAGTTAGCTAAAGGGAAACGTTTCATGATTACTCGAGTGAGCGCCGCGGCGCTCTTTTAATTTCCGGTACTTTTGATGCGGCGCTTTTATTCAGCTCATTCCATAATTTTGCTCCGCGATATGAAAATGCTTTTTGGCCTGTGCATGTTCTTAAAAGAGGTATCTGCAAGTTTGTTCCAGTAGAGCGAAGATTGCGAACACCGCCCTCTGAGCATTTGCTGAAAAGTTCTCCTAAATATTGAGGAGCAAGAGAGTTCAATGCCTTATAGGGCAGCGTTGCTGTTTCTTTTTTGATAAGATCTCTGATTGAGGGCCAACCAAGATTTTGGAGCAGAGGGACAGCAGGAGCATCATTGGGACTATTTGTAGTTATTCTTGCAGCTCTATTCTGGATTTTTTGGAGAGAATTGAGTTTGGTTTCACGGCGCTCATGGATTTTTTTTAATTGATAATGCCAAGATTCTGGCTGCCTCCTCTCTTGATTTTATATTTTAGCAGCATTTGTTGAAAGTGAATCAATGAATATGTGACATTTTTATATAAAGGCAAATAATGAAAACAATTTCAATTGTAAATTACGCCTACCTATATAAAACGATCTGTCAAAAGCTTTAGAAAATCTCGATGGCGGCGAGTACAGTTCTACCATCTTCTTCTTCTCCAGAGATTCCTTGAGCAAATTGGTCACCCTAGAGGATACGCATTGGAATTTCGAAAATAATTCACTTTGTAAATCGAATCAATGTATGTACAATGAAGTGATAAAAACATTTAAATATTAGAAGCAAGTGCAATATAAACCGCTACATCAGTAAAATCGGAAGGAGAGGAAGCTAAAAGAAATTTTGAAATAATATTGAAGGGAAATGACATCAATATCTCATGTAAAGCTTTTGACAAACTCGCAAATGAGCAACTAACACTGTCTTTTCTCATTTAGCAAAACAACCATTTATTTCGCCAAAAATAGTTGTGTTTTATTTTCAAAACATTTTCATTTTCAAGATCACCACATGACTAATAAACATCTTCAAAGAATCAAAATTATTTATGAAATGAATTGAATGCGTTTGTGTTGATGTGATTTATACCTAGACTACAGGAAACGAAATGGTATATACCGGCTCTTCAAAGGATTTGAATTCTTTTGTAATGACTTCAAGTATGAGGAAATGAATGATCTAATTTGATGGGCCTCTCGTTCATCATTCACCATGTCAATGGACAGCAAGATATCGTCTTCACTCGGCTCTTCCAACAACAACAAAAATGACTCTATTCTTTTCTCTAAATCGACATTTCTGTCAATGAGCAACATTCGCAATTGATCAGCAATTTTACCACCCAATGGCATTTTTCGAAGGGCATGGAGAGCAGCTACGCTTATTCTTGGCTCGGTTGAATGTCGAACGCAATCAATAATAACATCTTTCATCTGCAAAGGTCTTCCTGCATTTCCAATTGCTTTCAAACTGTAATAAATTATCTCATTTCGCTGCTCATCCTTCTTCCGGCAGTCATTTCCAAGCAATCTGATCAAAAAGTATTCTGCCTCCTGGATTACACCTCCAATTAGGCCCTGCAACAAAAAACAATAAAACAAAGCTTTCTAATCGTGCTAGGGGTAAATAGTTCCCCTACTGATGGAAATATGACTCAATAAATCATACCGAAAATCGGAATCTCTAAGGCAGATATAGATGCATTAGCTCTAAAGTCTTCTCTAATTGTGCGTCGTTGTCTTAGGCCTTTTTCTACAGAGCACCAACACGGAAAAACTTACAACTTTTTATTACTTCAGTTTCAATGATGAATTGAGAACAAATCAGATTGAAAAAAGCTGAATATCATTATGGTCCCATTAAGACGAATGATAATTATGCTAAAGGAGAGAAATTGCACGACAATCTTAGAATGGAAGAACGCGTTCTCACCTTTCCTTGGCATTCTGATGGTCGGTGACTACACATCTTGTGCATCAACGTGCCAACAAGGAGAAGTGCATTAGGGTTTTGGGTTGATTTGTAGATACCCTGGAAACAAAGCAGGGAACGTGATCATTTGAACTTACTTAAAATGTATAAAAAACATTCATAAGAAAGTAGGTTTGTCATGTACAACAAAGGCATTACAAAATCGCCAACAGGTTGAAGTCAAATATTTTAAGAATTATTATTATATGCCAGGTAGCAGCAAACACAACAAATTATATCAGCAGAACTAGGAAAACCATTGATGCAATACAGAATGAACTCACCATAACAGTATTGAGCATTGAAGGCGATGGTTCCTGAATGAAGTTCAATGCTGAAATGAAATCATCAACTCTTTCCCGTGGAATTTTTTGGGAGATAATCAATCCACCTATAACATTAACGCAGGCCGTCGATCCACATTGAGATAATGCTTCGAAAAAGTAGGACCTGGATTGAGAAGAAACACAACTTAAAAACAATACTTTTTGCCATGTGAAACACTTAAAAAATGTTTATAACTAAAAAAGAACTTGCCAGTAATTATTAATTTTTGCTTGGCATTTAGAGTGACCGAAGCACGTTTGTAATCTCTTCATTATTTCACCCAAGCTCCTCTCGTTGATTGATCTCATTGCAAATACCAGTTCGGTAAAGAGGCTCGATGTTTCAGGCAAAACCTTTTCTGCAGAATATCCCACCAGCATGGTGAGTAGTTTGACAACACGTGAGTCATCAGAGGACTTTAGATCGTCTTCGTGTTGATGAGTAAATAGAAGTGAAGTGGAGTAGAATTCTGTTGACAAAGGAAAGCGTATGATTAGCGCGTAACTGATTGTATAAAACTCGACTTGCTTCTCAAATTCAATACAGATTGTTCTATAGAAAACAGTCAAAAGTGTTTCAAGATACATCTAATCGCATTCTATATTTCCGAGGATATCTCGCAGCCATTTCTGATTAGTTAAGAACCTACCATGTTCAGTTTGTTTGTGACTTCGAATCCTCTTGATCTTCTTTAAGAACACTGATTTGCTGCCAGCAAAAGAAGAAGATCTTTAAATTAAATTTCCCAGATGTTACATCGACCACCAGCTAATTTAAAAAAAATGTTTAGCTCTTTGCTCAAGAGTACGGATAAAAATTGCAAATTTAGATTATTACTTCTAAGATTTTCCTAACATTTAAACTTAATAACTTGGTCCATATTCCCTCTAAGTGCAAATAACTACAATGGTAATCAATTTAAGTATCTCAATGGAATTCTAAAAAGACCAAGTCTCTACTTGACTTTGCAAGATACAGTTTGAATTTGTTACCTCATCGTGGTTGGACATTTAAAACACATCTTTTAACAACTGCCGCATCAAAGGCGAATAATGGCTTATGTTACCTGATGTTTGTGAATGCTCCTGCACCAAAACTGGTCGAAAACGGCCTCATGAGGTAAAACTCTGTACACATCACATTTTTTATTTCATTCTTCTTTCCCAGAAAATAGGCACATGTGCTTTTTCCCTCATATATTGAAGACATCTAAAACGGATTTATTTTTAACTTTATCACGATACCCCTTCTGTCAGTATAGCTTATGAACTTCAATTAATTAAAAAAGAAAATATATAAATTATTAACAAGACGAAAAAAGAAACAACGAAACGAAAATAAAGATTGTGTTACCAATAAAGCACAATGACACCAAAATTATTAAAATGAAATAATGACAATTGTTAGCTTGCTTTTTACATCAGTGGTATTGGACAAATAGAGAGATTTCGTTACATATCATAAACAATGATATTGACCCATTATATCTCAATTTTCAATTCAACTTCCCTAAATTCGACTACATATTATATAATGAAAGATATACAGGAACAAAGCAATACGACGACGAGATTCCAATATCAAATAAAATTTTCAAAATAAATTAAATTTAAAGAATATACTAATATTTCGCCCCGGCATACAGGGCTTCATCAGAGTAAATAAAACGAACGGGTGAATGGATTTGGAATGTGAGATGGTGGTGCCGGATTGGTGGATGTTGAATGCTGTGAATGAGAAAAAAGAAAAAAAAATTTCTCATATTCACAGTCATCATTATCATCTCATTGCATCAATCTCCATAGCACCACCCACATCCCCTTCCCTCCCCCACTTCCATCATCCCATTTTTTCTTCACTGCGCTGCATTCACGCCATTCAACATCCACCAATCCGGTACCACCATATCACATTTCAAATCCATTCACTCGTTCGTTTCATTTACTCTGATGAAGCCCTGTATGCCAGGGCGAAATATTAGTATATTCTTTAAATTTAATTTATTTTGAAAATTTTATTTGATATTGGATTCTTGTCGTCGTATTGCTTTGTTCCTGTATATCTTTCATTTTAAAATCTCATTGCAAGATTCACAGAATCCGGCGGACAGCCTATCCTGCGGTTCTTCCTTCTCACACACTACATATGTATTATATACCTGTTATACACCAAACAATTTATCTAATTCCTTTTTTATCAAAAGTTTTAAAATCATGTCAGAATGAACTACGCTTTCTGGGTTGAACTATAAGAATGCAATTGTTATTAACAGCCAAACCTCTTTGTACTGGGACGTGTCAATGTTCGAGTGTGCCATGGATCTGCGTTCACAGCTAGTCAGATTCTTTTGCTTTGTAACATTTTTCGTACCATCCTTCTCTTTTTTTAATTTGTACGTGACACTGCATTCACCAGAAACATCAACCTAGGAGCAGGTAGATCATGATGCTCGGTTAAAACATTTTTCGATCAACTAAAATTGCAAGAGAAAACTGTTCAGATGAGAGAGGGGCGGATGATGTCAATGAAACTGAATTTAAAACTTCCAAAAACAAACGAAAAACAAAAGAAAATAGAAAAGGAATGAAAAATTCTTAGCAGAAAATTCCAGTAAAGTAAGACAAGGTGTATTGTTTAGGGTTGTATTGAGAATGGAGGGGCTATCAAGAGAGAAAGACCTTTTACAACAAGGCGTGCTCAGTGGCGGCTCCAGCCTGGGATAAGTGAGGGGGGGCAAAAGGTGTGTCAGGGACAGCGCCCTTTTGGACCACGCCCTTTTCCCATGTTTGAAACTTTTTGTTTCGGAGGAAACACCTGTTGTCTCCCAAGAAATGTCCCAGAAAAAGTAATTTACATGTGACGATCTAGATAACGTACATACTCCCCCCCCCCCCTCTGAAGTTTTCTCCTCGGGTTTGCAAGAATCTCAAGGACCAACTTTCTGCAAAAAGTGGGGGGGGGGGGGGGGGGGGGGGACTAGTCCTCCCATTCCCCCCGTGGCTCCGCTACTGGGCGTGCTATAAGAACGTTTGAAATTTTGGGGATTCCTATCCATCAATTAATGCTCCACCAAGACGCTTTGTTGCTAAAGAGTATTCGTGGCAGTTTGAAGCTTGGTATGCAGGACAAACTGCTTAGCAATCATTTGATGGAGTCAAAAATTATGTTCCGCGAGCACAAAGCAGAAAAAGGTTTCGAAAGATTACAGCCACCTCTTGTTTGTATTAGTGAGGATACCGAGAAAAGTGTGAAAGCAAATGCGCATCTGTAAAAAGTTTAAGATGCTCAGTCACTTGATATCAAGACAAAACCTTGCCTTACCTCACGGACTGATTTTCGTTTGGACCATTTGACTTGAAAAGAGCTGAGAATTCCACGCTTAATATTCAGAAGATTTCTTTCTCTCTCCTTTAAAACAGGTTGGACATCTGTGATTATGCCATGGTCAACGACGAAGCGAACAGGAAAACGTTCCAAAGCTTGTGAGGCTGAAATGCTACCCGCTGATAATGTGAATTGACTTTTGCTTCCAAATGATTCTTCAAGTTTCACATTCTTCATCTGCAAGGAGAGAATTTGTGAACATGATAACTGATTTCACAAACGAACTATCTAATTTGCAATGACCATCAAAGGCGATGGGCCGTACCAGAAGGGAGGGAGAGGGCCATGACCTCCAGTAAAATGCAATGCTAAAAACTTACGAAAAATTGAAGGGGTCGCCACGAATATATAAAGATCAAATCGACTTTGAATTTAATGTTCATGGCACAGCAAAGCAAGATATCGACAGAAATTTTACATGGAATAATACGAGGAAACTTGTTCACTGAAATGAGAATAGCCGACTGCTTATACCTGCATTGAGTATTGACAACCAGCAACATGGTCGATATGCAAGTCTGCTGACAGCCGCATTTGAGTGGTGTTCTCAGATGCTCCTTTGATTCCGTTTTCTATAATTCCTTCATAGCCGTACAAGTAACTCTTGTTTTTACGAAAAACTTTTGCTAAAAATGAAATCGAATAACTCGATAATTGTCATTGTGTCTACTTGTTTAAAAAAAGAGGACGCTCGACTAACTGAAGAAAAATCATTCGTAATTCTTTGTGTATTGTGACACCCAAGAATAACAGTCTTGTCAGGTTTGCGAGATGAATAAATGGCATTTGAGTTGATTTGATTGGATTTTCAAATGGCATTTAATGTTTAAACAATTTTCCGGAATGACAGAAAAGGGCCTTCCGAGAATTCTTGATGGCAGAATTCATGATTCTTGATGGAAGAATAACATAAAAAAACATTCTTATAGCAAAACAGAACTGAAAATAATCAACATACATTGACTTTCAGACTTTGTCAGCACGAGTTATTTGTAATCATCAATGACTACGAATCAGTTGATTTCTTCAACATGTTTCTTTCAGAAACAAAAACTATATTCAATATTCAGAGAATAAAAGTTGTGGCTATTTTTACCTCTTTTACAGCCTATTTCCCCATTTCTTGTAGCAGAGGTCACTAGAACGACAATTAGATCATTTGTCAACATGATAAAGAGAAAAATGCTTTAATTTAGCCTTAGCCAAACGATTCGATTATTCGCTCAATTTTTCGCTCGATTTTTCACTCGATTTTTCACTCGACTTTTCATTCGACTTTTCACTCACGCCAACAAATGAAGGCAACGAAACGCAAAGCGGCTGCCGTTCTTATCGTTAGCGTCATAAGACCCTGTTCGTTCGTTTCATGCAGGAACCGCCATTAGATATTTTTTTCGTTTACTATTTTTTACGTTTATTACTAATTACTATTTTTAGGCAAAATTTTGTTTCGTTTGATTAATTCCATTCCTAAAATGGAATTCATCTCTTTAAGAGATCCCCTGGACCTCGAGGTCCCAGGGTAGTAAGCTTCCCTCCCCCCCTTTTGGCCGCCCTGTTCTCGAATATATTTATTTTAAGAATAACTAAGCATAATAGATGATAACTGCGCATACGCTCACTCGACTTACCCGACAAGGTGGACAAACGATTCGATTTTCATTCGTCAACACCATTTTCACTCGACTTGTTTATAGAGATCAAACTTCACTCTACATCTCTCGACGCCATTCGACTCCCTCGACAAGGTGGCCAGACGATTCGATTTTTCACTTGATTTCTTGTCGAGTAGAAAATTAAGTGAATAATCGAGTCGTTTGGCCGGGTCTTGAGTATTTCGCTCTTTTACCCAAACGTAACATAACTGTTATAATAAAACCTATTAGCTGAGAAGTTAGAAGGTGAGGAAAGTACGAGTTAATATAAATGTAGATGATTCAATGTTAAAACTTTTGAAAAGGCCAAGAGATTTGACTTTGGACTTAATAATTTAGAAAAGACTCGTTTAGCATCTATCAAAGTACAAACTTACTAAATTAATTGCGATTCAAGAAGGTGCAGAATTCATAAAATTTAATAACAAAAATTTATGACGTCATCATTCAGCCACTCTTTTCATCGTTTTTGACGATCATCATTATCATTGTTCTTTTCGTCATGGTCACAACCAGCACCGTTAAAACTATCATTGTGGGTTCTATCCTTGGAGTGGAAGCTCTAGCAAAAGTCGCAAATGAAGGGGGTTGTGTGTTTTCATGGCCCTTGAGGCAGATGACAGAATGATATAAATTCAGCATTGAATGCTTCAGATTTGTCTGGTAGGGTTCAGTCCAGACTATGGTTCAGACGAGGATTTTACAGCTTTTTTCGCTATGGCATAAATTCTATCAGGAATGAAAAGGACTATAAAACCAACAGTGCCAAAGGAAGAGAACCGATTGAAGCAGAATTTTGAAAGTGATGTCATAAACCAGAATGATTTCAGATTCAGAAGAAAGTAGAAAAGAATTCATGCCCGAGGTACACAAGCTACTAAGACTGTATAATTCTGCGGCTCTTGTGTCTGCAACGAGAGTACTATAGCCTAGGAAGAAAGGCGTACAACAATAGCACTATTGTTTGAGTTTGAGAATGCATGCCACGCCCTTTCAAGAGTGCATTAAAAGAAACAACAACGAAAGTATTGTTAAATCACTAGTTTGATCTAACAAATACGCGTGAGTTCTAAATAATAAGTAGAATTAACTTACGACCTTGAGCAGAAGAACTCGAATGAAGACATGTCTCGTATAAAACAGCAAGTTATTTCGACAACAGCAAATTATTTCGGCAGCAACTTTATTCGTCTACAGCTTTCGGCGAGTCTCCCTAAAAACTACGCTACACGATATATAAAAATATATATGAATAAATAGGGGTAAAGGTTAAAATTATATGATACAAACCCTAGAAAAGTATATGATGCAATGTACATGCATCCGACACAAAGTAAAACGTCTGATGCAATGCCGTTGTGTACCCGTCACGTGACATGCAGCAAAACCGATAATTGGAAAAGCAAAAGCAACAGTACCTAAGCAATTGTTTTGCTTTACAGTATGCAGCAGTGTTCTTGTGTCGGGCGAAGATATAGATGCAATTATTTCGATGTTCGAAGATAATTGATGCTGAAGTTATAACGTAATTCCTCGTATGTGATCGTTTGTGGAGTCAAACGCTACAAATTCCGCGAAGAAAAGCTGCCTTGATATGATTTCAACTTTCAAAAGCGGAAAGCGGTACGGTAACCGATACGGTAAGCGGGTTCTACGCTGGCTGCTCTACTCAGGGGTGCCTACACCGGAGGGGCTACAGGGGCAGCTGCCCCTCCTGCCCTTTGCGAAGAGGGGCAGAGGGGGCAAGAAGTGCCCTGAAATATAAGAAAATATTACAGAATCTTATTGATCATTGACGACCACTTTGAGCGCTCTCGTTATGTTAATTTCCATTAGAAAATATTAGAAAAATGATAAAATCAGCACAAAAACACAAAGGTTGAAAAGGCTGTCTATAGCAAGGTGGGTAAAAAGAGGGAGAGCGGCAAAGATAATAGTAGATAAACAAGAGACCTGTTCCCTCAGAAGTACTCCAGAAACCAACGATGGATAAAACGGTATTTGCAATAAAAATTTTACAACCAACCCATTTTGAACAGCCATGAGTTTTATAAATCCAAATATTGTGTATAATGACAAAGCCGTTTAATACCCATTTATGTATGGATATTTTCGTCACAATTTTCTCTATGTTTAGAATCATTGATGGTAGAACAACTCAGCTGTATAGTTTTCACATATGCATGTTAATATTTTGTTATGTTACACCACCCTCCCTAACCAGGAATACTCGATCATGTTAGTAGAAAAATTCTACGATTTGCCCTCAGCATCAACACTGCCCCTCCTGCCCTAATCTTGTGCAGGCGTCCCTGGCTCTACTCAATCCCTGGCTCTACTCAATGCACTAAGCGGATTCCACCCTGGCCCCTGGGCACTTTCAAGAATGTCATGTTTTATAAGAAACTAAGATCCGGTTCTGGTTGGCAGTTTCTTAAATTTTTTGGCCATTTTGGTATCAAAAGTTTCTTACATGTTTCTCAAAATTCGTAGGTAATGAATTTTGTAAGCGTGCTTCCAAGGTAAAGTAAATAGTTCACTCATATTCAGAGATAAACTAATGTCTGCTTCTTCTCCATCACGCTTTTGGCCAAAGAACATACATTCACTTCATGAAGAGGGCACTGCTTGCATTCAGATTCGAGGTTAACAGAATGGAAAGCTTTTCGAACTTCAAGTTGAATGTCAAGTTTGAAACTTTGTTATGGAAACTTTCTGAGTGTGCAATTAACTGAGAATGAATGCAAACTGCATGTCAAGTGTTGCAATATACAGTAATGTTCAATGTCAAGACTGTTTCGAGTGTCAATTCGGAAAATTAAAACTGCAAATCATAAAAAGTTTCTTAGCTTTCTTCAATTTGGGTAAGGTTGCGTCTTAACGTTAGTAAAATTGAGCCTACAGTTTCCCCTTGAAATTCCCCTTGATAAAATTAATTTATTGATTTATTCATTTATTCATTCATTCATTTATTCATTTATTTATTAATTCATTCATTCATTCATTCATTCATTCATTCATTCATTCATTCATTCATTCATTCATTCATTTATTAATTCATTCATTCATTCATTCATTTATTCATTTAATTTGCTATGTTTTCTATTTGCTATGTTTTTAGTCGGCATTACGTGGCACTGTTGTAGTGTAATTGAAAAACTGTAAAAGTGAAATGTTAGCAGAGCAAGTGGACATAAGTTTGTTGCGAGAACTGAGATGCAAAAAATAATTTGGACAATTTTAGAACATAAATCTCCAAAGTAAATGTTGATAAATTTATTTATTTTTTCAATTGCGAGTTGATGAAAAGTACCCTTTGTAAGAAGCTACACTGAGGCACCTCCAAACTGCTTTCGGTGTTCCTGTCCTGTGTAATGGAGGAGTCCAAAGTGTCGTACTGACCTACCAGAAAATGGGTCGAGTGAAACCGAGGTAAAGGCAAACAGTTCAGTTCTTAAAAGACGACGTCTGCCATCAACCTTCATTCAATGGCAGATTCAATTTTAAAGTACCCCAGATGAAAATCTCAGTGGACCAAGAGCTACATAAAGAATGGAGCATCAATTTTATCACAGCAGAAAGGTCCCAGGTAATTTTTATGCGCGCACTTAATTCATTTTCATCTTGTTTGTCTGCTTGATTGTTTTGGAGAGCTGGTCCATTTTGTTAGAGGATCGGTCAAACTTGTCTTCATAACCCCCAAATTTCTTAAAGAATACAGTAACTTTGCGATAGCTTAAATTTTTGTTAGAGAAAACACTGGAAATTATCTGGAAGTGCCAAGAGAGACTGAAAGCGAAAGCGACTGACAGGAATTATCTATTCCATCCAAAATTACAGTGATCTTTGAAAATATAATCCTAGTTCAGTTCTATAGCTTTTGAGATGAATTTCACCAAACCACACATTTTGTCTGCCTGTGTTTGCTTGCATTGTTTTCACCGCAAATATTTCGGCTTTTTCTGGTATCCCAGTTTTACATTACGTAAGAGCTCATCATTGAAAACTTACCTTGTGCGATAAACTGAAGTGAAAGCAATGCGGCTGTTAGCCTCATGGCACCCTTCCATTTGATCAAATTGCAGTTATTTTGCATTTCTCGCTTCTCTTTGCAGCGACATCAACTGTACTGCAACGCAATTTGAGATTTTTGCAACTATTTCAAATCACATCACCAGACAAAGGTCACTTCCGGGAAAGCCACATGTGTTGGTTTGCGTTTTGTCGACTTAAGAGTCAAGCTGTGATAAATACGAACATCTTACGTGATACCATAAGGCGTACCGTAAAAACCAGACCCTAAAACCCTGAGACCTAGGACCCTAAAGTACTGAAATAAAAAAGGACCCTTGACACCAAAAGGGTCTTCACCCCGATAAGACAATAGTTGATCACAGCTGATTGTCATCATCGCACCACGAGGACATATCAACCGTCAAATGCACTTTTGCTCCTACTACAGCGTTGTTCCGCATATTATCGCCCCCCCCCATAGTGGTTGTGATTCACGCTTTCACGAACACTACTTTCAAACTTTGAATGTCCGCACTTTGATCCCGTCGCAGTGAAATAGAGATTCATCTGTGATAAGGCTCAACAAAATATTAATTTGAGATTTAACTACTATTGGTTTATCACGCACCAAATTGAGGCAATTTTTTAAATCATCATTCAAAATTTAATTCACGAATTGACGGATAGTTAAAGCCTTTTCACGACATACACTCTTTTTTATGAGAACAATTTTATAAGAACACGAGCCTCAAAACTGGTCAAAAAATAAGAACAAATTAAGAACAAGCTGAGGCTGAGCTTCTGCAAAATGCAATTTTGAGCAACGTTTTTTCTCAAAATCGAGGATTTTTAGCGATGTGTGGGTGCTTTTCGGTGAATATTCAAATTTGTCAGCAAATTAAGGCTGTCTCACTCACTTTGTTGGCAAATGAGGCCTGAACACCTCCTTAGTGCGAAAAAGCTAACAATAGCACTGCTTACACCCTCTTAATTTAAGAACAAATTAAGAACAATCCAGCCTCAGATTTTCGAAAAAATTAAGAACAGTCAGCCTGATGTTAAATTTACTGGTTTTTATAAAAAAAGAGTGTAACGCAAGAAAAACTCGTGTTTCACGCTGCACGTAGGAATCTTAATTCACGAAATCACGCATAAAAGATCGAGTTTTCACGATTTCATGCACGCCAAAAACGAACGCATCACGCAAAAGTATGGGGGGGGGGGCATTATACACATCAGCTGCTGTCTTCAAATCAGTCTGTCATGGAGTCAGACAGCGACAAGTAAGTCTATGGCAGCCTTTTGGGCTTCTTCTAGTTATCTCTTTATTTGTTCCCTTTGAGAGTGGTTGCCACAGAACTGTTTATATTTTCCTACCAACTTTGCACAAATCTTTATATTGAAAAATGTATCCTGAGAACCCCTGGCATTGGATTTAAGAAAAACAATTATCAAACAACTAATTGAACTCATTTTCAAGCAGGGAAGTTTTGAAACTGACCTCTGTCAGTAGATATCAGTTCCAGAATCATTTCGTTAATTTTTTCTAATTTCGGGTCTATTTTCGATGGCATCTAGTTTATTTTTTATTATTGATTTCCTGAAAGTTCAGCCAAAAACAATAAGCTTTAACATTTGCTTTAAGACATTTGTCGATTAAAATCACTTTCTTGTGTATAAGAAACCAAAGTGTGTTATTAAAAGTTTCAAGTTTCTTATATGCGGGTACATAAAGTATGCTCTTAGATATGCCAACATTTAAAATTGCACACCAAACCAAATTTACAAAAGCGTTTTTATAGAAAACTTCTGTTACACACCCCATGATTTGCCAGTAATGCTATTTCTTCAGAATAGGGAGGGCAAAATCCAAAAAATTACGCAAAAGCGACAAGCAGCAACCAAAGAAAGTGTCTCTTCTTAATTCAAATTCAAATTCATGCAATTCAGCAACAACAATTTTGGTTTACAATTTATTTTGATAACTAATTAGCTGTGTATAAAATATTAAGATAATTAAAATAACAACATTTTTGTTAGTATAGTTGCCTAGGAGGCTATAATAATAATAATGGAAACATTTCATTTTCAGTTGAACTTAAACTACAATTACAAATCTCACTATTACAAGGTAATTTGCAATTGGCTAGCCTGGTTTTACAAGAAAAAACTATAACAATCGTAAGGTAAAAGGAAAAATTGAGAAAAAAATAAAACAACTAAAGTTAAAAAGGATTTAATTCCGGATTTGTCAATGATTTATTTTTGCAACAAAATATGTAGTACGTAGTACGGATGGCAATGTTTGAAAGTTTAGAAATGAGATACTGTTTTTGTTGCTGATCGATGGAGAGAGAGAGTCACACATTTTGAAGAAGGAGATGCCAAGAGAGTTCATAGAAATATTCACAAGAGACACATTTGAACTTCCGCTGTAAATGAGATAGGAGAGAAGCATACTTGCTGTGTTTTCTTGTTGCATTTGTGTCGAGATTGGATTCAAAACCAACAGTAAGCTCTAAGATGATTGATTGTGAAAGATAGCCAGGTATATCAGCGTAGATGGTAGATTCCTTAACAGCTATAAAAATTTTTTTTTAAACATCTCATTTTCATTGAATACATTTTAAATTTACAATTACACGACTCGCTTTTACAGGCATCATATAATTGGCTTATCTGCATTACAACATTTAAAAGTCAATTAGTTCGGGGCTTAGCCATGGTTTGTTTCGACGACAGAAGATATAGTAGGTGCAGCGGATAGAAATGTTCATGAGTTTCATCAAGATGGATTTAGTTTGATTTGAGTCAAAATTAAGTTGGTGTAGCATGTCAGAGAGAGAGGTAGATGAGGTTCCCAGAATGCCAAGGGCACTCATAGAAAGGTTAACAAAGGTAACACGTTTATAGGCAGGGCTCAGTTCCTTGATAAGGTCGCTATATTTCCTAGCTTTTCGAGTACTGTTTTCGTCGATGTTGCTTTCGAACCCAACAGTAAGCTCTAGCATGTAAAGGATTCGATCTTCAGTTACGAAGACAAGATCTGGTCGATAGGAGTCGCCTGTGATTAAAGAAGGTGATAGAAATGAAGGCAGGTCGGCGTAAAGTGAGCTGTTTCTAGGTGTTGAAAGGTTTTTAGCCAAATATAGAAGTACAGAATCATGTCTCCAGGTATACCTACCATGTTCAAGATAATTCTTGCAGCTAGAGACTATGTGCTGTAATGATTCTGATTGGAGACAGAAAGAGCAGGCAGATGACTGAGTAATTGACCATTTGCAGAGGTTTTTCCTAGTGGCAAGAGTGTTGTTTAGGTATTTGATGGTAAAGTTGTAAATGTTTTTTGGTAACTTTTGCTGGACACTAGACCAAAGTTGATTAGTTCCCTTAGAAGCAAATTTTAAGATGCACGAGATAATAAATCCTTGAGATGTAAGAACGTTTTCAATGCGGTTTTCGTGTTCACTTTGGATGGATTTGAGAACTTGTTTTGTGTTGCGATAAACGTCATATTGTATGTTTGTACCAGTGCTAGAGTCTTTCCATAAAGAGCGAATCTCTTGGTTTGGGGACAGTCTTAAAGAGTTGCGGATAACTGTTTGGCATTGTAAGAACTTGGTAGATGGAAGAATGAGATGTGATAATAATCATCATCAATTTATTTAAAGTTGGCGCTACATAGCTATTTACAGTAAAATGAGCTAATCCAAGCCAACTGTTAAAACTACTACATCAAATAAATACATACGAGATTAAATACATAAAATTTTATGTACAAGACAATCAATTAAAAACAGAATTTAGATGCTGAGAGATTCGAGGCAGTTTTCGAGCCCAGCACCCTATTAAGTTAACAAAAATAATGGAGTGGGCACAATTTAAGTAGCAAAATTAAATAGAATAGGGTTATACAGTATGATATAATAACAAGGTATATATAATATACCAAATATTATTAATCGAGATACAACAACGAGAATTTCTTAATGTAAATTAGCAATAGAGAATTTGAAAATTTATAAAATTAATTAACAAGATAAAAGTTAAAACAATTCAGGCTAAAAGGGATGGGAATGTTTAGTGTACAAATGAAAGAAGATTGTTAGGCCTACGGAAATCTGCATGGCCTATTTTCAGAATTTCAAATCAAATACTTTTCTAAAATTATTCTAATAACCAATTGCGAAGATGTATGCAAAACAGAGTTTTGTTTTTCATTTCTCTTTTTACAAGGGGTAGGCTATTCCGAATTTTACCGTGATATCTTTTTTTGTAGTGTGTTTTAATTTGTGGAGTGGCAAAATGCTTTTTTGTTGTGGCGGGTTCGATATCCATGTCGAAATGTTGTTTTCTCAAATATAGAGTTGTGATTATTATTGTTAATATCATCCATAAGTTTGGCACATTCAAGATTGAAACTGTCTCCAAAATTGAGAATACCTAATTGTTTGAAACTGGTTTGGCGCTAGTTTTGTTTTCCTCAAAGCTAATTATTCTTAATGCTTTATTAAGATTTCGCTGAATCGTTTTGGTTAATGTCGCAGCTGCGCAGCCCCAGTTTATCAGAGCATAATTGACACGAGGAGCGACAAAAGCAAAATAAAGATTGCGCATAATTTGGATTGGGACAAAATGTCTCATTTTTGAAGAAATACCAATGCCTTTAGTTATCTTATATTTATATGTTTGATATGTTCTTTCCAATTTAAGTTTTTATCTAAGATTACTCCTAGAAACTTGATAAAATTTCTCGGAAGATATTTTTTTGTTTAATGATAGCTTATTTTGGTTAGAAGGCTTTTTTGAGGAGGTGAAATTATTAAAAAATTTGATTTATCAATATTCAAGGTCAATTTGTTAGCAGTCAACCAATTAGAAATTTTATATAATTATTAATTTATATAATCATTATTAACATTTTTTTCATATGCTAAGGTTTTCATGCGAGTAAAAATTACTTGTGTCATCTGCAAATAGGCGGAATTTTGAATGGCTAATGGCATATCATTGATATATAGAAGAAACAGGAGCGGTCCAAGAACACTACACTGTGGTACTCCAGTTTTGATATAGCAAGAATCGGATAATACACCATTGATGGAAACTTTCTGTGTCCTCTCCGATAAAGTTGAATTGAACCAAAGAAGTGGGGTACCTGTTAAACCATAATAATCTAGTTTGTCCAATAGGGTATTAAGTTCCACCGTATCAAATGCTTTTGCGAGATCTAAAAATATACAGCATGCATATTTTTCATCTTCAATTGCATTGATTATAAAGGTCTAAAATGGCTAACGAGGTAAACTTATCTTTTTTAAAATCAAATTACTGTTGACCCCAAGAGATTAAACGACCTTGAAAGATTTGTGGATGATATGCGGAAGTAGCAGTAGTTGGCACCAAAGCGGGATTTGACAGATGATATGTCCTCGTGGTGCCATGATGACAGTCAATAGCGATCAACTATTGTCTTTTCGAGGTGAAGACCCTTCTGGTGTCAAGGGTCCTTTTTGATGTTAGTACTTAAAGGTCCTGGGTCTGGTTTTTCGGTATGCCATACCATAATCGTTGTAGCCAGATAAGCGAACTTACATCAGCATGAGCACAGCGTGCGATTCGTGGATATAAATCCAGTGTTTTCACTTTTAAGGAAATTTCCTCAAACTAAGGAATCTTTTAACCTTTAAGAAATTTTGTTGTGAAAGCAATTTTAAGGAATTTTAAAAATTTTCAAAAAATTTGATTCTTCTCTTCTATGATAAAGGAAAATTTCCAACCAAACACAGCATTGAATTAAAAGTAAAGCGAGGAAAGGATATTAGTCATCAAATGGGTCTTTAAAAACATTTTGGAAATTTCGCACAAAAAACGTTCAGACAAAACTTTCCGTGGAAAAAACTTTCGGATGAAGAAACTTTAGACAGGGAATTTATTACCACAACCTGACCAAGTGCCTAACCTTAAATCTCTCAAGTAATTTTGATTACTTAGCATATAAAGAGTATTCTTAGGAATTTTTCCAAAATCTGACGAAATTTTCGTGCGAGCTTAAAGAAAATTTACATGAAGCAAAGTGAGAACCCTGTATAAATCTGTCGTCCACTCACTACTCGATACTTGGTTATGTCTCCTTTGTGGGATTTTCGCTTGTCCATGAGTTGAAGAATACTGTCCGTCACCCATTCTTTCTTTTTCCTCTTCTGTTGTTTTAGTAAAGATTCTTTGGCTGCTTCGATCAGACTTGATTTTACATTCTGCCATTCCTTTTCAATGATATCCTCGATTTGCTCTCCTTGTTGTGATAGAAGGCTCAGGTATGCATTCTTGATCTATACCAAGGCCATATCTCCAGTAGTTCTGCCATAGGGGCCCCATAGGGCTCTGCCCCCGCGTTTAAATCTCCCATGCTAAACTAAACACAGTATCATCCGAACTGGCATAGCTGAGTCCTTTACTGATCTCTTCATAGAATATTTCAATTTCTTCATCAGAGTGATCTCACGTTGGTTCATACGTTTGCAATAGCATAGCAAGGGACGCCTGCACGGGACAGTGTTGGTGCTGAGAGCGAATTGTAGAATTTCCTGCTAGCATAATCGAGTATTCCTGGTTGGGGAGGGGGCGAAGGGGGGTCACATAATAAAATATTAACATGGATATGTGCCACCCGTACAGCTGGGTTATTTTTACCATAAAAGATTCTAAACATAGAGAAAAAGTTGACGACACACATACAAATTGGTATTAAATGGTTTTGTCACTATTCACAATGTTTGGTTTAATAAAAATCATGGCTGTTATAAATGGGCTGGTTTTAAAATTTTGATGGCATATTAAGTTTTAATACGGATTTATCCCCCTTCGGTTTTTGGAGTACATCCGAGGGAACAGGTCTTTTGTTTATCTACTATCATATTTTTCCCGCTCTACCTCTTGTGACCCACCTCGTCACAGGCAAACCTTTCAACCTTTGGGTTTTTGCTGGTGTTATCATCTTTATATTACTATCTAATGAAAATTAACATAACGATAGTGGTCAAAGTAGTCATCAATTATTGATAAGATTGTTTAATCTTTTCTTAGGATTTTTATATTTCAGGGCACTGCTTGTCCCCTTTGCCCCTCCAGCCCCCCAGTGTAGGCGCCCCTGGCAATAGCACCAAAATAAAATACACATACATACATACATACATTTGGGGGAATTTCTCAGCTGGGGTCTGCATCCTATGTTTTTGAGCATATCAAACTGCCAATGTATTCCAATTTTCATGCTGGTATCACAACTTACAGTGATATTATTAGAATAAATGCCTTTGTGGCCTGGGACTAAGTACAACAGTCTTAAAATACGATTTGGGGGCATTTCTCAGCTGGGGTCTGCATCTTATCTTGTTCAACGCCTAAAACTACCCTGGTGGACGAAATTTTATGCTGGTATCCGATTTTGCACAACATTTTGGCTAACAGCCCTGACTAATGCATGCGAGTACCTTCGAGGCATCTATCTAAGTTTCAAAGTTTTGTAGAAGGGCAATATTGTGCTGTCATCAGAGAGCGTGCCGTGCATAATAGTGAGTCAGTAGATATGCTAGAGGGTATGCCAAATTGGTAGCCCATACTTGGTAGCCCATACTTGAGAATGCTAAGCATAGTTATTAGATACTTAATGAAAATGAGAGAAAAACTTTGATATTGCAATCTTTGAAATTGGCAAAAAAATTGATTTTTGATACACATCCTAATATCCTTATCCTAATATTTAAACAAATGAACATGTCGTCCTTCAATGATGTACCTGAAGTGAGATTCGAAACCATGTTTCTACAGAATAAGCCGTCGACACGAGAGGGGAGGGGAGGGAGGGTATTGACACCCCCTTTGGGATTTCACCATGGAAACAATATAAATACTCTCCTAAGTTCAGAAAACTTTTACCTCTTTTGATTCCAACCCTCTACTTTACGTTCGCGCTGTCTTCCTGGACATTTCTAAAGCTTTGGATCGAGTATGGAACAAATGATTAATGTAAAAACTATGTTGATGTGGCATCTCTGATAATTTGCTATCTCTATCTCGAAAAAACGAAGACAGCGCACACTCCTCAATGGTTAATCGTCAGAATAGTCTGTCCCTCAAGGATCTGTTTTGGGACCACTCTTCTTCTTGATTTATATAAATGATTTAACTGATAACATTAGGGTAACATAAAGCTATTCGCCGACGATACTTCACCGTTGTTCGTGATACCGAGCAGGCTGTTCTCGATACGAATCAAGATTACCTTTCAAATCCTGACCCTTTGAAGCAAGCTCTTGAGTTTATGTTCTTTAAGAAACACAGCACCGAAGGACATAGCCGATTTGATAACACACACAAGACCATAAACATTTAGTAATGGCCATAAACATTTTGGTTTCATTTTGGACTCTAAATTGATATTTTCTAACAATATTTGGTCAATTGCTTCAAAAGCTAGACAAGGTTCTTGGACGCCCTCATGTTGATTATGGTGGTGTTATTTAGAATATCTCGTCCACAACTTGAGATAAAGGTGATAACTGTATAGGGGAGCTGAGATTTGTCCAATACTTTGCTGTTCGTGTGATAACAGGTGTACGTGCAGTTCAGTTTTCACGAGAAGTTTTCAGGAGGATTTCGATTCAACGTTTCTTTTGAAACCTACACTATAAGGGTCGAAATAGTTGAACTTTCGAAGAAATTTGAAATTTCAACTCAGCATCTACAAAAATAAGACAAAAGGCAAAACAAACATAGGTATACCTAAAATGAATTAATACTTTGATAACATCTAATACAGCTGAAAAAGTCTTAAAGTACATATAATAGCTCTAGAGCTTCTTCATAAAAACGTAATACAAAACCATAAAAACAGATTTGATGGAAGAACCAGACTTAAAACAATGAAATGTTTTCGCCGACGTTCGCTTAATGCCAAAATATCTCGTCAGTCGACCCTCCAAGTTGACAATAGGCTCTGTTACGCATTTTTTGTAAAGAAACCGTTGAGAGCAAATGCTACGTTGCTGATTGATATGTAACAGTAGCATATTGTGCAATGCAACCAATGAGGATGTATGTGACGACTGAAATTTACATATCCTTTAAAGATCTGAAAAAACAACGGGATCTTAGAAAAAAGCTTTAGGAAACAGGTTCAGCCAGCACCAAAAACCCAACTACTAACGTCAAATGAACATCGCACACCACTAGGCATTTGTCGAACAGAGCGTCATAACACAACACTGAGCTTCAGCTGGTTGAAATAGAGATAGGGCGGTTGTGCTTCCTTTCAACATATATGCATTGCTGAAAATGAAGGATAGACCGTCGCGTTGACTGCATCCAAATGACTGCAGTTATGTACTGCAAGCAGGAGGAAACTTCGTTGTCAAAGCCATGCTCCTCCTTGTTGCTATTTGAACAGCTGGAGGCAGTGTTTTCAACAAAGCCTCTACGTCAAATCTAAAGTTTAAGAACTCGGGTACTGCAAACGACAGTTCCCCAGATGATGTGTTTGATCGTTTACTCTTCAACTCGCTAGAAAAGGCATTTTGGGGAAGTTTGTTCGGCTTTTTAGCTCGGGAAAGCAAAGAGTCTTCAAAATCACTGGGAGATCCTTCAATATACCAGCCTCTCGACTTTTGCGCCATTGTACTTTCGTTAAGTGTTTTGCCACCTCTTATACCGCCAGCAAAAAATGATTCAGGAAACAGTAGATTTCCGTCTATTTTTTTCACGGGCACTGAATGAGCTTCGACCGAGTTCATTGCTTCGTCGCGTTTCGATAACAGAGACAAGAACGCTTCGTTTTCCTTCTCCTTCGCTTCAAAATCTCCCTCGGTTTCCTGGTGCCATTCCTTCTGCAACCCACTTGACAGCACGCCAACAAGCGTGGTGGGCTGAGACGACTGCACAGGAGCAACAGTACCCGTTAGTAGTCTTCGGATTGCTTCTGGTTGATTATCGGCTTTTTTCTCGGCTTTTTTCTCGGCTTTTTTCTCGGCTTTTTTCTCGGCTTTTCTCTCCCCTTTCACTGGACTCTGATGTCTGAATTTACCTGCATAAATATATTTCATTTATTAACTTTTTCGCTAGATATTAATTTATAGCCTTTAAAAACAGTAAAATTCAGCAGTTATTATTGTACAGCCGTCCCTGGAGAGAGCTTGTTACAAATATTTTTTCCAAGCCACAGATTTTTCAACGGTCCAACGTGCCTGTACTCTGAATTCTAGATACAGAACAACTGATTTTCAAAAAAATTCTCGCCATGATTCTAGAAAAGAACCTAGCCATCTGGCTTCCATCTGGCTTATCTTTGTAAAACAACTATTAGCGGCAGACTTATCCTTCTTTATCAATGCCAATTTATCAGCCGCTGGTTCCACTAAAAAATCGCATGTTGACGACAAAGTTTAAAAAGGGTCTTTCTATAACAGGGACCTGAAAATAATGTCACTTTCTACTAGACAAAAACACTGACCAGGTGCACTTTTACCAAGAACATCCCTTAATATTTGCTCCTCGTCAGCGCTTTCTTCGCTCATAAGCGGGTGAATATTCAACTGGGTTTCCTGAAACCTCCTTTGCTCTTCCTCCTTTCTTCTGCGTAAAAAATCATCATCTTGCACCCCAACTCCGAATATTTGCTTATTCGGTTTTTCGTGGGAAACTGGCGTAAATGCAGACAGTACTGAATGGTTTAGTGGTAAGGACACATAGCTTGGAAACGGCAGATCTGTTTTAGCCTTTTCTCTCCTTTGCTTCACCCATTTTCTTAGATCTCTATGGAAAAAAACAAGTAGGGCACATATTGTAAAACGTATAAGGCATTTTTCATCTAAAAAATAAATAAAACGATAACTTTTGAGGGTGTAACGTGCTGTAAGGAGGGTGAAATCAACCGGAAGATTAAAGTAAGGATGGACAACCTCAAAAGGAAATTGAAATAAAAGATGAAGAAGGTATTTTGCGGTTGAAAGAAAGAATAATTACTTCACAAAAGGCTGGACCATGAAGAACGAGGAGGGATTCAATCCAAGTACATCGCGACATACAGTGTCTTTCTTGTGAGAAGGAAGAGCATCTATGCGGAACCACTGCACATCCTGTAAATGGGACAAATTTGTTTAGCAGGAAGCAAGTATTGCACGATGCTTGGTTGATAATCAAGGTTTGACAATTCAAAGTCTTCTTTCTATCCAATGTGCCAAAAAGCAGTTTTCCCGCATGCTCAAACTGAAAACATGCATCAAATTATAAGGACAAGAAGTAGTTTGATGGCAAGCAATAAAATGTTGAGATGCAAAATACATTTATACAAAAATTAGATTTAGTGACATTCAAATAGGCAAAAACGAGTACCTCGATTTCTTGTCGTGTCTGTGGCTCGAATTTTGAAGAACTTGGAACTCCGGGCACGATGTACAGTCGAACCTAGCAAAAAGAAGCGAAATTGACTCAACAAGGAATGAAAGATTAGGTGAGTTTATTAATAAGAAAATTATTGGGAAAAAGGCATGAACGGTCGAATCTTTTAATTTTAAGACGGCCCCGACTGAAGGTGTCATAGCTCACACTTCATTATACGAACTTTCGAAGCAGAGCTTTCAAGTTGAGAGACGAATAATAATCATATTCCTTACATGAGTTCAATTCAAATTTAGAAGTTTATTTGAAAATTTGATCGGGTACCTCAGTTGGTAAAGTGACGGCGTACAGTATTGGAGGCTTTGAGTAGCAGTCGCTTTAAAAAGGTTCACCGATAAGAAAGTTGGATTTCAATGATACAGAATTTAGCCAAACATTAAAAACGACTAGCTTCAAGGGATGCGGCCAAATTTGCATATGGAAAAATCTTCGCACTGAAAAGCAATGTTTTTAATTGCAGCGACACCCTGGACTTCAAGCAATAGAAAACATTTGAGAAAATCTTACAATACCATAAGAAAAACACACACACAGTTGTTTCAAACTTACAGCTTTAAAAACTGAATATCGAAAATAAAGAAAAAGAAAAGATCCTTACCCTGTGATCATGAAAGTCCCTCTCCAAATATTCGTTTTTATCGATGTAATTTGTTATATCGAAACCCGTCTCTTCGATCACCTTTGTGCATAAATGAATACAATAAAATTACACGAAAGGAACATAACTGATTTGAATCAATCATTATGTGAAACATGATCAAACCTGACATTTAAAATCATTACATTGTCAGAAGAAGCATTTCACACTTTTGCTTTATAAAAGGAGATAATGTTGAAAAAACCATGAGAACACGAAGGAAATGTAGCACAGGGAAGACCCATAAAGAGACTGAAGAAGCTGGCACAAAAGATAAAGTTGCCGAAAGAAAAGCAAAGCTGGACAATCCGCAGTCAATGGTTTAGATAGCCAGATATTAATCTTTCTGCCTTTAACAAACAGGGTTCATGCAAAAAAAGGCCAGTTAAATTATAAGACAACAAATAACAGTAGAACAAAACCTTTTTTAAATAAAAGATTCCATTAAAAATTCTGAAATATTTAAAACAGATTTAAATATTCAAACAATTTACTCAAATATCGCTGACCTCTCTTACAGCACACTCAAAGTTCTCCTCATCCTTGTTCACTTTTCCTTTGGGAAATCCCCAGCTTACTCTTTTGTGGAATGGCCTAACCAGTATGCACTAATAAAAAAGAAAAAAGTTAAAGGATTCACACCTAGGAAAAACTCTGAGACCATAAGAGTGCATTAAAATTCCTAACGAGAAATTGCCGCTAGAAAAGAATAAGAACTTTTAATGTGAAATGCAAATTAGCGGCTTTGCCAATAAATTAACAATATCAGCAATAGGAGGAAAAACTAGGATTTAAGAGAATTCTGGTTAATGCATTACTTACATGGTCAAGGAACTCATCTAGCATGATAGCACCGTAGACGGGGACCTCCAGTTTGTATTTTTTCCAGTTTGTAAATATTTCTTGCGTACTAATATTTGATTTATTCAAAAACGGAAACTCCGAGAAGACTGCATGAAATTAAGGAATAATTTTCAATCACAGGATGAATGCAAGAATGGTAGTTTCTTTATTAGCAGAAGTACTGCGGAAAAATGCAAGGCTTGTGGCAATCCTCTGATGGAAAGTGTTCTTAATGCATCTGTATAATAAAATTCATTATTTCATTTGATGTTTATTGGCTAGAAGACAATTCAGATACTAAAGGTCAACTTATTTTTAGTTGGCGCTACTTGGGAGGGCACCGCTTGGAAAGGCACCGCTTGGGAAGGCACTGCTTGAGAAGGCACTGCTTGGGAAGGCACTGCTTGAGAAGGCACTGCTTGGGAAAGAACTGCTTGTGAACGCACTGCTTGTGAAGGAACTGCTTGTGAACGCACTGCTTTGGAAGGCCCCGGAGTTTAGAGCAATGCCCTAACGAAAAAAGGGAAGGAAAATCTAGCTTGTTCATGTTAGCTTCGAAGAGTATATGAGATAAGAACAGGTTGTAACTGTCTGAGAAGCAGGAAGAGGGTAGGGTGTTCCAAAGTTTACAGGATTAGGAAAGAAAGGATGAATTGATAGACAGAATTCGCTAATTTAGTGAAGAGTCTCACTAATTTGGAGAAAAATGATTTTGCACGAGGAGTTATCGTCGTTTACTTTCAAATTAATTGGAACCATGGTGCCTGGGATATCACTTCACTGTTTGCCGACGCTATTTCAACATGCTATAACTACTTTGTCATGGCAACAAGCTCTATTAAAATACTGTTGATTATCGTTATCTATTTAAGAAGAGTGGTTCAGTTTCAAAAATGGAGCTCTTGAAAACAAAAAATAGAAAATATGTCTTTGGGGAGCTTTCGGTTGCAGTTTTTAACTCAAATGAGTAGAACTGCAATAGTTTAGATGCTAGTTAAATATTAGTTAAGGAGCTTTTGTCTCTTAGTTACTTTCTGAAAGTTTAGGTTTTTTGCATACTGCAATGCAATTAATGTTACAATGCTGTTGTACAACTCTGTTCCTTGCAATTCTATCAATACAGTCCTCGTATATCTAAAAAAATCCACATTTATCCATCTAGATTTAATTTAGTTATTGACATAATCAAGGAATATCTGTAGATACCTTCCATAAAGCTGAAAAGCCATAATAAATATTAATATATCGTACAATTGTTTTTGAATGGTTTGCTTCTCAACTGCGTCCAAAAACCCCGCCGTTAATTGCTTGGTAGTGCTATTTACAAGTCGACAGATTTACGGTCCTGCTTTCCACTACCTATAACAAATTCCGCATTTCACTGAAACGGTCATTGATAAAAAATAAGTGTTAAAAGTATTTCAATATTCTGATGCATCTATATAAACCCCATTAAAAGTTTCGCTTATCTAATTTAACAAAAATTACTTTTTTAATTATTTTTAAAAATTAGGGTAGATGTACAAGAAAAAAAGGTTTCAAGAAAAAGGATACTGATTTTCATGAACTCTTGTACTCCACACCCAGGTAGTAGTGGATTTTCTTGACGATAAAAGTCAAGGTAAAACCAATGTGCAAGCTCAATTTGAAAGCATATTCTGACAATGTCACTTTTTTCTTCTTCTGGTATATTAATAAGAAACCGGCTAGGAATAAAAAAGGATAGTTTGTAACAATTCATTGTCCCACAAAGCTGCAAAGATAGAATTCTAGTATTTTTCATATTATTTGCATCTGTTTTTAGATAAAAGAATACTCAGAGACAAGCAGAGTCAATGGTAACAGGGCCATTCTACCACACCAGCTGAAAGTTAGACCCATTGTGGAAAGGTTGAAAGCTCTTTTGTTCTGTGCATTTTTTCTCAAGCGAAAATGAAAACTGACTAACTAGAAATCTATTGGTAAAGTACATACATTTGATTTTTTAGTTGACTGCTAATTGTGTAAAACAAACAAGATAGTGCGGGAGAGGACCGGCTAGCCCTAGTGTAAATAGTTTCTGAATAGAGATGCATGTAGATTTGTTAGGTTGAAGTAAACCTAGACAAAAGACAAGGAATTTTGACATCATGATATGCATGTAGAGTGTTAAGGAAGTGATGGTAAGAAGTTTCTGTAAGAGAAATAAACAAGTTGGAAAACTAAATGGTGATAATGAGGAAGAAAGGAACAAATGATGTTTCAAACAAAGGCCTGTTTATAGTTATTTTGATTTGAAATTTGAACTCAACAGGGGTCAAAGGGTTTGGTAAAATCAAGAATAGATAAGTGCTTTGATTATTCTGGAACTTGATATTTAAGCCAAAATCCTGACAATGTGTTTAGCCTTTTTGAAGTGGTATGCGGGTTGACATTTAATTTCAACATGAAAACTCACAGAATAAATAATTAAAATTTTTTGCTTTCAAAATAAATGAAGGGGTGCAATATTTTGCACACTTGGGAAGCTGCAAGTGTGCCCTAGGGCATGCACATGCGATTGCAAACCTTTCTAATGAAAGCCTGCACCATATTCTCCTCATTACCGTCAAAGCAACAGCTAAGCAGCCCTAGGGACAGTTAAATAGTTGCATAAGAGAAGAAGGATCCATATTGCCTCAACAAAATATAGAAACACAACAGCGCTATTCCAGCTTTGTTTAAACCCAAATAAAGAGGCTTTTCTCAAAAAAAGTGACAAAGACCATGATAGGCATTATAACAAAGGATCAAGGAAAATTTCAGAATCAAAAGAATGATAAGAAGTTTGCATAAGAACAACTCCAAAACATCACCTAAACAGAAGACGCAAAATTTCTACAGAAAAAAGACAAGAACTTCATTACTTTGTAAAATTTGTTGAAATGCTGTGGCTCAGTCTTAATATAAGAATCAGACAAAGCATCATCCGAGGAGACCGTCAGAGTCTGCATGGATAAAAAGAGAGGCTGTGGGTAAACAGGCTCATTGGTTGTTTGGTGTTTGTTGTCAGTACTACTAAATTAATATTATTCAATGCAATTTAATTATCATATTTGAGAAGCCCCATTGTGATGTCACAACATTGTGATGGCAGTTTAATATTGATGTTTATATGGCATAACCTACCTTCTTTCTTCTCACATTTTATTGCTTGTTTCAAGGTTTTTATTGTAGCAAGGTATTCTTGACTCTTATTTTCAACACTTATTTTCTATAGAATGATTAAATCTGCTGAAATGACAGATCCTCAGTTTCTAAACTTTTCAAGAATCTTAAGGATTGCTCCTGCTAAATTTCAGCCCAAAAACAATTCCTGTGATTACCCCCCCCCACATCCTTTAAATTTGGATGTTCCAGGTCCATTAAATTCAGCTTGAAAACTTTGACAATATAATGATCCTATTGACATCAAAGCTTCAAGCTGTCTAGTTGTAAGAAAAACATACCTTTTTTGTTCAAAATGAAGATGTGAGCGCAAAAGGCTGTGTTTTGCTGAATTCAGAAACAAATGATTTACTGTGACAGTCCCATGTCTTAGACTTACGCTACAGGCCCTATTTGAACATTCAAGCTAATTGTTGGTGTAAACATTATATTTTGTTTACTGAAGTCTCAGTAACATCTGAAGAGTGAGTTGTTCATGAAACAGGCTTGTAGAGAAGAAACCTGTGGTTCAATTTGCTTCAACTCCAAAATATATATTTTGCTTGCTATATAATCCTTTGATTCCTATCAATGATTGAACTATATTGTCTACATAAATCTATATAAATCTTATTGGGCATGACAGGAAGTTGTAACTTCATATTTTCATTTTATTTTCCTTTAAAACATTTAGAGTAGTAACAGGCTAAATCAGCTCCAGTTGAAAAATAAATTTAATCTGCTTGATCAAAAATATTTTTATCTAATGTATGTTTCTTGTCATCAGAGGATTATGCTGAGCCCTTCGTGCAAAGGACCTTGTTGCAATTTCTGAAAGTTTTTAACGTTTAGGGTACTAGGAACTAAGTAAAGATTTAGATCAATGAACTAAATTTGAGAAAGAAAACATCTGGTGGGGCACATCCAATCCAGACGATATTGAGATGTGACTGGCGATATTAAAATTGTTGCAAAGTATGCACAGAATTCAACATCTGAAGTCAGCATACATGAGTATTCAGCGGCAGGTGTAAAACGCAGGTCATGCAGGTTAACAAAACGCAGGTTAAATCGTGCAGGTCAAAATTAGAGGCCATAGGCCTGAGGTTCTCGGCTTACAACTGTTTGCGTAAAAGTCAGAAGTCACGCAGATTTTGGTAGAGAATACAGGAGCAGTAGGCAAACGTTGGCTAAGATAACAACACTTTTTATAAAAACAATTTTTTAAAAACAGAAGCCTCAAAATTAGTCAAAAGCTAATAACGAAAAATAAAAACAAAAGACGCCCGCCCTACATCAGAACTTTTTCCTGACAACCACGTTTTTGAGATTTTGTCCCGATCTTAAGATAATCTATCATATTTCGTTTTATCATACAGGGGCTCTGACGCAGGTTGGAAAGTGAGGGGCGGCAAAGGAGAATTTAACTATCATTACAAAAGATTTTGAAAAAGTCTATTGTTTTGCAAAAACATGAGGGGAAATAGCAGCGAGCTGACCACGCCCCCCTTCGCGGAGGCGCTGTCATAGTCAAAAGAAAAAGTTTATTTCGAGGGGCAAATTACTCTTTGTTCCCGTTTCCATTTAAGAATCCGTTTGTTTTGTCTTAAAATCCCTGGAAATCCTTTTATGTTTGTGAAAATCTCAGTTTATATAAGCTAAAGCATAACAACCACACTCGGAAATTTATTAAAACCATCAAATAGATCAATTCTAATGGTAAATGTTAGGTTGTACTGTAAGGTGGTAAGAAATGCTTCAGCTAGTGCATTTTCCAGTCATCTGGAAACATAAAGAATAAAAAATTTCCCCACCCTTTATCGTTTGCTTGTTTATTGCTCTTATCAAAAAAATCTTGGTAAAAACCAAACCTATATTATTTTAAAACTTGAATGATTGAATGGCCGTACACAGATTTTCAAAAAATTTTAAATGGGGCAGAGGGTCCCTTAAATTTTCGAGTATGCCTATATTTGATATAAATTAAAAATCTCCTATGCCTACACGTTTTATACATAGGAACACTTGGCTCTAGTTTTCAGTTTGCCGTTGGTTATTTTTTCGCATAATTTCAGCCTCACTTTTTTGTTTCGTATTTTTGAAATCGAATTTATTTTGCATATTAGTGTCCGGACTTAAATCCCTTGCTCGGGCTGATTTTTTTAATAAGTTTTTCAAAAAGTTGTTTCAATCTTCGTTTTCTTAACCCTTTCTTATGTTTTGTTGCTACTGCTTTTTTCAATTTTTGCTAGTATATTTTTTCTTTTTCCTGTTGAATCACAGACCCTTTCTATTGTTTTGTTGCTACTGCTTTTTTCAATTTTTGCTAGTATACTTTTTCTTTTTCCTGTTGAATCACAGACCCTTTCTATTGTTTTGTTGCTACTGCTTTTTTCAATTTTTGCTAGTATACTTTTTCTTTTTCCTGTTGAATCACAGACCCTTTCTATTGTTTTGTTGCTACTGCTTTTTTCAATTTTTGCTAGTTTTTTTTCTTTTTCCTGTTGAATCACAGACCCTTTCTATTGTTTTGTTGCTACTGCTTTTTTCAATTTTTGCTAGTATACTTTTTCTTTTTCCTGTTGAATCACAGACCCTTTCTATTGTTTTGTTGCTACTGCTTTTTTCAATTTTTGCTAGTTTTTTTTCTTTTTCCTGTTGAATCACAGACCCTTTCTATTGTTTTGTTGCTACTGCTTTTTTCAATTTTTGCTAGTATACTTTTTCTTTTTCCTGTTGAATCACAGACCCTTTCTATTGTTTTGTTGCTACTTCTTTTTTCAATTTTTGCTAGTATATTTTTTCTTTTTCCTGTTGAATCACAGACCCTTTCTATTGTTTTGTTGCTATTGCTTTTTTCAATTTTTGCTAGTATATTTTTTCTTTTTCCTGTTGAATCACAGATTGCCATGTTTCTTATGTTGTTCTTATTTTTGGCATATTGGCCTGACTCCATACCCATACCCTGTCGCAGAATCGACCCAGAACGCGTACCTGATTGCATAAAGATTTTTCTTTACAACTAATTGTTTCAAGAAAATTCCTGCAATGTCCTCCTTTAAAAGCCATACTTGCAGTGAAAATTGTTACTAATTCCCCACCCTCGAATACGCCATCCCCGAACATGTCATCATAAGCCCTCATAGAGGCTGAATCCAGATGAATACAGCATTTGGGATTCAATCGAAGACAATAAACATGTCGATATCTTTTGACTTAAATAACTTTTTGTTGTTTGATATATTGCTACTAAAATTTAAATGAATTAATAGTTTCAATGGGTGTAATTCAAGGTTTTAGGGTACCCCATAAATTTTACCGATTACCACAAAGTGACACCGAGCACCGTGATCCGTAAGCCCGAGAATAGGAGCATCCCCTCCTCCTCCTCACCCTCACTTTTATCAACCTGCATGATCTGCGTTTTACACCTGCCAAGTATTCAGATGACTTGCAACTTTTCTCCAGTTGCACAACTCAATCAATTGAAGCCTATAATCTTTGGAACAATGCTGTAAAACAATATTAGACTGGTTCACACAGAATAGATTAAAAGCCAACCCAGATAAACTCCAATTCATTATCTATGGAACAAAGTAACAGCATAAAACATCCCTGCTCAGCTCAAAGCTATAACCATAAAATTAACCATCTTTTACAGCAACATCAGTTGTAAAAAGTCTTGGGATGAAACTTGATAAAAATTTGACATAGAAAGAACATATAACAAGCTTAAAAGGAACCTGTGCTGGGCAACTCGTTCAACTGTCAAAAGTAAGAAGATTCATAAACAAGGAAACATTTAAAGAAAATTGCCAATGCAACATTTATTTGGAAAATAAACTATGGTGACACAGTATATGCAAGTGCTGCCAGCACCAAATTAGAGAAAGTCCAACAAATTCAAAACCTTTCTGCAAGAGTATAAGACAACTTAATTGGATAAAAAACTGAACAGATGAGTTATTTTTATCGTCTCTAGATGATGTACAAATGCTCAAAAGGAATGGCTCCTTTATATTTATCTGAAAATTTAAATTATGATAGAAATATTCACAGTCATTATACAAGACAAATGAGCCAGACTGGAAACTTTGTTTCTTGTGCGGACAAGTTCACTTTGAAAATTTGAGACTATGTGCCTGAAATCATACATTCTTGGCAATTTTTAGAGTAATAATGGTCAAGATATTAAATAGGTTTTTTGCACCGCCAACATGCAAAAGCACGCAGATGTGTGCACAGGCAATATATTACAGGCGCTCAAAAAGGTTTCCAGCCAGGAAAGTTAGTAACTTGCATGTTCAAATGTCAACTTTAGCAAGCCACCGCTTTCTTCTTAGGGCACGATATATAATTTTCCGTATTTCGATAGAGTATGCCTAATTTAGTTTTTGAGCCGATTATGGCAACAAAACTTCAGAGTTACTCGCTATTTTTACTCCTTTAAAATTGACAAACAAGTTTCTTGGCAAACCCTGCTGCAATTCTTTGGTTCCTTTATGGAAACTTTTTTATGCCTGTTTTGAACTTTTCTCCAGTAAACTGCTTTTTTACATAAGTTGCAAATTCTTTGGGTAGTAGACTTCGTGTAGCCCACTTGCTGTGCAATTTCATCATATGAATGACCTGCCTGGCGTAAAAACTTCATGACTATTTGCTTAGCTTCATCCATATTTTGTGTTTTAATCAGTGCCAAAAGATAAACATTTTTTGTGCCACTGAGAAAAATTTCCCAGTGAACTTTCTGCAAACAAAATTATTGCTTGTTTATATATTTATTTTGCTTATTTCCTGACGCCATCATTTTATTTTGCCGCCAAAATTTGATCTTGCTTTTTTACTAACATGGCATTTGTAAGAATTAAACCCATAATTTTGCCTGACCGTTCGAATAAGTTTAACAGGGGAGTGTAATATATATGTGTCAGGGATAAAAAGAAGGAAAGCTGGATTACCTGCAAAGGTCTTCAAGAATGTCTTTGCGAATTCCAGAACGTATGCTAGTGATACCTACATCATTTTCTGAGTGAATTAGTGCCATTTTCAACACGCGCAGACTTGAAAATGAAATGCAATATACTTTCAATAGGTGTTTCCAGTTACTTTCCTTTTAAGATTTCCTCGTTATGAAGATGAGACTTTAATAACATCTTTCTGCGGCCTTGTTTCCCAGTGATCGAAGGATGAAAGCAAAGATGGAAAGGAGAAATATGTTTGTGCTGCAAAATCTTTCACATTCGAGCACCTTAAAGTCGTTCGTTTTGATCTTATGGATTTATTCGACATTTATTTTTGGTCTTTTAGTTTTTAGAAAAGGTTTCCTTTTAACAAGAAATGAAATGAAGAACCATAGTTTCCAAAATTGGCACTCAGTGGACTCTCATCTGGGGTACAGGCATAACAACGAGTATCGCAATTGGCAAACTTTTTCAAGACTTGTTCTGGTTGTCATTGATGGATTGAGATTCGATTTTATTGCAAAAAGTACCAATGAAAGTACCAACTTTTACCATAACAAGATGAAGCTCTTACAAAGTTTGTTGGCCAAAGCTCCTGAGAGAACAAAGCTCTTTAAATTTATAGCAGATCCACCAACAACAACTATGCAAAGACTTAAAGGGCTAACAACAGGTAAGGAATCTCCGACGTTGCTAAAACGAGGAACAAGCGGAACAACCTAGTAACAAGCGGAACAGCCCAGTAACAACCCAGTAACAAGCGGAACAACCCAGGAACAAGCAGAACAACCCAGTAACAAGCGGAAATGTGAATTAATTGTTTAGTAAAAAACACACGAGGGCGTTTATAATCCAACTCTCTGAAGTTCGTGTGGGCTAGAACTATCAAGAGGCCGTCAATCATGTCTTCGTCTGTTTCGGAGGCTTTGTGATTTTGCCAACGGACAGAGAGATCGGGACGAAAAATAAATAGTAAAGCATGCCTAAAGGGGTATGGGGAATGCTCCCCCAGAAATTTTTGAAAATGGTGGCTGCTCTGGGGGCTATTTTGGTTGCTAAAATAGATATGCTGGGTAAACTGCTCTGGCGGCAGTGGCTAAGATAGAGGGAATCAGAGGGGGGCAACAAAACCCTGTAGAGCTAGAACGAGGGGCAATTCACTCTTGAAAATTGCGTACAAGATTTTACCAAAACTTAAGGATTTCTAGGGATTTTCAAATAAAACAATAGGATTTTCATAAAAGGTACACAAGATTTTCTTGGAGTGATTTGCCCCTCGAGCTAGACTCCTATTTTGTCGGAAAACCTCTGGTCTTCTGGAAATTTTCTATGTTTATCTACTTGCTATGTTTTATAGGAAAGAATTTAAAGCTAACTAAAAATAAGAATATCTGGATATGTCAAAATATTTATTTATTTCAGTTTTGTGTACTTAGATATGATTGTATTTAGAGTGTATTATGGCTCTTCAACTAAGTTTATTTAGATAAATTAATTTTTTTATGATGATGATGGAAACGCCAAACATTGGTTGCGTGTTTGTCACCTTGCCATCAAAATTTCACGATATTGCGCCATTCAATCGCCTGGGGAGAAAAATGACATTGATGTGCCTACAAGAAAAATCATACCCTGTCGTGGGATAAAAGTCGGAAAATCCAGGAACCAGGAAACTGATGGTTTGCCTAGAATCATTTTTACTGAGGCGGAAAGTTAACCTCTTCTTTAATCCAAATTATAAGTTTTCCATGTCTTCGTCAGTTGTAAGAGGTTGCCCATTGTATTCCTTCCCATGCAGTACATTGTTATAAAGGAAACATACTACAGTAAGACAATTATTGGTGGGGCTTCAGAAACCCCCCCAGCCCCCCGGCTCCGACGGGCCTGAAAAATGTGATTGCAACAGGGCTACATGTACAGATTTACACTATGGCATGCACATCTATTTGCAACAGTGTGTCTGTTGTGATCGAATGTATAGGCATGCTTTACTATTTATTTTTCGTCCCGATCCGGGGTCGATAGATTCTCTCTGTTCGTTGGCAAAATCACAAAGCCTCCGAAACAGACGAAGACATGATTGACGGCCTCTTGATAGTTCTAGCACACACGAACTTCAGAGAGTTGGATTATAAACGCCCCCATGTGGTATTTACAAAGCAATTAATTCACATTTCCGCTTGTTTCTGGGTTGTTCTGCTTGTTCCTTGGTTGTTCCGCTTGTTACTGGGTTGTTCCGCTTGTTACTGGGTTGTTCCGCTTGTTCCTCGTTTTAGCAACGTCGAAGGAATCTCAGCAATCCATCATTAAATCGCCTTTTAGGTGCTAACAGCAAGGCGAACACCTTTGGTTGCCGCCTCCAAATCCAAATTGAAAACATGATATTCCAGAAGCCAACTTTTGTAAAAGATTCTAACAGGGTCAAGGTCAGGATTGTGCAGGTACCTTCCTGCGAGAAAAATTATGTAATTTTTTCAAAACCCTGACATAATCCCTTTCGCACTCTAATAGAACCGTGAATATGTAAGATATGTAGGAATCAAAATATGTAAGAATCGCAATCAAGCTTTTTTATATCTCACGAACACATGAAAGCAACACATTCAACATGTTAACATTATGATCTCAAAGAGCATAGGAATATTAGCCAAACTGTAACACTTCCTACCAAATAGTATACTTATTAAAATCTTAAATCCTTTCTTTTCTCTACGCACTAAGACCCCCTCACATGATAAATAACAAGCCTAGCTGAAACTCAGATCTGCTTGAAATTCATTTCAGTCTGCAGTGTCTGCTCTTGAAGTGCTTACATGAGAGAGGGCAAAATACTTGTTCAGATCAGTCTGAAATTTTAGGTAGACTGGAAGTCCACATATGTGAACTGAATTTTTTTCAAATCAGGGTTAAATGGAACTCATGGAGAAAATAAATTGCACCCTGTGATGAAAAGTAAAATTCTGGGATGCGAAAATGATTGATTTAGTGCCATTAGACCGTTGTTCAGGCCAATTTAAAAATGTTCAATGATCGGGGAATCAATTCACCTCACGCTATCGAATTGTTCATGTGAGGGGAGTTAAACTATGTACATTAACTGGAGTGGTGCCTACCCCAGCTCCCTTCAACCACTACACATAAGTTTAAAGAAAGCAGCAAGATTAATCCTCTTCAAACAAAGAATTGAGCATAGTACTTTTCTTCAATCATCAATTAGGTTTCTTGAATTTAACAGACATTAATTTAATGAGAATGTGCTAAATTTAAGTACAAAATTTCAAATGAAAAATGTCATGATTTCTTCTGCGATCAATTCCAGGTTACCAGTAACAAAACCCTATTTGCAGACTCGCAAAATAACTGTTAAAAATACTTCAAGCCAGAAGGAAAACCATCTATAAACCTTTTAACTTCAACACAAGTAATGTATATTCCTTCATATTTATGATTAATGTGGATATTAAAAAGTTTCAACAACCATGTGCAGGTTAGGCCATACATCATTCTAAAAACGAAAACAACAACAACAACAACATTAAGAGAGCTGATATTGCTCAATAAATTGTTCAGTTTTTCTTATTGAATTCTAACAATAACCTCTGGCAAATTTTCTATACCAAAAGCTATAGCAAACTGAAAACATAACTCCATATCATGTTCTGTAGTTAAGATATAGAATTCTCTTTCTCTGATATCAATTAGTCTCCAACATAAAAATTCCATGAAACTCAATCATATTTATGTAACATATAACAGTTATCATCAAATCATGTCATTTTCCTCTTACTTTCAAGCATGTGTTTGATGAAGGGCTACACTGCCTCACTTTTCAAAGTCTACTGTGGGAATAGATCCAGCTCTAAATTGAGCACATTCTCATAATCTCGTGTAATTGCCACAAAGTATAGCAAAAAGATTTATTCTTGCTGAAGTTTGGCTGATTTTGCTAAAATAATTTCCATGCATTTAACCTGATCTGTTCCTAAAAGACAATACTAAATTATCTTTGTTTTTGGGAAGTCACTTAGTTAGACTCACCCTGTATTAGGGTTGTTGTAAGGAAAGTTGCTGTTTGGCAGGGTTGCTGTTTGGCAGGGTTGCTGTTTGGCTGGTTGCTGTTTGGCAGAAGTATTTTTAATGGTGCTCTCAATCATGCATATAGCTTGTTGCTATTAAAGTAAAGTATTTGCTCTTGATAAGGTTCTTGATTTCATTACCACATTTAAAAGTACTTGTTTATTTGTTTTTCAGGTAGTTTACCAACCTTTGTTGATGCTGGGTCAAATTATGAAAGTGGTGAGATAGAAGAAGACAGTCTGCTTTATCAGTTTCATGCAGCAAACAAAACAATGGTATTTATGGGTGATGATACATGGATAAGCCTGTACCCAAGTTTTTTCAAACGGAAGTTTCCATTTTCTTCATTTGATGTCAAAGATCTTGACACTGTTGATGATGGCATAATAAGTCATATGATTCCAGAAGTTAAAAAGAAAGATTGGAATGTTCTTATTGCCCACTTTTTGGGGGTGGATCATTGTGGGCATAGATATGGCCCAAACCACCAAGAGATGGAAAGAAAGTTAACACAAATTGATTATTTCCTCAGGTATGTTTTTCACCTTAAAGGCACATGGCAGATATAAAATGTTTCTTGTGCCAGAGGTTTGGGCAAGATAAAAATATCAACAAGAAGTATCGGTTGTGAGATTTGGCATATGCTTGCTTGTTCATCTTTTGTGTTGTTTTTTTGCTAAGTGACAGAAAAATTGTTTGCTGGAAATATGGAAACAATTTGAAGCAATTTTTAGCAACTCGTAAATTCACATGAGCAGTGTTTTAGGACGTTTCAACAATTGAGAAGTTTTTAAACAACTTGACTTTATAACCATCCTGTGTCTCTAAATATATGAGTGATATTTGATCTATAATTCTTGCAGCATTTTAATGATCTGCCATAAATCCTTCAGACTTTCGTTGTACATTGACATTGCACTTTTAAGTAGCATAAAAATGATTTTTTTGACAACAGAAAACATTCATTTGATATTAGCTTTGCAATGCAGAAAATACTTTCTTTGCTCAGGGCTGACTCTTTGAAAATATGATAAATGCAATTCATAAAATTCGTGAAAGATTGGAAAATTTCCTTGAAGTATTTTTGGAAGGGACATTTCTTATCTTACCCAAGTTTGTCTATTATTGCAAGTAAACATATGTTTTTTGTTATTAAATGCAGAGATTTGATACAGCAGCTGGACAACGACACCTTATTATATGTTTTTGGGGATCATGGAATGACCCAGAGTGGAGATCATGGAGGGGACAGCGATGACGAAGTGATGTCTGCACTGATCATTCACAGTCAGAAGACTTTGTTTCGATCACGATCGGTAAGGGTCTTGCTACATTTGAAAAAAATGCGACTTTGATGACCTTAGCAGTTTATGATTAGGTTACGACTTTGACGTTCGGGTATGAAGGATGCACCTCTCAGTGGCTAATCTTTAAAATTTAACAACGATCTCTCCAGTACTAGGAATGCGGTTTTGGACAGAGGAAGCCAACTCGTACGTGCACAAGTCGAAATTTTCAAACAAACTGTGACTCAGCCATATAACGTGCTTGCAAGATAAGGAAGACAGAAGAGCAGGTGCACCAAAACATACTGTGATATTGCAATTTTTAATTCACGAGACAAACAAGTCTTCTTTTTTTAAGGCCTTTTTGAATCTTTCTTTACTACAATAAAAACTTTTTTGTGGACATATAACATTCCACGCTCACTTGGACCTTTGAACTGTTTGGGAGGCTAGAGGTCGCTGATTGATCAGAGCAAGAAAAAACCAATGAAATGCCTCATTACCTGATTTATTCATTAAATAGCCTCACCTATATCTTGTTTATCCGGCTGCGTAAATGCTCTGAAAAATGTAGGGCTTTTAAAGTCTTTTAGCACGCAGTAGTATTTAGTACGCAATACATATTTTTATCGCCCTTGTCTTTTCGTAAATCTTGACACTGAAATTGAATTGAAAAATGAACACGATGACTTGGATAAAGGCATTTGTTGATATTCACATTTAGTCAATGACAATATCGATCCAAGTGAATATTAACGGCGATTCTGTTTAATTATCTGTCATGTTACTTGTCTATTGGTTCTTCAATATTTTTTCTTATCAATGTGTAAATTTCATATTTTCAATTCTTCAAATTGAATCTTTTTTATTCTCTAGGAGAAGAGTCACTTGAATGTGACAAATGTTGCTCAAGTAGACATCGTTCCGACTCTGGCTTTGCAGATGAACGTTCCTATTCCATTTTCAAATATTGGTTCTATTATCGAAGCCTTGTTTGAAACAAAGCAAGATTATGTTCAAGGTGATCTCCACAAAATAGACGAGTATATGAAACGAACTATACAAGGCATTGAAAATGGCATTAGCGTTCTTGGTGCTTTACATTTGAACGCATTGCAAGTGTTCGGATATGTGAAAGAATATTCGAAAAGCTCAAGTGACCTACCGAAGGAAAAGGTCAGCATTCTCGAAGAAATGTTTCATAGCGCAGAGCGAAAGTTTTCTTTTCTTTCAAAAAGTCACAGGGAAATGTCTAGAAAGCATTTTGAAAGAGAAATTACTATGCCAATTCTCACACAGTTACTTTCTGATGTTCTAGAAAACCAGCAAGATTTTAGAGCATTTCTGCATGGCATTTTTCATGCATACCAAGATGTCTGGGTCAAATTCAATACAACATTGATGATTGTCGGAATATTTTTCATGGCCATTATTTGTTTGGTAATTATATGCTTCAGCATCCAGTCTAGGTATTCAACAAAGGATGACGTGAAGTATGTGCTCTTTGCATTCCATTTGAAGCACATAGTTGGCATTACCAGCAGTCTCATCTCGTGGCTAATTCTTCTTCTGAGGCATCCGTTTCAAGAATATGGCATTACCATTTCTTCATGTTTCCAGTTATTTTCCATAGTTTGTCTAGTTTGGCATCAAGGCTTCCTCGAACTACCTAACCTCTGGCGTTGTAAATTCGGCCTAAGTTTTATTGACTATTCTGCAATAATTTCTGTTGTTATTTACACAGTGTCTCAGTTCTCCAATAGTTACACTGTTTGGGAAAATTCAGTGCTATTGTTGCTTATACAAACATTGATCTCAACTTATACCCTCAGCTATCTTCAAAAAAACTTGCGTTCAGGTCAGGAGTCTCGCAAAAGTAAAAGGCAAGATAGGAAACAACAAAAACAAGAAGAATCGTACAAAGGCGACATCGCTGTTTTTGTTTTTTGCCTGTTCATGTCGTTTTCCCTTAGATTGTCTATGTTTTGGTGGAGCTGTAGGGAGGAACAGAGTTACTGCAAGGCGACGTCTTTATTACGGCGTCTTGATTCGGTCTCTTATAGCGATTCCAGCAACATGATTCAGCTGCGGCTTGCCGTTGCGTCAAGCTGCCTCCTAGCTGTTATTATGACTGCTTATTTCTGGTGCAAAAATAAAGGGAACCTTGTCGGCACCTCTGCAGTATCCACATCAATTAAACTATTTACTCCAGTCAGTGGTTTGTGCATACTTCTACACTGGGTCCTTCAAATTCCCGGAAAAAGCAAGCTCGAAAAAGTAATGGACCTTTCTTGGATGCAACAGGTTTTATTGCCGAGAATCGTGTTTTTATTTTTGTTTATATCAATTATTCTCTTAATATGGAATCCATTAAGCCTGCACGCAGTTTTTAGAGGTGGACATTCATCGCATGGCAACATGCTTTTTTCTGAAAGCAGTCTTGAACAAAACATACATGCTGTGTACAAAGAGCTGAAAGAAAGTTTCGGAGATGATAAAAAAAACATCTCGCAAAAAGATGATTATAAGCCGCCCATAGTTTTTGGAATGAAAGATGTTTACACATCAGCATACGTAGCTGTTCTTGCACCAGTTGTTCTATTCCTAATGTTGTTACTTGGGGACGGTTTGGCAGCCAGTGTTCTGTTAATGGTTGTGTCTGCTGTTTGCCTGCTTTGGTTGCCAGAAATTAAGCGTCCTCTTCGCGAAGGTAAGAAGCAATATGACAGTAATGTCAGGCTTATACCTGTCTTTGGTAGCTATGTGTAGCATTTTACTGCATTATACGATGCATCAGAATAGTATTTGGCATAAATTTACAGTAGCATAAAATTACAGTAACATAAAATAAAAGTGACATAAAATTACATTGACATGAAATAACACTGACATAAAATTACATTGACATGAAATAACACTGACATGAAATTACAGTGACATAAAATAACACTGACATGAAATTACAGTGACATAAAAAACATTGACATAAAATAACAGTGACATTAAATTACAGTGACATAAAATAACACTGACATGAAATGACAGTGTCGTTTCGTGTCGCTTTTTGTGGCTCCAGGTGTAGGTCCAGGTGAACCTGCGTACTTGTTTATGACAAAGTACCCAGGTTCTTATGCTTGTTCTTGGCCGAAGCATCGATTTATCGGTTTCCTGGCCGAATCATGACTTTCTAACTTTATTCGTTTCAGGACCAAGTACTTTTAAACTGGTAGCCTGGGCTCTGGTAACATCTTACTGGTTTTTTGGAACTGGTCATCAAGCGACAATACCTTCGATTCGCTTCGACGCTGCATTTGTAGGACTTCAAGGAGATATTGGGATTTACATACCAGGTTTGTAACAAGTACTGTTGCTACTTGCTACTAAGTACTGTTGTTGCCATCAAATTTTGCAGCCATTAATGTTCTTACCATTCTTTCGTTTCTTTTTGACTTAGACTTACGAATTTCCTTTTTTTGCTTGCAAGTTTAACTTGCCCCGTACCGCGCCTATGGCTGATTTGGCTCTACGGATCTCAAATCTGACTTAATTGACCATTTTCAATCCCATTCCTCAGATCCTGGAAACTATGGTTTTCTTGATTATATGGTCACAGATTTACTACCTCAACATATTCCTATAAAGAAATACCTTTGCACAAATTATGTGTTTTTTACGATAACAAAACTGTGAAAAGTAATATTCCATCGCAGTAGGATTCTGAACAAATAGAACAAGGCGAAATCTGGTTAGAATTTTGAGGCTTGCAAATGGCAAAGAAAGTGTGTTTAAATGTTGTGCAAAGCCAATTAAACTATTACAAAAATATGGACCTGGAAGATCGTACTGATAATCAGAAGTTCTGGAAATCTTTCAAACCAACCCATACCAGCATCCACCGACAAGCTACGAATATTTTTATCTATCACTCTCACTGAAAATAACGAAATGACCACAGATGATTTCAAAATTTCGAAAATTTCTGAAGATTATTTTGCAAATGTCGCACAAGACATAGAAGTTACTAAAACGAGTGTTCATCTGTGATCCACAGTAAATATGGAAGATCTTATCTATAGAAGGTCCTAAAGCTGTTTAAAAAAATAAACACCATCCTAGAATTAAGAAGATCAAGGAGTGTTTCATTTACCCCAAATCGTTTCAATTCGAGCAAGTTAGTGGTAATGGGGCCTTTTGTCAACTTGAATTATTCAACTTGAAAAATGGCTCCTTTAATTGTCCTTGTTACTTACACTTTAAAACTCGCCTGTAAGTATGTCAGGCTTATACCTGTCTTTGGAAGCTATGTGTAGCATTTTACTGCATTATACGATGCATCATAATAGTATATGCGATCATCCATTGTAAGTTTTATTAGAAAAATTATTGATCAAAAATAAGATTTTCTATTTATTATTATTTTAGTAAGCATCAATCAGCTTTAGTTTAGCTGAAATTCCTGTGTAGAGAAGTTAAAAATAAAGTGAAATGAAATTCACTTTCCTAGCATAACTATTGCGTCGATGCTGTGTAATCGTAAAGAAGATTGGCAACTGCTCATTGTCGTTTTAACCCTCTCATTTCCCGTGCACACTTTCCATTATTATGATTTCTTACAAATTTATCATGCTGATTATAAGCAGTTGTCAATATGGACTATCGAGTTAAAGCTAGAAGGCTCTTACATTGCTGCTACTGTATAATGTCTTTACTGTCAAACCGTCGTCAAGTAGAATGAGACACAAAGATAACATTTTCACCTAAAACTCTGATATTTTCAAAAATACTGGTCTAAAAGTACAGACAGCTGTAGAAATCTACTAATTACTTGCACACAAAAGAGCTATTTGAATACTAAACACATGTTTCATAGCGAGGATTTAGCTGTGAAAGTCTTCTTTGAAAAAACAAGATGTTCATTTCATTAATAACTAAATAAGTCTCTTCTTTGCAGGGATCCTGGTATTGTTTAATCAATTTTCGTCAGCTGTTTTCTTTTCTGCGAGTCTACCATTGCTTTGCGTGTGGAGTGCACGTGCTGATGAAGAAAATCGTAAAGAAGCTCCAAATGATGACTGCAATAACATTGGTGAGATGCGTCTACACGATGATCCATCAACCTCAGAAAGGCTAATGCTCCAAACAGTTCTCGCCTGTATCCTCGCTTCCATGTTAAAGGTAACTGTTTAATCTCTTTTCTTTACGAATAAAACCTTTTAACCGACTCTACATTTTTGTTTTCTTTTTCGTGGTAGAACTGCGACAGGCAAATGTCTTAATTTCATCTTTATAATATTCTAGGTGACTGTACAGGCCTGTGTTGCTTCTTTACATCGACGGCATCTTATGGTGTGGAAGATTTTTGGTCCTCGATTCTTGTTTGAAGCAGTGAGCTCTGTATTCTCAATTCCTTTTTTGATACTAGGATATATCTACTTCACTCGAATTCATCAAACCTTGCAGACATGGACACTTAAGCTGAGATTCCTTTGCAAATAAATTGGCTCCTAAGCAATTTAACTGTTCAAGATATATTTTTGTATGGCGGGCTTTTAGAAAAAAATAATTAAGCCAACAATTCAACGCAATAATTTCTGTTATTTCAGTGAGGCCTTATTAAAATTGGTGCGATTTTTCATTTCATAAAGAATTGACTAGCCCATACATGGATTAGGCGCAAGCCACATTTTTATTCGTTTAAAGAGAACATTGAAAGAATAATCGTAAACCAAAATTAAACTTTAATAATCCGAAGTGGAGCAGCTGTGTTTTGAGCAGCTGCCGGCGAACCGCACGACGAAATTGCATTCGTACAATTCAGATAAAGTTTAGAAACTGTTGATAGAAATTTAACTGCGGACTTGAAAAAGTTTGAATGTGTGCAATGGATGTACCAGGCGGATTGGGGTTGTTCTTGATTGTTTTGCACGGTGAAAGATACTTTTTATTTAGTCTGTCAGAGTACCCAAAGAGAGAGCTAGGCCAAAGAAAAATTGCGTGTCGTTTTCTGCTGCAGGATAAAGAAGATTCTCACCGTACTGTAAAGTTCGACCACTATGCTGATGACTGGGAGTTAGACAAATTTCTCAATACCTTTCGCGTTGATTTAGTTTTGGAAAAACGTTACTTTGTGCTCTATGAATTGAGGTCAGAAAGAATTTCCTTTTTTTATGGCTTTCTACGATCACTTACGTGGAAAGATATTATCTCTCATTTCGAGAGCATGATAATCTTCAGCTACTTGAGACTTTGCACAAATGTTGCCTTTGATTTGACACTTTTGAGAATAGCTGACGGGGAGTTTTGCAAAATGTGTGACGCAACTATTGACGTGCTAGTCGACTGTAAACTTGCAGCATTCTTTAGCTCCGAGAAAGAAGAATTCAACGAGTTAAAAGACAAAGTCAAAGCAATGGCAATAACATTTACAGAAACTGCAACAGAAAGCAGCGCAACTCTTGGTATCGAGTCGGCAGCACAGGCCATCGGGCAAGTTGCAGCCGGAGTATTTGTCACAGTTCTAGTGGACATTGCATTGACATCCCATTGCGTGTACAAGGCGAAAAGGGCCAAAGATCAAGGAATAATAAATGCAAAGGAGTTTGAAACGAAAATTAAAAAGAAGGTTTGTGAATCAGGATTTCAGTTTATTGGAAGCACAACTGGAAGCGTCGTAGGGCAGATGCTTATACCTGTTCCAATATTTGGTGCTTTTATCGGAGGTCTCTGTGGCAGCTTGATTGGCACTGGAATAGGAAAAGGCCTCAACTATGGCCTTTTTGGAACTGACTGTAAAGGGGAGAATGAGATAAAAATAGAGGCCTCGTTTGGCTTAATCCTAAAGACACTGAGAAGACTTAAGGAAAGGAATCCCAAATCTTTTATCATTTACAACGAAACAAGTGTTAAATTCGAAGAGATGGATCTTGCTCAAATTGCGAAGAAAAAGCCTTCGTTACAAGTGCGAAAGGCAAGCAGAAAAATTCCCTCTCCAATCCAATTTTTGTTTAGTGGTTCCCGAACGAAAGACGAGCAATCTAATCCCACATTAATATCGGACACGTCTAAGTGTATTACGAAACGATTTCGACGATATAGCGACTCAACTGGGCTTTTTAGGGCAAAGGTGAATAAAAATGACAAGAAAAAATTCGAGAAAAAGAATTCTCTAAGTACCGATAGCATTGATAAGGATAATGACGATGAAGTATTTGTTGGAAATGGTAGGTTTACCCTCGCAGAAACTTCGCGCGATGACGCCATGACAGAAAATGTTTTGTCTTTCAAGTGTATGATGATAAATGAGAACATGGAAGAAAAGGTGGTCCTAGATAAGGAGGAGTTGCATGATTGGCCAGGATCTTTTACGGGATTTAGTCAAATACGATCGATGCTGAAATTTGATAAGCACAATCACCCAACTACTGACGTATCAAAAAAGGTTCAAATTGGGAAAGGTAAAGTGCAGCAAACCTCTTCTGGCACTCGTGGCATCTGTGATGCAAAAAGCCATGCACCATGTGTTGCCTTGAAAACGGTGGTCGAGCCTTGTACTCCAGACACCAAAGAACCAATTGGTGTTCAGGAACGTCGGTTTTCGGATTTGCCTGAGATTACCATGGAAATGGGAGCGAACGACAAAGAAGATAAAAATGCTTTACCGCGTGTGATAATAAAGAAATTTGCTGACATATGGAGTAAAAACTTTAAATTTGCACCATACAAACAAACATCAAGAGATTCAGCAAACAGACATGACAGCACGCTGGCTGAACCAAGGAAAAAGGCAGAAGAAGAGTTATCTCCAGAGAAAAAAAGGGGCGGCATGCTGCGTAGCTTTATGTCTGCTAGTTGTTTCAGTTCAGAAGTTGGATTCAAATCTGAAAACTCCGAATCCAAGAAGGAATTGACCTTAAGTTCGAGGGAAACCAGAGGCTGCAATGATACACGATTTGTATCAAACTTCGAGGAAGAAATTTTAATGGAAGTTAGAGATCAAATGAGGGATACCCAAGAGGAAATAAAAGCCATTGGGCAGAGAAAATCATTTTTGAGCAATCATCTAGCATACAGAAAGAAGCTTTGTATTGCACTGGAATCAGATGGTACGCAGCAGACTAAAGGACTGGCAGGCCAAGTAACAACTGCAGCAGAAAGTCAGGTGCCTTTATAGTAAAGAAGCTGGGGTGTGTTGTGTTGTCCACTGGGCATTGACCAACAAATCTTTTCACACGATGATTGCAAAGAATACGGTATTTTCATTTCGACAAATGAAAATCTGTACAGATTGCATGCGTGTATTGTGAGGGTGCGTGTGCGTTCATGTTTATGCTTGAGCGTGGATTTTCTTCTTGTGTGTTAAATTTGTTCAATATCGAAAATGTTTGAAAGAGGCTAGCCCCTTAGAATTATTAACGAGCAGACGAAAGCTTTTCTTGTAAATTTCTCTCTATTTACATTGCACGGTTAAAATGCTTTTGTTATTCATCGAAGAAATTGGTTTGTTGTTCGAGCGGCTCTGTTGTTTAATGTTTGACCGGCTCTGTTGCTCTGCGCACACCAAGACTTTGCCGTTGGATTGTATTTCAAAAATATAAATGCTTTTGAGATATTATTTGAGGCTTACATCGTTAGGATCGTTTACTACTGGGTTATGACCTAGGCTGGGAATGCTATTTCATCGAACAAATTCAATAGGAATCTCGTTTTTATGAAAACCAAATATAGCTTATTTGTAACTAATGTGACCTACTCTTAACATTTTCAACTTTCAAGATACACAGAGTCCTATCCTGCTCTAAATCCGATTTCGGAATAAAATATTTTGCAAAGCCTACAGTTGCCACTTCTCCTTTCCAACATTAAATCCGTTTTTTTAATGTGGAAGGTACCTGATAGTGTCGTTTGATTCATTATAATCTGCCTCAATTTACCTTTAAGGTAATATATGGTTCCAACTACGAGGGACGTGATTTGCCCCTTTGAAAGCCGGGCATTGTTTTCATATGCTAGATTGTAGCTAATAATTCGTTTCCTAATTACATAGGGGGGGGGGGCTCTGCTAAGGCACGAAGGGTTTCAATAAAGGAAGAAAACGATAAATAATCATAGAATGTTTTTTCGATCTAAGATGTGGCAAATAAAAATGTGCTTTTGAAAATCAAAATAATCTAGGGAAAGGTAGTTTTATGGGTTGTAAGTATGGTTTTTGAGGGATTTTAACGTCACTTTTTTGTTCAATAACATAAACTGAGTCGATTGGATCATTTGTATAATATGAATTATATACGTCATGTCTGTGATCAAGTGTCATCTGAGTCAGCTTGGTGAACTGCAACAACTTGTAGGGCCTCAATTGTGGCCAGAAAAAGCTGGGGCCAGAGAAACATGCGGATTTTCTCCGAGGGCTTACTTTTTCAACTTTTACATAGCTTGTGTCAAAAAAGTTGCACAAACTCATAAGTTCTATATTCTATATTAATAAAATCTATGTAGTGCGCTTATCTTCATGAAATAATGCGCTTATCTTTTGGATAATGGATGAGAGGAGAGAAAAAGGAAAGGCGATGATAACATTTAGGAACATGATGCTGGTTTGATGTTAGAGGGATTGGCTCAATGTGCAATACCCGACGGATTTACACGCCCAAGGCCAGGGATAATTTTCTGAGGGAGGGGGACTAAAAGCTTCAAACTGTAACAAAGTATATAAAGCCAAAAGATGATTTACACAAAAGTTTGCAGCATGCGTTTCTTTTACCAGGTTGGACAAGAAGACAGTGGTGCTATTTTTAGGTTACAACGTTTATATTCGTTAGATCGACTTAATGCACTTGACGTATTTTAAAGTGGAGCCAAAATTTAATGATTACGTTTGTTTTAAAAAGGCCGCCACCATGGTTAGCGGCAAAAAATTTTTATAATTAGATTAAAATAGTCTAGGGAAGGCCAGAAACTGCATCTAAAATAGAATTTGACGGGAAGAAAGCTAACGGTTCCATTGCTCTATCTATTTTAATGTTGACATGAAAAGAGAGGGTCTTCCAAAGTTTTGAAATTATCTTAGCATAATAGTGAATATTCAACTTTTTACAAATGAATGAAACCAAAATAAGATGGAGAGAAAAGTAAATAAAAGACAGTTTGGCAATAAAGCATTAGCCAGTGCCCTAGTCCACACACGCTACCTCATTTGAGGAGTTCCGTAACCAATCATTACAGATAGGTTTTTCGTTACAAACTTAACAACACATCGAAGGCATGTTAGAATAGCCTCTTTTTAGGATACTTTGTGTGCCTCGTTTCCATCCGATCCTATTTGGAACCGTTCCAGGCGTTGCAATGGGATCTCAATGGGATCGGTTCCAAATGGCATCTGTTAGCCAGGCGTACTCATTAGTGAACGGCTAGCAGTTCAACCATCAGGTCCCGTTTAAATGCGACGCCTAACGGTACCCATTTTGAAACGGTTCCATTTTGAACACATGTAAACGCAGCCTAAGTATCTGATACGTAAACGCAGCCTAAGTATCTGACACGAATAGACACCGTATTAGCTTGCCCCTAGGGAGGGGTAAAATATTTTGAGTAATGTATGCAATGCGCAGCACCCTGCAAGGTTCTATCATAAAACATCCAAACAAGTGGACAGTATCTAAAGTGAGCAGTATTTGCAAAAACGAGGTTCAAGGATGAGAATCGTGCGTGTGAGTTTGAACGAACGTGTGAACTTTTTAGGTCATCACAGTCAGAGCACATATGAATTATTTTCAGAAAATCGTTTTGGTCATCGTAAACAGAACGGCTTAGAAAATGGTTTGGTTGTACCAGCTGTATTGCACGTGAGCAGTTACAGCAAAACTCTAATTTAAGCTTTCTTTTAAAAACCTTAAACAACGGTTTTTATTTGTAAATATATAGAAATAACTATAGGTAATGAAGATATAACAATGAAAAATACCTTACCTCGAAACCGCCTTGTTTTCTAAACGTTTTTAAGCGCACATTCTTCATAGTTATAAGCCATACCCTTTCAAATTCGCGATATAATAATAATAATAATAATTCATTTATTTACAGTAGGCGTTCTTTACAGTAGTAGCTAAAACGATAAGCTAATTAAAGCCTACTATTTACAGAAATAAAAATGATAATATTATACAGTGACATAAAAGCTATTTAAAGAAATAAATGAAAATACCTAGGATTTAATTAGATAAATAGTTGAAAATAATTATGTTAGAAAATTCATGTCAAGAACCCGACCTGTGCTACAAAGGTTCTACATACCCTGCAGCTGCAAGTATCCTTCCATTGTTTAATCTTTACCTTAAAGGTGTTAAGAGTATTTAGGTTTTTCAAGTTTTCTGGTAGATTGTTCACTAATCTACTGTTTCTAAGACGGTAATGGCTGCTCTTTTGTATGAATATTTCATTCATAAAAATAATTCATGATAAAGACAATCGGAGGCCTTCGAAAAGTGTCCCTGCAACGCTTACGCTATTCAATGATATATTGTGCCTCTTTGTGCGATAGCCTTCCCGAAACCCACAAAGGAGTATGGTCATGGAGCTGTCGTTACTAAACAATCCATTACTACACATTTGTGCCTCTGTGTGCGATAGCCTTCCCGAAACCCACAAAGGAGTATGGTCATGGACCTATCAATACTAAACAATCCATTACTACACATGTGTGCCTCTGTGTGCGATAGCCTTCCCGAAACCCACAAAGGTGTATGGTCATGGAGCTGTCGTTAGTAAACAATCCATTACTACACATTTGTGCCTCTGTGTGCGATAGCCTTCCCGAAACCCACAAAGGAGTATGGTCATGGACCTATCAATACTAAACAATCCATTACTACACATGTGTGCCTCTGTGTGCGATAGCCTTCCCGAAACCCACAAAGGAGTATGGTCATGGAGCTGTCGTTACTAAACAATCCATTACTACACATTTGTGCCTCTGTGTGTGATAGCCTTCCCGAAACCCACAAAGGAGTATAGTCATGGACCTATCAATACTAAACAATCCATTACTACACATTTGTGCCTCTGTGTGCGATAGCCTTCCCGAAACCCACAAAGGAGTATGGTCATGGACCTATCAATACTAAACAATCCATTACTACACATGTGTGCCTCTGTGTGCGATAGCCTTCCCGAAACCCACAAAGGTGTATGGTCATGGAGCTGTCGTTAGTAAACAATCCATTACTACACA